AGAATGTTTCATAAACAGCTGTTACTGCAACAGTGACACAGTTCTAGACATTAAAAGAGTCCTGTCAAAGATTAGGCTGTGATTAGGAGAAGGAATAACTGTTCTAATCTATCCAAACTAAGAGATGACTGAATATAATCTTTCATTGATGCTACATAAGAGAGCACAGTAATAAATTGTTAGAAATCGCTTAAGCATTGAAAAATGAAATCTTAGCACACTGCCTTATCACAGGGCTGAGCTATACCCCCATACAACTTGCATGGTGTACCATGTGCAAGCAAATGAGAGATAATCTCCTCCCATAAAGAAGCATGGTTTGGGCCTTTCTAGGGGGTGGGAAGGGGGAATTTGCCCCAGGATGTGGGTATGGATGAAGATAAGTGATCTTTGTTAACAAAAATGTCTCAATTGTTTGTATAAATATCTATATATGTGTATATATATATATATGTGTGTGTGTGTGTGTGTGTACAGATATTATTTGAAATATAGTATGTATAATCTATAAATAAAAATATAAATATGAGATGAAGGATCAAATTATCTTATGGATGGGATCAAAAAGTTTTGGAAACTATTGTTCTGGAGGAGAAGGGATACCAGCAAGCCAATGGTTAAAAATGTAAGGGAGAAGGAACTTCGCTAGGACACAAAGAAGTAGCACCCAGCAAGCAGGGAAGGAAGGGGAGACAGGACAAAGGGAAGGTTTCTTCGATGTGGTGACAGGCTGAGATGAATTTAGTGGAGGGAGAGAAGAAAAAGGAAGGAAAGTGTTCCAGGGAGACGATGTAACACTGCTAGGGCAGGTTGGCCTGTGCATGAACAAGCGAGAGCACCTGGCAAACTAAAATAATCCGGTCAATCTTGAGCTGTCCGTACATGTGGTACATGGAGAAAATGCAGGCTGGGAAGCTTCTGCAGGGATCAGATTATGAACGCCACTGAAGAGCAGGAAGCTTATTCTGGTAATGTAGGTTACTGCTAGAGGGTTCAAGTAGGGGAGATGATGGAACAGTGTGCCCAACTTACCTTCCGGCCCAGTCTTCACCAACACCTATTTGAGTACTGGAGGAAACAGACTGCAATAGTGGGAGCTGTGAAACCTCAAAAAATCCAGACAGAAAGGGACCAATGGCCTTTGAAAAAATAAAAATCTTCACCACTCTGCAATGCTTGATAAGCATCGGTAACAGCTATGGACACTTCTTAGGGCAAAAGGATGTGATACCTTTCATGAGTGTTGGTGCCTTTCATGAGTGTTGGTGCCTTACTGGCTCCATTACAGTCAACAGCAACAGAAGTTACTGCCTCAGTGAGTCAAAGCTAGAAAGAAGGGAAATAGCAGGCACTATAGCAGGTAAGAGGACAGTAGGTAGAGCCACCTCAGCAAGTTCCTTGGACTTTGCAAAGCACTTGGAGCTCCCTCATGTCAGGAGATGTTTATCCAAACTATTGCCCTTGTGTCTTGCACAGAGATGAAGCCAACAATATTACAAAAATCCTGGGATAACAGATCATGCAGGTGCTCATACTAATAAAGCCTGTTAGAGTTATGAAAGGAGCTTTTCTAGGGGGTCAATCAAGATATATTAATGGAACAAATGAATAGTGATTGTGTGGCTGCTTTTACAAACTTTATTTTAAAACTTAAGTTGGGATTAACTGAGAACAAGTGATTCCCATAAAAGTGGGATCTAAACTATAATCTGGGGCAGGGTGAAAGATGACAGGAGGGGAATGACCCAGAATCCTAAATGTATTGGACAGGTCACTGCATGAGGCAGGTTCCTTTGGTGGCTTCATTTGGCTCTAATAGATAGTTAGAATCATAAATCTGTGGCAGCTGCTCTATTCCCAGGGCATAGGCCTTGAGAGACTGTTAATGATCCCAAATCATTTAAAACACTATGCACTACTCTGGTTGCTATGCACTTGTACTCTGTCTGGGCCTTCACTACTTCAGAAAGGGGCTGCTGGTTTCTGAGAAAAGGGTCTTAAAGCCAAGGAACACTTCCACAGTCTTTATGGTATCTTGCTGACTTATTTCCTTACTGGCCTTTTCCATTAAAATATTTTTTCTCCCACAGATCATTGTTTAGCAAGTGCAAATGCACAACAGTCATTGCTTTCTCTTGGACCTAATAGGTCAAAGTACTTGTTTTACCTATTTTTATAGCCTAGATGTTGACTTTCTATCTACAGGAACATCCTTGAAGCAAACATTTTTAAATGTAAGTACACAAAAGTATGCATGTCTTTGTAATTATTTTAGGGTTTGCCTGTGGTTACTATATTTGTCTTTTTATTGTCTACTAATACCTTACTGAATGCACTATAAAATACAGAAAGAAAACTGGTTGTGTGCACCTGGGAAGAACCTATCTTACCCTTGGCCTATTTACTACATCTAAAAAATCCCTGGGCCTAACAGTTAGAGAATCTTTCAGAATTTAAAGATTCTAGGCTACAGATATAGCTCAGCAGCAAAGTGCCTGCCTGGCAAGTGCAAGGTCATGAGTCCAATCGCTGATACCAAAAATAAAATAAAATTATAATTCTAATTATGTATTTTATAAAAAGGCCCAAAGTGCTTAGTGTATATAGATTACAAAATAGTAACGAGCAGAATGGCACATAAACAAAGCTTCAGTCATATGAAGTAGCAGGCTCAGTTATTTCTTAAAACTGATTTCTTACAAAACATTATTTGCCCAAGAAAGAGAAAACAATTTGAAATCTTATAATTCCAAATGTGGATTTATGTTGTAGGTTATTTTGACTCATTTCAGTTAAATGTATTTGTCCAATTTGTTTACCAAGGTTTTACTTTAGGAGTCAAATCTCGAGACAGGAGTTAGTGGAAATCAGAGGCAGTGGAGAGCTATGAAGCAGGGGAACCCAGTTCCCTTCCTTCACCATTCACCTGCACATTTCTGACATTTTCCAACTCTGACCTCTCTTGCCTGAGCACCTCGGTGCCTCTCCACTCTCTTTCTGGAATTATTAATTCCACGTAGACAGTTTTTCCTCCAGAGACAGAGATGCCATTTCTTCAAAGTTCTGGGTGCTCCCCAGATGCTACAGAGTGGGGGTATACAGCAGTCAACTCTATGGGAAGCTGTTTGGGCACCATTTTTGGCAGAAGTTTTTGCACTGCATTTTTGTATGGTATGCCTCTGCCAGATAGTCTGCCTGCTCTCAGTCTAGGCAGTGGAAGGCCCTGCACTGCTGCCAAAATTCTAATTCAAGATCAAGAATTCTAACTCCTGGTCTTTAGACCCTGGTCTGGCCTTGGCCCCAGGTTCCAGCCCACTTTGTCCCTGGCTCATTATCAGGCCCATCTAAGTACTGCACCCATTCACATTTAAGCCCAGGAAATCATTTCTGGCACCAGAGTGAACTGTAACATCACTAGGCCCTAGCCGTACCCAACCCAATTCTCAACTTTGTAAGTTTGTTACCTCCTGAGTGGAAAGACAGAAAGGACAGAAAATACCACAGGCGAGGGAATTTGGCACCAATTTCTGTGACATTGTAAATTTTTTTTTGCAGTGACACAGATGCTACATTCCTTTACTATGCATGAAAAGTCTTAGCAATTATTAGAAATAACACTTGAGATGCATATAGCTTATAGCAAAGTACTACTTGTCTATGTATCTGCACCAGAGAGTAAGTGAAAGTTGTCCTTACCCAAATTACCAAATCCAGGACATAACTATTAGTAAAAAAAAAAAAAAAAAAAAAATGCACTCTTAGATCATAAACTGCTGATAATGTACAGTGTTTTTTAGGCCTCTGGAAAAATGCTACTGCAGGACACAGGACTGCAACTGGGGGACAAGAAGGAAATCAAATTTTAGCAAAATGCTATAAAATTCAATGTAAGTGCTTAACTAGTCAACATTATGGTTTAAATGCTCATGAGATGGTGCAGTCTTGATTGACTGACTTCACATTTAAATGAAGAGTAAATATGTCCCTTGACTGTGTTTCCGCTCCTTGCAGCCCAAACCAAGCACTGTCCTTTCTACTGTAGCAGAAACACATATATGGCTTAATTACCAGACCTGAGTCAAGGTAGTGGGTGCAATGGCATGCCATAATTTGGATAATGAAATTATTTTAGCTTTTGTTTTCCCAAAAGGAGCAAAGTAGAATAAACGCAGTACATGTGTAAAACACAGGCAAAGGCACTTGACAACCAAGCACTCTATTTTGAAATTTAAATAAAGCTAAGATTTTCTTCTGGCCTAGAGGGAAGCTTCATTAAAATCAATTAGTACAAACCTCCAGAGAATATGGACTTTTTAAAAAAGAGATGTTATAAAGAATAAGGTGCACACAATTACCTTTCCTGGGTCCCTTATGAATGTCAGTGTCACACCAAGACAGGTGGCCAAGTGCAAACAAATGTCCCCAAGGGAGAGGCCTGGTTAACTCCCTGAGTGCTCATCGCAGGGAAGTACGTGTAATTAATAGATGTGTCTCCATTAAGAGCGGAATGTACATAACCAACTGAGGAGGCTCCAAACAGGCTGCATGTATGACAAAGTGTGAAGACAGGCCAAAGGAGGTAAAGTTGGTGCAGGCGCTGCCAGGTGAGGCCTCGGCCCGGCCCGGGTGAGGTTGGGGCCGCTCCACTGTAGCCGCGCGCCCTAGTCCCTCCTCCCGGCCCGGCCGCCTCCCCCACCCCCACCCTCCCCCGCCGCTCCCGACGCCGTTGCCGCCGCTGCCGCGCCTCCCCTCTGCCTCCCGGTGGCTCCTCGCTCTCCTTCCATCTCTCGCGCCCCTCTCCCTCCGTCCCGTCCTCTCCGCTCCCCTCACCCCGCCTCTCTCCCCCTCCCCTGCCCCTCCTCTCCTCACCCCACCCGGCCTCCCTCCCTCGCCCGCCCGCCCGCCTGCCCGCCCGCCCGGCGCTCGCAGAGCCGACACCAGGGGGGCTCTCCATGTAGCACCATGACAGGCATCGCCGCCGCCTCCTTCTTCTCCAATACCTGCCGATTCGGGGGCTGCGGACTCCACTTCCCCACCCTGGCCGACCTCATCGAACACATCGAGGACAACCACATCGGTAAATGGCCCGGGGGTGGGCGGGGGTGCCGGGCGCGCGGAAACTCCAGCCCAGGCGACAAGCCCCAGAATGGCCAGGAGTGGCCTGGGGGAGGAAGGGAGGCGGCGGGCGGGCGGGCGGGAGGGTGTGTGGGAGCCGGGGCTGGGGGTGGCGGGATGCAGAGGCGCGAGGTGCTGGAGGTGGGGGAGGGGCGTGAAGGGGGGCAGGCGCCCCGAGGTGCGCTGCGGCGGCGGCGGCGGCGGCGGGCGGGCGGCTGGAGGGGCGTGCACGCGGGCTGCAAAGTGGTGGCGCGGGGGTGCGCCGCAGCGGGGCACCGGGATGCGGCGGCCGGCCGGGCGCCGGGGAGAGGGCGCGGGCGCAGGGCGCGGTGGGCGGCGGCGGCGGAGGCGCCGGGCAGGGGCGCGGAGTTAGTTGGCCCGGGTGGTCCGGGCGGCCCGGGGCGGCGGGGGGCGGGCGCTGCGCTCCGCCTGCCGCTTCCGCCCGGGCTCGAGCTGTCAGGGCTCTCGGCGGCGGCTGCAGCGGCTGGGAGGTGGGAGGGGGGCGGGGGTGGCTCCACCGCGGCAGCCATTCCGCTTCCTCCTCCCACCGCCGCCGCCACCGCGTCCTGTCAGCGCCGGTTGCTAGGTGTGGTGCGCTGGGAGGGGGCCGGGGCCAGCGGCCGCGCGGAGGACGGGTGCTCATCCTTCCCCCGAGTGACCACCGTGCTGGCCGGGGACGCCCGGCGCCCGCTGCTGTCCCGGCCTGGCGCGGACGCCGGGGCGTTGCGGGCTGAGGTTCCGGGTGCGCCCGCGGGCCGCGCCCCACACCCGGGCCCCGGGTGCCCCTGAGGCCCTTGCGGCTGCGCCCGCTGGAGCTCGGTCCCACGGGCCCGCGGCCGGGTATTTAAATGTGCCCCGGCTCAGCGATTTGCCTATCAAATAGTGCTAGGCCCGAGGTGCGCCGGCTGCGGCGGGGGATCGGCGGGGCCTGCGCGGCGCCCGAGCGCGGGGCCGCGGGGGAGGGGCGCCCCGGAGCGGCCGGCTTCCCCGGAGCGCCGCACCCCGCGACCTTTCAACAAGTCCTCTGATTCGCACAAGTCCTTACACTGGTTTGCACACTTTCTCTCTGCGAAAGGAGATGGGTCAGGTTCTCTGGCTTAGGCTATGCAGCCACCTGCGGAAGGTGTGGCCCGCACCCGCAAGTTTTCTAGTGTGGACTGGAGTGAAGGGGCCGCGTGATACTTTCAGGAACGGGGTGGGGGGGTTGTCTCATCCAGAGAACCTGCAGACTGTCCCAGGAAGTCCGAATAAATGCCATGGATTCAGCCATGTGGATGCAGCTCATGTTTCTGCAAAGTTGAGGGGATAAATCACGACTATTTATGCACTAATGAGGCAGAGCCTTTCATGCTCCTTGGCCTTGCATATCGCTGTCTCTGCAACCAGTGGGTGCTTAGTAAGCATCGAATGCCTGTTCAGAATGGGATCTGGTTGGGTCATCCAGAATGGAAAATAATCATGAAACATGTCCACAAAATGTCCCTGAAAAGATAGTTCTGATGAGTAATTGTTCAGATTTTGAAATTTCAAAGTTTTAAAATGTGTAATACCTTCTTCTATCTCCACTGATAAAAGTATGATGGAGGAGCGAGGTTTTAGAGTTATGGTAGTCTTAAAAGCAGTTTAATGGAGGAACAAATTTGCTGATTCATATCATGACCGGAGTGGCATATTTGAAAGCGGTCGATAATGTAAATTAGGTTTTTAATGATGGCTGGTTTAAAATAAAGCTAAAACTCCAGTAACACAAAATTCCAGTAGAAATTTTGCTAGTTTACATGTCTCTCTTTACTCTTAATGGTAAATGGAAAATAATAAATGTGAGTAATACTAACCTATGTATTGTCTAAATGTGTTAATATCTCCTGACCTATGGAAGCTGTCATTGCCTACCCCATCCATTCTCATTAAGTTATATCAGAATAAACTGTAATTTATGTAAATTGAGTAATAATTTTACCAGATTGCCAAGGATGTCCTTGCTGGTTAAAAGAAAATTATATTTACTTAAATCTGATAAGGACAATTATAATTCTTGAGGATTTACCTTGTAATCAGATGATTTAAGATTGATTGTTACTAAATTACAAATTTTTTTTTACATTTGCAGAAATTATCTCAATGTTGTGCAAAGATATTTCAAGGTTTAGGATTCATAAGTTTTCTCACACAGATTATAATAGTAGCTTACTCCCAAAGAGCTAGTGCTTTTCTTTTAATAGTGAAATATTGAAAAACTAAATGAATAACAACTTATAACTTATGCAAGCAGTGTGGTGGACCTAACCATTTACTATACTTTGGAAACAGCTTGAAACAGCAAACTTTATGAAAAGTAAGTATTAAAGTGAAAACTTTTGAAAGTCCCAGGTTAATAATCTCACTTAAACTATTGTATACCTTGACTGAGGAGAGGCTTTTTAACATTGAAAGGCATCCATATATGTGAAAAGAAATAAGAATTGATCTAAGAAAAACAAAAACAAACATGATCAGAGCCAGTATCATAAAAATAAACTTTTGATGAAGAGACTAGAGTGAAACTATGAGACATTTAATGAAACCTCTATTATTAGGATACTAATTTATGATTCAGTCTATAAATTTTTGGAGACAATGATTTGGTTATTTTTAACAATTGATTTTCTGTTACAGATAATGTTTAGATGATGGTTCCATCTTGGGGACCCTTCTGGGTTATTACCATTTAACCACTAATCAAAATCCTTAAGCAGGGATGAAATTAAGGTTTCTAGGGAATATGACATACATTTTACTTGACAGATTTTTTCAAGTTTTTATTATAACTGCATTGTGTTTAATTCAAATTAAGTGCATTAAATTGTGGGTAGTGGTTTTTGTCATTTTATGTATGCATACTTAGCTTTTGGTTTTTTGTTTTTTAGTAATTCTAAAGATTAAACCCAAGGCCTCCCACATGCAAAGCATGAACTCTATTACTGAGCTATAATCATCCCCAGTTCTTTAGTTGTGTTTTAAGCCACTTTTATTTTCCCATAAGGACCAAGGATTTGGTTTTAGAGACAAGGGGAGTATGCTTTCCACCAGCCTCTGTCTTAGCTGTTTTTCCTCCTCTGGTAGAATGTTGTACATGTGTTCCTCTTTTTTTTCTTTGCATCTCACTGCTGTTTCAGTATAAGAGAACCTGGCTCAGAGTATAACCTAAGGCTCTCAGCTGAAACCCTCCCCACCCTCTATTTAAATTGCCTGGAAACTCCATATCCTTACAACTGTAATATTTCTGCACAACTTTGCTTCCAGTTCATTTAGAGACCTGGTACTATTTCTGGGATACTGGAAAAGCTCATTTGTTTGCTTCTCATTGTAAGTAGATACTGGAGTTTGTAGAAATACTCTTGGCATGAATATCCTAGGTAGGTGAAGTTAAACTGGTGACCAGGAATCTTGGAAACACCCAAGAGCACTAAATTTAACACCAAAGGTCATGCCCTAGCCTCATAAAATGCCTGCATCCCAGTGCTATGAAATCACTTGGCAACTGTGGGATTATTCTTATTTATTTGATCTTTTAGTATCTTTGTTAAGTACCTTTGTCTTCTGAATTTATTTATGTAATAGCATATATTGGGTGCTATGTCAGGCACAGTTCTAGCCACATGATATATTTCAGTGAAGGAAATAGAAATTCCAGTCTCTGAAATTTTACAGTCTAATGGGTGTAGATAGATAATAAACAATTGAAATAAATGATGTAGTGTGTTGGATGGTGCTTAGTGATACAGAGAAGAGAAAAACTAACCAAAGTAAGATGGATTGGGAGAAAAAAGTATTGGCAGGGGCTGGGGATTTAGCTCAGCGACATAAGCACCTGCCTTGCAAGCAGGCGGTTGTGAGTTTGATCCCCGGTACTGATTAAAAAAAAAAGTATTGGGATTGTAAACAGGTTAACCAGGGTAGACCTCAGAAGCTGATATGAGTCTTGACCATGAAAGAGATGAGAGAGTTAGCCATGAAGATGTCTGCGAGGTAGGGAGGTCTAAGCAAGGGAGGTAGACAGTGTAAAAACTCCAAGGTAGGACTATACCTCTTGGCTAGAAATACAGGAATCTGACCTATTTTGGTTGTTCTTGTGATGGCACTGAAGTCTGGGGTCATTTAGAACTTTTCTCATATGTTGTGAACCTCACCTTTGTAGGGATTTGCAAATGATTTGGTCTCACTGAGTAGGTAGGGTTGATGGTATTTGACTCTGAGTATCTACAGGTTTCTTATTGTCTCTATTTGTTAGTTTCTTCATAGTCCAAACCCAGGTGATCCATTAATTTCATTTTATATAGTGGGTCTATAAACCATCTAATTAATGGAAGTCAAAGTTTCTGGAAGGAAAAATGAGGGCAGCTACTATCAATAATGTCAAGTTTAGCTCCAAAGATGGTTTAGTAAATATTTGCATTAAAATGGCATAGTATGCTAGATAGATTCAGAGCCCCTTTTTATTCCCACTTATACAGGTGCACAAGCTGAGTCACAGAAAGGTTATATAAATGTAACTTTTTGAATTTGATTCCAACCAAATTACCAAAGAGGTAGAGAACCTGATAGTACCCTCTCTACGTTTCTTCCATATACACTTGATATGATTTTCCCTTTAGAATGTAGCCCTGAACTCTCTAGATGAGGAATATCTGAGAAACCAGTGTGGCGAATTTAGGCTACCTGCTCCTACTTACTTATTTGTAGACAGATAACTATATTGTTCCTCCTCTATAAAATGAAGATAATAACACCATCTACCTCAAGGAGTGGTTAATGAGGATTAGATCAGATTATATTTAATAAAGTACTCATCTACAATATTAAATTATCTACATCATTCAATTTCTTGCCACTTGCAAATTTAATAAATACATTTATAATCCTACTGTGAAAGCCTCCATTAGAGGTTAACAGGTCATGTCTCTCTACTTTTGGTACTGTTTTGGGAGCATTACAACTATGTTTTTCATTGTGTCTGTCTTGGGAAATGTTAGGCATAGGAATAGGCAATCCCTCTGTAATCTCCTTTCTTTTTTGTGTGGCCAAAAGCACTTTAGACACTGGCAAAGGCCTTCACCACTACGGGAAAGTGGTATCAAGGCCAGGGCTTCCAATATGGCCTTTCCTTGTGGCCTGCATTTATTTGAAAAAGCCCAGGACTAGAAAGAGGCTCTGTGTCTGGGGTCTGTGGGCACATTTCTCAGGATCTTTCCTGTGGGAAGAAGGAATGACTGAAGGAATAAATGAATGAATGAAAGGCTTGTTGTTGACTGCCCTGCTCTCTGCCTGCACTCTGTGGTTTGGCGGAAGAATCTCCATTACTCCCTCCCACTGTTCCCCAGAAGGCCCCAGGTGCAGAGCCAGTGGAGGTTTTAAATGTGTGTGCATCCACGCAGACAGACACTAGGCTCGCAAAAGGAAACCCTGAGTCTCAAGCGTCACTGCAGCCCCAAAGCGTCGTCTTCAGTAGTTTCTTATTGGCTCATTTCTCATCTGTAAATGGCCAGATCATCCTTTAAGAGACATGACTTGAACATTGTGACTCATTAAGTTTCATGAACTTCTGATTATCTTCCTATAGTATACATGTTTTCTGACATGTTACTGAAAGGTATAGCTACCAATACTCTGCTTGCAGTGGGGTGCAGAAGCCTCCATATTCATTAGAAAATGGTTTCCTTTAAAGACGCATGTATTTTGGAAACATCTCCTACCTCTGCAGTTCTAGACATGCAAACTGACAGCTGGTTTCAGAGGACCTGATTCTTTCCATTGATGACAGTGACCAAGCCCTCAAGGATGGAGCAGGCTGGTGACATGCAATGAGAGGAGCTTCCCTGGGGGCAACTGGCGCCAAAGGCCTGTGTTGTAGGCTGAGGTCTGAGGGACGGAAACAATGCTGCTGAATCTTTTTTTTTTTGTCTTTTTCCTTTTTATCGGTACTGGGGATCAAACCCACGACTGCCTGCTTGCAAGGCAGGTGCTTATGCTGCTGAGCTAAATGTCCTTTTTCGCCTTTTGTTCCATGGGTTCCCCCATTTCTTTGTATTTCTCAGCCACCTCATCTCTTAGTCCCTACCTTTATTCCTGACAGTGAAGTCATGTCAGGAATACTGGGTACTGAAAAAATACTTGTTGAGTTATATGTATTTCGTTCCTGATAGTTTAATAGGTAATAGATTTCTTTCACATTGACTTGGCTAAAGTGTTGAATCACAAATGTTTATTTGTTTTCTGAAAAATCAGAAGCTGTAACTGTCAGAAATTTATTATAAATTTGTTTTTTAAAAATGCATTTAATGTCATATGCTGAATCAGTTTAAATAACATTACATGTCTCCTTACAGTGCACTGGAATGTTGTAGTAGAATGTTTCACTAGTTTTTAAAAGGTAGGCTACAAGCACGAACCAGATTAATGGATATTCACTTTAAGGAGGAAGTCTTTCAAATAACTCTTTTTCTACTTTGGCACAAGAGTCACAGCGACTCTTCCTGGGTCACTAAGTGTAGACCTTCTGCCCGATACAATGAACACTGACAGTATCCTGATGGCCAGTTTTCCTTGCCTAGCTCACCCACTGGCCTCCTAAGGAAGCACTGTTCATTGTCTTCCAGACTACAATGGTGACTTTTTCCTGAGATGAACCTCCTTGACAGGGCACTGTCTGGCACCATGTTATTAATATTGAACTACTCAGTTTCTTCGGCTATGTATATTATATTATATTTACATATAAGTTATATAATTTATCAAAAGGAATGAACAGGTCATTATTGTTTATAGTGTATACTATATATGTATAATAGATATACAGAAGTGTCTATAGTGGTCCCTCTTTCTATGCTGAATACATTCCAAGACCTCAGTGAATGCTTGAAACTGAACAATACCAAAAACTCTTCCTTTCTCTATATGTACACATATATGTTTATATAGGTATTTAAGAGTGTGTGTGTATATACATATATATATCTGTACAGTCTGTTTATATATATCAAATATTTTGTATACAGATTAATCAATGGAAACATGGTTTCTGTTCATATGTTTTACCTAAAAATTTAATGAATTTTTTATCTTAAACATTATTGTGCATCATGGCTATGAATTTTGCAGTTTGCAGTTATAATCATGAAAGCTATGATGAATTTTTTTTTGATTCCTCATAGTTTCTTAGCAATCTCAACATGATTTTGTTTTTCTTATTAACCTGAGAATTTTCACCTTTTAAAGGAAATACTGTGTGGCTTCTTTTTGGCATATCTGAATTCCCAGCACCACTCTAGGGCCATTATAAAGTAAAATAAGCACCATGATACTCAGACAGTTGGGTGGGCTACTAATGACTAATGGGCAGGTTGAGTATACAGTATGTATGTGCTGGACAAAGAGATAATTGATGTCTTGAGGAGGATGGTGCAAGATTTCATTACATCAGTCAGATGCTGCACAATTTAAAACTTAAACATTGTTTATTTTTTAGAAATTCTCAATTAGTATTTTCAGACTGCAGTTTACTGATGGTGATTAATTGTGGAAAACAGAACTCCAGGTAAGGCAGAAGGGGTACTGCATATAAAATATAAGTGATACATACACTCACACACTACATATGCATATATATATATATATATATCTGTATAAGTGTGTATTTATGTGTATGTAGAGGCACAGATTTCGTGTTCTCGTCACCATGGATAGTGAGAACTACACATGTATTTTTGAGTATTTCTTACATGCTGGTACTTAAAACAGTACTGTCTCCAAGAAGTTGAAATGTATTTGCAGAGACCAGACATACACAGACAAGAGAAATGATGAATAATAATAGGGACCACTATGAAGCTAATGAAGCTCAAACCCCAGGGCCACTCTCTTGTACAACACAGTTTTGAATATATTGCTAGGGCTCACCCAGTACTTGCCAAGGCCCTGGAGGACCCCTCACAGTGTATTTTGCAATGTATTCACTAGGTCCTAACTTGTAAAATTTGAAAAAGTAAGATTTTTAACAGCAATCATGTAACATTTTCCTTCTCCACTCTGACTTTCCTTTTGTCATATTTCTCTGTGAGTTTGCTAACTTTGGTTTTGAGAGTATTTTTGGATTTTGAGAGCAAGTTTACATTTTGTGGGCTATATTGATATTGGTCATCTCTGTGTCTGTTTACATTTTCCTTGGCTATGTGGTGTAGGAATTGCTCCCTAGGAACATTACCTACATTGGCAGCTTACATAGGGTCCATATACAAAGGTGCAGGTCGGAGATAGCATTTCACATATACTGGGATATCTGCCGTTGGGACTCTGGTTTCAAGTGTATGGCACTAGAAGCTAGTCAGTGAATATCTAAAATTCTAAGTGGAACATTCAATTCTTACCTAAATATAATCAGTACAGGAGTTCTTTTCAGTTAGAAATATACTCAGTAATGAAAATATGTAGCTACAAACACACTTTTTTCTTTTCAGTATTTTTGAACCCAATATTGTGTATGTATGCTGGGCAAATACTCTACCATTGAGTTAAATCTCCAGTCTTAAATGCACCATTTTTTTAGTGGAAATTATATTTAAGTTTCTTGTTCATTTGACATGAACATGTATCAATAGCAACAAAAAGTAGTGACAAGAGTCTGGTTAGTGATTTTCATCATGACAAACATTTTTTAAAGTTAACGTATAAGAAAACTTGAGGCCAAGTGTGGTACACACCTGTAGTTCTGGCAGACTGAAGCAAGAGAATGACAAGTTCTAAACCAGCCCGGGCAAATCAGCAACTTAATGAGACCCTGTTTTAAAATAAAAAATGTAAAAATGGATTTCAGTGTGAAGACCCTGGGTTTAATCCATATACCACAGTAAATAAATGAATGAAAACGTGAAATGCCCTGAAATTTTATGACTCCTACAGAAAATAAAATTTGACAACAATCCTAAAACTATATATAATTACCAGCAAAGAAGTATGACTGACAGTCACTTTCTGAATTATCAATAATTAAAAATAAAATTTAATCACTCATGCTTATGTGAAAACTAACATATCTTTTCACCCTGTAGAAAGTGATATTCATATAAATCCTCGTCACATGAAAATTTATCAGAGCATGTAGTTCAAAGAAGGTATTTATAGGTATAGGTCAAGCAGTTAATTAATATACACATGAATTTTTCTCTGGATTTTGACTTTGTGATATTTTAGTATTACCAAGTTATAAAAGTTTGTGTTTTGTTATAACTTCTTAACCTCAATAAATAATCATTTTCAAAATTTCTGCCATAGTACCTTTTTTCCATGAAGAAGGTCTAAAAATACATTCCAACAAAATGGGTCCATTCCCTACTCCCCTAGTTAGGGAGTCATTATCAACAGTTTTCACACCACTTTTAATTAGCCCTCACTTATAACATACCTATGAAGTAGACATTATCCTCATCTTAGAAGTTATGACTCTAGGTTTGGTAATTACATATAATTTTAGGATTGTTGTCACATTTTATTTTATGTAAGAGCCATAACTTCTCATACTAGTTGCTACTGTACTAGTTGAATACTGTTCTAGTGATATATGAGCTAAAATGTTTATCTTGATAATATTATAAAACAGAAACTTTCCTTCAGGACAGTAAGCCTTTTCCACCTCAGTAACTTTCATTATTAAATTGGCCCTTCTTTTGTCCTGCAATGTCACCCATGGCTGCACCAGATTGGAACGACCCATACTGAATGGTCACCACCTGTGTATTCTGTGCCCTCCCCAGAAATTCAGTTCCGTCTTAGAGGCCAGAGTTTTGTCATCTTCTTGGAATCTTCCTTGAGAAGTGTTTTCAGAGATAGAATGAAAAAAATTGAGTCATACCTCGGTTGTAAACAGAACAAGGCATGAATGTAACTTTGTGGAAGACATTTTTTGCAGTCAATCTCCAAGGGTGTGCATAGATGAGAGATAGTTTGGTCAGTTAGTCCTATAATATACTGGGCCTAAACAATTTCAACATTCTTAGTATATAAGTGTTTTCATTTTCCCACATCTTCCTTGCCAGGGTGTCTGCTATAAAGGAGGCAAGGAGGTGAGTAGGAGAAGCTTGGACTGAAAATAGGACTGAATTTTGAATACTGATCCCACCACCCACCACCTTTTGGCTTTTCAAATTTGGGCATCTGTGACAGTCTTTGCATAAAATATGACAATAACTATTATTAAGTACCTACTAACATGTTGCTCTAACATTCACTACTCAGTATTTTAGTTCTATTTGACACAGGAGGACATCAGGACATAGACCAAATAAGTAATATCTTATGCTCATAGGAGTGAGGGTCAAGTGACCCTACCAGTTACTTGCTCTTTATAGCCTAAGTTATGTTGTTTTATAAGATATTTGTGTCTGTGTTTCCTTCAGGACAGTAAGCCTCAGACTTCTAGGCTCAAGCAATCCTCACAAATGACTGGGATTACAGATGAATACCACCATGCCTGGCTGTTTGCATTTTAATAGAAAGTTCTTTCACACCTGACAGGTACAGAGAACCTGGATTTCCAATAGGAACAATGTGAGTAGCTAGGGAAATATTTTGAAGTTGCAGTCTAGTAGGAATAGAAATGTGTTAGAATGTTTCAAGGGTTCTAAAGAAAAACTAACCCAGGAGCACCGTGTGGTAGTCAGTGGCTTGTGAAGAAATAGAATTAATACAGGAAACATAAATTTATAGGATTATCTTATAATATCGAGAAGGTCAAATGCAGAAGAGTGCAAGAGATCTATGCACGCACTAGAGAATCCAGGGAAGGATGAAGATTCCAGGCCAATGTCTCATGCAAGTCCATATCAGGATTCTATACTGGAGAGGCAAAGGGTCAGTGGTGGAAGCTAGACAGTCTGCACCAGTGGGATGAAGAATCTGTGCCAGAATGCCAAGGGATCTACATTGGAGACAGGAAGTGATGCTCAAGACAAAGGCAAAGATCAGAGCTCCCACTAGAGAACAGCAGCTGAGGGCAGCAAGGACTGAGATGTGCCACTGATGTTGCTGCTGCTGCTGCTGCTGATGATGATGATGATTAGGAGGAGAAAAGCCAAAGTTAGTATCAGGAAAACCAGCCACAACAAAGCTCTCCTGGGAAATCAGCAGCACCCCCTTCACCTACACACACCTTCTTTTGTACAGTTCTGGCTACAAGCCTCAGGTGGGTCTTTCATGCCCAGCACCATGCTGATTTAGTTCAGCAGGACAGTCTCACTTAAACTGACCATTAGTTAACCCACCGCATATGCTATTATCACAACAATAAAAGCAGTAATGTCAATTCTAAAATGGTTATAATTACTGATTTTCTAAGTGTGCCAATTAGTTGTCTCGCTCTTTCTGATGTTTATTTGGAAGTGGGGGTCTCCTGACATGTTATATGACCCTATCCACAAGTACAAACTTTTCCTTTAGATCTTCTAAATCAAAGAATGTTCACATTCTTTATTTTAGAAATTAGTTTGGGACCTAGATGGAAACATTGTGAGTTAAGAACAAAAAACTCCAGGGCTCTGGCCATATGTTTAGAGTCTTTCTGCTGGACACTTCTCCAGTGACATCCACAGAGAGAGCACACTTTGGGTCATATCACCCATCACCAGACCTACACAGCTGGTGCAAGAGCACACCTAGGCTTACAACAGAAGCACCTTGTTCCAATCTAACTTTTTCAGTGAAAACATCTTGGATACCATTTTAGCTGCATGATTCTCCTTGTATGGCAGAATGGCAGACACAGAGGAATCATGTAGAGAGACTTTAAGCTGAACACATGGCAGTAAGCATGAATAAACATAAATTATGCCCCTGTTTCCTCAAATATCAAATTTCAAATGAAGAAAATGGGGCTCCTGATGTTTCTGTGTAAACCCAGGCCGAGCACATACTACAGGGGCCCTTTCTTCAGTAATTGCAGGTAAGTTTCTAGGCCTCTACTTCGCTCCTTGAGCTAATCTCAGTGTGTTAAGGAGTCTGATGGGTGGGGGAACTGGGGACAAAGACTTGTCATCAGGATACAGTGAGTGTCACGTAGGTGTCAGCCCATATATAATCTATAGGTAGTTTTGATTTTAGAGACACGCTGAGTACATCTTTAATAGGATCTTTCTGACACTAGACATCTGGCATTTGGCACCAGCTCAACCAAATGGTTGACAAAGTGAGATTTAAACTAATGTGTCTCAATATTCTGCCCAGATTGGAAACTCCCTTTTATAGGTTGGCTTCACTTCAGCACTTTCAGGGGCCCTCAGCAAAACATTTGCTGTCAAAATATGCAAACATCAGCCAAGAATTTTGGTCAAGAGACATTAAATTACATATGCCCTTCCCTTTGGATGGTAGTAGAATAAAGGCATCATGTCTTTTTAGTCCCTGGAAAGATGATGGTGTCTTAAGTGTCTATCTGATACATATTTTAAAGTAGTGTGAGTGATTCTTGTCTGTGCCTTATGGAAATCAGTGTTACTGATTTAAAAATCACACTTACCTATCAGTAGGGTTAAGGCTAATTTTCAAAATAGGTTGGCATCAGAACCTGGATGAAAAATGAGGATGCCAGGGCTCCATCCCAAAACTGTCCATGTAATTGGCCTGGATGGAACATCTATTTTTAACACTGTAAAGCTGATGATAATACATGTTGGTAAGATTGGAACTTGTTGGTTTACTCTACCAAAATAACTAACATTGTGAGAATTACAACATATCAAAAGGAATCAAACCTTTAAAAGTGTCTGGATTTGGGGTTTAGGTTCCATAGATTTTAGTGTTTAATATATAGAAATGTGCTACTGTTTCATATATGCAGTTAGAGTAGAAGTGCTCAAACGGGAACCTGTGGCCTACTAGTATCAAACTCAAACTCCTTCAGGACATGATATGTCCCTGAATGGACCCAGTTTATCTTAATGGACCCTGGAAGACTGGAGAGCACTTGCTCCCCTTGAAAAGCCAGCTGTGACTCAGCTTCAGCCCAGTCTTGCAGTGTTGGGGAGTAGGCCTTCTGTTGACAGATACTATCTTGTCACTATTGTTTGAGAGAGACAAGCTCAGAATTAATATTTTTGTGTGAAAACTGTCTTTAAATGTTGGCATCTGATACTGATGAGTTTTAAACATTGTGCAAGACAACTCTGCTACTCCACCCAATCACTGTACTTAATAAGAGATATTTTGATAGGTCATGTGCTTTAATTGAGCACATGTGACTGGTGGGGTGCAGTCAGTCCTGAAGATCATTGCTCCGAGCAAAGAAGCTATGTGAACACTAGAAGATACACTGGAAAGAATAGTAGTTTACAGTGGTTTTTAAAATATTCATTATTCTTTATGAAATTATAAACTATTTTAATATGAAATCATTGTGATTAAAATGTCTTATATAGTAAATTCTAAGAAGATGAACCTTAATCCTGAAAGTGTACTGTCAGTCCCCAGTTTACTGTGGTTCAACCTGCAATTTTTTGATGGTGGCATACATTCAGGAGGGCCCATATTTCAAATTTTGAATTGGTATCCTCCCCCTGACTAGGGATAAACCATATAATATTGGATGGTCATCCATAGCTCCTACTCAGCCACACAGCCATGAAGGGAACAGCTGACACTTAGCCACATACAGTTAGGATGTTTGGTAAAGTAGATCCCTTAAATGCATTTTGCAAATAGGATAATTTCAGCTGATGATGAGTTTATTAGAAGTAACCCCATTATTATTTGAAGAGCATTTGTGTTAAGCAGTGTGTGTATCATTATCAGTAGCATTTCTTTCCTCTGGGTTAAAAAAAAACAGGACTACTTAGAAAGTGTCTCCTAAACTAAGCGTTTTCATCATGGCAGACAACCTTTCACAGACTAGTGGAGCATCCTATCCCTTGAAAAGTGGAAGGAGTCTGTGATAGTTAATTTTGGTGTCAATTTGAGTAAGAAACACTTAGCAGGTTGGTTTAGTATAGTTCTGGGTGTGTCTGGATGATTGACTTACTGAAAACTGAAGACTCACCCTGGATGTGAGTGGCGTAAACCAGTAGGCTTGTAACTAGGAAGAAAGAAAAAGGGAAATAAGAAGGAAGCCTTGCTTCTGCTTCTTTGAAGGAGCACCAGTGTTTGCCATCACCTTGGGATGGCCGTCTCTAGGCCTTTACTGCCGTCTTTTCAGCTTCCTGATACACTCACATGGGACTCTACAGTGAGCTCCAGGCCTTTGACTTTTGCCTGGATCCTTTGGATCTGAAGCATGTGGATGACCCTTTTGCATTCTTACATACCTGGCTCTGCAGATGCCATTTTAAGTCTACCTTCTAAATCCTTTGTACAGTATATTGAATTTGTTTTTCTGGTGAATTCTAACTGATACAAAGATTTGGAAACAATGTAGCCTGACTAGCTAGCCTAATTCTATAGACAAAGAAAGAAGAAGACTGAAAGGTAGGAGTGAAGGAGGGGAAAGGACACTGGCCCAGCTGATGTGTCCTGCAGCTACTTGCCTCACCGAGAATCCTCACTTTGCTTCTTTTGCTAAATTATATACATTCTTTGTGCCTTGATTTCTTCATCTCTAAATGAGGTAATAGTAAGTATGGCCCTCAGGGTTTCGTGGGACACTGTGCATATTTAGTATGTTATCTGATGAGTTCTAAAGAAAAGAAAACTCCCTGATCTGTTCTCTTGGCTGTCCTCTGCAGGAGCTCTGCTCTGGACAGTTATGGGTGCTGCCTTTGGAATCTTGCTAGGCATGGGACCTTAGCCAAACTGTTTATTCCTCTAGGGCTTAACTTCTGTCAAATGGGAATGAGAATAGTACTTATCTCAGAATGTTGTTATGTGGATTATGTAAAGTCATGTGTCTGAAGGGCCTGGCATCTAAAAAGTACTCTATAAGTGTTAATACTGAAATGATTTTGCCATCTTTTGTTCATGGTCCATGATGATGCTCCCTTTGCCACACAGTCCTTAGACTCCCCTGACCTCTTCACATTTCCATAATACAGTGAAAGAAATAATCAAAACGCTGTAGACATTTCTGTTTTGGGTTACACATTTGTACTTGGATATAGCCTTGATAGCCTTTGATTTCCTTGGTAAAATTTTGGTTTGTGTTTGTATAAGTCATACTGAGTAGTCCTAGAAATCCATGGCTTTTAAAAAATTGCACACACAAATTCTTCAAAATATACCAGCCTTGAATGATTATATAGATTTTAAGTTTTTGAGATGTTAGATCATGTGATTAGAAAAATGACTACCATATTTGATAAATGTAATTTCCCATTTAAGAGAAAAGGCATTGAAAATTTTAAAAGAGGTTTATTGAGCTATATGAACTGAAAACATAATTTTTTTCACATTGTAAGAACTAAGCAATGGAAAAACAGGAGACACTTTTATCTGTGTTATTTGGAAAGGTTTATTGTGAAAAGATTTGTAGGGCATTAATAAGGAAATCCAAGAACAGACTGTAGAACTAAGAAAATGCCACGCCCTCCTTCTTAAGTATTCTACATCTATTTAATAATAGTCTTGAAATGTCACATACTCAAATCCTGGAAGCTTCTCAGGAAAACCCCTTGTTTGAGAAACCCAAGAAGCAATAGTTGAATTGTTTACTTACTGTGGAGAACATTTAAGATACTTTATTCCTAAATAATATTTACCACTATTACATGAAGTCACTTTATATGGAACTTGTTTTCTACTTTATTAAATAAGTTGGAATCTATTAGTTAACTGGTTCAGGATTATGTCTTTGTAGTAGTTGAATAATAAAATGGTTTCCAATCTTTTTAAGGTTCCTGAAGGCTTATTTTGTTATTTCTCTTCTTTCTCTCTGTGGGTTCTATATTTTGGAAGATTTTGTTTGACAAACAAGCTGATTTAATAAGTAATTAAATACTTTCTGTTTCCATGCAGCAGCATCTGAAACTCCTAATTTATATATTTAGTAAATATTTATTGAATGCTAACTATGCAGGCCTATCCAGGAGCTAGGGATACAGTAATAAATTACACAATTAAAATCTCCATGCTCAAGGGAGAAACAGACAATACACAATGTGTAAGATAATTTCCACCAGTCATAAATAGTGTTGTGAGGAAAATAGCAATAAGGAGACAGATGGGAGTTGGGAGGCCTGTTTGAGATGAGATGGTGCGGGATGGCTTCTTTAGAAGGCCGCTCTGAAAGGCCTGAATGGAGTGGGCATGGGAGCTGTGGGGAGGATGTACTCCAGGCACAGGGACCAGCAGAGCCTGAGGCAGGACTGTCCTCATAGCAGCAGCGTAGGGAGTAAGGCAGAGAAGAAAAAAAGCAGAGTCATGTGTGGACCTGTGGTCAGGCAGTGTCATCAGTGTTACTCCAAGTGACAGTAATTCCAGACCCAACCAAGGATGTGGAACACTGTGTGGTTTATGGTAATTTTCCCTGTGCCAATGATGGCAGACCTTTTGGAGATGAGTGCCCAACGCACTACCTAAAACTACTTATTTTTCACAAAGTTCCAGCATTCCAATTAAGCCTGAATACACTGGTTTTACTTTAGAAAAAGGCAGTGCATGCATTACCATCTTTTTTCTTAAAGGAAAAACATAATAACAGAGCATTCAGTGATACCGCTTTTCATTGAAAAAGCTTTTGGCTTAGATTTGTACAGTTAATGTGATCTTTATTGTTGTATGCATGCTGATAGTTTGTCAAACCTTGCTCATACTTTGTTAGTTTGAGAGAAACATATGCAGCATTCAGGTCATCTGTTTGTCTGTGTTTTGTATCAGATTTGATATAATTCAAAGCTGAAAACAGCTGCTCACAAGCACAAAATGATCCAGGCAAAGTAAGGTGACTTGGCTTGTGTGCTGACAGAGAGAGTTCTGGTGTCTGTAACATTCAAATAGCTCAAAGATCTGTTACCACTTTGAAAGGCCTGGAGGTATCTGAGAAAACCATAATTGACCCTCTAGTTTTCTTTAGATTTGCTTTGCTTGCTACTTAAGCCCCAAAATACTACTTATTTTTAAAAATCTATTGAAATAAACATTTTGACTAATAATTCATTTGACTAGTATAGTTCATTTAGTGTTTGCTATTTTCTTTTGAAACAGCAGTGAAAAATAAGCATTACCTATAATCATGATGTATGTAAGATAATTTTGGTACAGTTTCTAATCTCTTGGGACCAATAGAATTCTTTAAAATTTTTCTTCAGTAGCTTTGTGAAAACTTGAGTAGATTTCACTGATTGTTGGCGCTAATGTGACAACTTGTGGAAGGGTAGAGAAGAGAGTGATTTTAAAAGTAACGTACTGATAGAGGACACAAAAATTATTGGGGGGGATTATGTAGACCCTAAACCTGAAAATATGGTCTCATTTTTAGAGTAGTTTTTTCATTCAGAAAGGTAGTATTTAATGTATCTCTCTTATGAAAAATAGTTCTGCATTTGCATCTTATAGGGAGATGCTAGTGTAAACATTGGTCATTGTTTTACAGAGGGCATTGAGTCTGTTCTCTGCATTTTTACCTGTCAGCATCTTTGTTCACATCATTGGGAAGTGGTGTGTTTGAGTGGCCAAATGACTGTGCACTCAGTGAAATTCAAGGGAAAAATTAAGAGTATGAGATGTGCTGAGATGCATGTGTTTGTACCTGTAACTTAATCTTTCCCATTAATATAAAATGATGGTGCATTTTATATTATCGCTACTTCTGTGATACTATGTCACAGACTGTCCCAAAACTCAGTACTTTTGCTAGTCAGCTTTTTGTTGCTGTGACAAATACCCGAAATAAATCAATTTAAAAGGGGGAAAGGTTTATTTTGGCTCAGAGATTCAGTCCATAGTTTGACTTTATTGCTTTGGGACCGAGGTGGCACACCATGTCATAGCAAGAGTGTGTGACATAGAAAATCTGATGACCTTATGGTAGCTGGGAAGCAAAGAGACAGGAAGGGGTGCTAGAGTCCCAAAATCTCTTTAAGCACATCCTCCAATGACCTAACTTCTTCCTACTAGGCTCTGTATCCCATAGCTTCTATTATTTTCTGTAGCACTACAGGTGGTATCCTAACATGTGGGCCTTTGGGGGACATTTAAACTATAGCAGTGGCAAGCACAGCTATTGTCTGGTCTGCAGGGAGACTGTAGTTTGACAAATCAGTGAGGCTGGTTCAGCTGGGTGGATTTGTTTTAGGCTGCTGGTCAGCTGCAAGTTGGGCTCAGGTCTGCTCATATGTTCATTCTGGACCAGGTTGAAGGGCAGCAGCTATTAAAGGCATGCTTTTCTCATCAGGGACCACCACACCGCAAGTGCCAAATCAAACCACAGAAGCTTACTTAAAACCTCTATGCATGTCAGGCCTGTAACATTTCTTTGGAGATCACATTATGTGGCTAAACTCAGAAGTGACAGGGCAAGGAAGTATATTTCTGCCCAAGGGGGGACAGAGTGAATAATAATTCCATCTATTATAGAAACCTTTTATCAGAACAGAAAAAGTCCAAATGGCTATTGATTTTTAGTATAGAAGTACAAATTTTCTCCTAAAATGGTCGTAGTGCTCTATAAGCCAGAGGTTGCTGCCTACAACAACACAGTGAGCTTGGAAGGCAGATATTGTGACTCCCCAGGGAAGCATGAACAACCTTTTCAGACAGAAATTGAGACTTAAAGGGAAAAAAACCGTATTGATTTCTACTAGGTCATAGAAACAGGGAATCTACTTGCTTCTGTGGTTAGAGATGACCTCTTTTCCATTCGTAGGTTACTTAAGAGTCCAAAGGCTTTAATTTGGGTTTCCCAGTATTTTGTGCTTATATTCCAAATTCCTGAGCTGTTTGGCAAGGCTGAGATGCTGGGAACACTTCCTGTAGTGCCCTCTCCCAGAATAGAGAGAGTCACAAAAGTTTCGGGACTATTTGGCCACTGGGGCCTGAACCCTATTTCTTCCCTTGGTATAAGCCACTGTTGGTAGATGGTAATGGACAGCCAGGCAGTCGGGAGCCTCCTTTCCCCATTCTCTTACTGTACTTCAACTTTTGTGTGATTGAAAAAGCTGTCACTGGTGTCAGACACCCCAAGTCTAGACCACTGTGTGATTTTGGGCAACTTACTAATGCATGATTTTCTCATGCATTAATACGATTTTCTCATATTAACTACTATGTAGAACTGATGGGAGAGTTAAGTGAGCTAGTGTGCGACAAAGCCTAACAGTGTCTGGCATGAGTTAATAAGAACTGCTAATGCCTTTCTGTTATCTTTTTCAGCAAGCATAGCAGGCAGAATTCTATTATTGGTACTTTAGTATTTTCTTACTTCTCCACTGAATCGTGAGTTCCCAAAAGACATAGTTCATGTCTCATCATTATGTCCCCACTCTGCAGTAGCACTAAATTTATGATGTAGAAACTAAAAATAATATCCCCTGATTTGAATAATTGTATTCACAAGTGTCACAAAAAGTTCACCTCACAGGCTCAAATTGGATTGTTTTTTTTGTTGTTGTTACTGTTTTGTTTTGGTACTGTGTTGAGGATTGAACACAGTGCCTTTGCACTGAACTACATCTCCAGCCCTTTTTCAATTTGGGGATAAAGTCTTCTAAGTTACTGAGGTACACAGGCTGGGCTCAAACTTAGAATCCTACTACCTTAGCCTCCTAGAGTGTTGGGATTTAAATGGCTCCTAAAAAGTCTTTTTTTTTTTTTTCCACTTCTGTGTTTTACCTGAAAGTCTTTTGAAGCTATAGGCTTCTTATGTTACATCTGAAGAGTTTTCATACTGTGTCTACAAGACTTAAAGAATATTTTACTTGAATATTCTGGCTCCTGTTCTTTGAGTTGTCTCTCACATTGTGGCTGTGATCTTACCATTGCTCACAGGTATTGTAAATTTTGAGCTAAGTCATGGCTCCCAAGGAATGGTCGCTCCACAAACCTGTTGTAACAAATAGGCCCAAGCTTGTGTGATCAAAAGGTCAGGAAGTTTATTCCTCTGACATATAGGATTCCAGGATGGTATGTAGGCCCTCAGCTGCAGGTGCTTATTCAGGGTTTCACCTTCCTCCCACCCTAGACCTCTACTCTCCCAGACTGTACTCTTCCTTCTTATGGTAGCAGCGAGATTTCTTTAGTCCTCTGCTGAGGATGACCCTTGGAGGAACAGAAGAGTGTGGAGGAATGTACAGTGTGTGATGACCTAGACCTTCATTGGTAACTTGTCACTTTCACTCTTGTTCCATTAGTGGGAAATTAATTGCATGGCTACTACAGCTGCCAAGGCCCTGGAATGTGTAGTCCCCAGCGGGGCCTCACTACAGTTCTGTTTCTGTAGAAGAGAGCGCCTGATCTGGGTGGACAGCAGTATATGTTCTTGCCCTGCTCCAAGATTCTGCTTTTGAGAACCTCACCTTTTTTAAACAACTAATACAGAGCCTAGTGGTTTCATGGAGAGAGTGAATGGTTATAATAATATTTAGCAGCAGTTACAATTTACTGAACTCCAACTCTGTGCTAGGAGCTATTAAATATAGATGAAAGTGTTATCTCATTTGACCCTCATAGAAAGGCTACCAAGGAGATACTTTTAATATCTGCATTTTAAGCCAAAACACATTCTTAAGGTCACAAGCCAGGCCTGCTTGACTCCAAAGTCCCCACCTCCCCATGATGCCCTGGGTCTGATAAGATGCTCAAGAAGTAAACAGTAACCACTTGCTGCTTCTCTTTGGCTTTTGTAACTGGTCAGCAGCATGGGCTGTCCACAAATGTGTATTCTCTGGAAAGAGTCACACAGAGGCTGTGTAACTGTCTCTCAGGGATCCATGTAATGTCTTCCTGCTTTGTACTGTGGGCTGTGGTAACCTCTGTGCTTCTGTGTGAAGGTCCCATGCACTGGTTTGTACACTGAAGTTTCTGATTGTCACTCACGATTCCTCATTCCTGTGACCGTAGAGGAGTCCATTGGCACACCCACTTTGTATTTCCTTGTTGATGAGAAGGCACAAGAGAGCCAGTAGTTGAGATTGGAGTTCTCAGTGACCTGGACTGGAAATAACATGCATACATCAGCCTTAATCACTAGTTTTCCAGGAGTGTTCTTCAAGTGGTAGAATTTCTATAGAACTCTAACAATTTTCATACAGGAAGTTTCAGTAAACTTTTCTTAAAGAATTTTTAAATTAAAAAGAATATAAAAACTAAATGGCTGATTATAATGACAATGGCTATTTGTTGAATGCTTACAATATAAAAGATATAATTCTAGTGACTTTATGTGCATTAGTCTCTTACAGGGCTGTTGGTACTGTTCCCAGTTTACGTCTGAGGAAGCTGATCCAGAGTGGTGAAATAACTCACTCATTTTCACTCACTAGAGGGAGGGGTAACCAAAATTCAGACTTCGAGATCCAGTGCTACACTGCCTCTGGAATGAAAGATTTGTGGTTTCTCTCAGATCTAAAAGTGGGTCTGTATTTCTTGCTGTGTATAGATAACTCAGACCTTTTCTTATGAAAAATAAAAATAAAAACAAAACTCTGAAATAATTCACTACCTCCTTCTATTTAATTAGACACTGCTGAGTACTAGTAGGTCCATGTTTTGCTGATGGTTTTTAAAAGCCTTCATAATCTTTTCATTATCACCCGAAGCAGCATGAAGTTTGGTCACAAAGTTTCTGACCATGGTGCTGCTTTGATAAATACATTGAAGTCTTCCCAAAACACAGCTGGTTCTGGGGATGGGAGCCACCTCCTGATGAGCTGCTTTTGGTATGCAAGGAATGGCCGCCTGTGATGTATCTCAAATTATGCTTTGTAGCTAACAGTGATATAAAGACAGCTCAGAATCAAAGAATTTTACAGCAGAAGGAACCTTTGACAACATCTCCTTCAGTCCACAAGCCTCACCCAGCATGTGCCAGGCACTTCTATAAGGCATAGGCAAAGCTCTCATGGAGCCTTTCTTCTAGATGAGGCAGAGAATAAACAGAGCAAAAAGTAGATATGCTGGCTTGAAAATTCAAGCCCAGCTTGGGAACTCAGTGACTTAGTGAGAACCTGCATCAAAATAAAAAGTGAGAAAAGGCTGGAGATGTAGCTCAGTGCAAAGGCCCTGAGTTCAATCCCCAGTACCAAGAGGAGGGAAAATCCCAGAATAACAGGTATCATGTTATGTAGTGTAAATGTTGCTGGGAAGAAAGGGAGGCAGAGTGAAGTGAAAGAGGAGCACTATGTTATGTTATTTGTAAGATGTTTATGCAAATCAGCATTTCGATCCCTTTTTTTCATCATGTGTCTCCTGCAAACATCTTTTTTCCTATTCCCACTGTTCCTCTTGAAATTTCAATGTCATGGATATCTATGCTGTATGTGTAAAGAAGTGCCTCCCCCTCCCTGCCCTAGGGCCACGTTTCACCACTTTGGAGGTAATACCACTCCATCATTCTGTTAGGTTCTGCTTTTTTGCCACTGCAGACGAAACGAAACTCATAAAGTAGATGTTTCCACAACCTAACCTAAAAGGACATTAAAACACTAAAATACTTTATTTCTAATTAAGTTATATTTAGGAAGATAGAAGGGTGGCCAGTGACACCTTCAGGTCGTGTTCTCTTCCACCTTCACGATCAGGATGGACTTAGTACAAGTACAGTACTGGGCTCCCATGTCTCAATAGTAGTGGATGACAGTACCCAATGTGGTCAAGTTGCTGTGCTCAGGTTAGGAACCTCTAGTACAGGTTGTAGGTGCTACTGTGGGAGTCTTAGGGCAGCCAGATACCAAAGTTCTTCAATCCCAAGGAGTTCTACGCAGATACCTGCTGACAGAAGATGATTTCTCCTTCATTTTTTTAAAAGTTTATTTTGAAAGTAGTAAAAATACAACAGAACAAGACAGAACAAAACCAATCGAGACAATGCAGTGAAATTGGTATAGAATTTCACAGTAGGATACTGGGATGTAGTAATAGGTACTATGGTATATCTCATTATCTTCACAACAGTTGTCCAGTCAATGAGGTATAGTAAAATCAAACCAAAAACAGAACATTATAAAACCAATTGAGACTATGGAATAGAGCAAAAGAAACATAATGAAACAAAACAGTGAAAAAAACCTTTTGTCTTCAAAGAAAATAGAAGGAAATCCCCAATATTTGCTATATTGCTTATGGTCATCCTTCCAAGAGATGCTGAGATCTCTATCCCCAGTAGCTACTGGGTGAGGGGTGTTTGATTCTCAGCTTGGTGCGCACACCAGTAGGTTCACAGGAGCTGCTGGTTCTTCTCCTGGCCCACACTAGGGGCGCTTACCAAGAGGGCAGAAGAATAAGCTGCCTAAGTCCCACCATGGCCAGATCTCAGGAACGCTGGTTCTCGCCTTCATTTTCTTAAACTGAGACACAGAGTATCAGAAGTGGGACTTGGTGACAGTGTGATTAGATGCTAAGGTCTGCATGCAGTGGAGAGGCAGCATGTGACATTTGGTAGTGCTCAGCACCTTGTACTCTTGAAGCATGCCTAAGGCCTTTATGTCCTCTTTCCTGGTTCACTGCTACCCACAGAAGGTCAATTTATGTTTCATCAAACTCCTGAGCAATTCGGACGCACACTTGGGAACCACTACTCTAGAACATGTAGCATTAATTTGTAACTACCATGAATGAATGGTCCCTTCCCTTGACTGAATGAGCATTTTGTGCTTTCGGGAAAAATCAATAAACAATTTTCCTTCTTATCTCAACTCCTTATCAATAGTCTGTTGTACTCAGAAATGTACACAAGTCAAAAATAGACAAATCATATTTTATTTACTACAGATTTATTCTAGCAGACAGTGGCAGGCTCTGCCAAAGTCACAAAGTGACTCCCCATGAAACTGACCAGGAAACCACCACTGATAATACAGAGTGTGCCTTGGCCCTTGACTGATTCCTCTGTGTGAAAATAGGCCTTGGCTGCCTTGATCCAGTGACTTACACATTCTGAGGAAAACAGACACTCGTGCTCATCCAAAGTAAACATCCCAGTGAACCTTTAACAAGCAAGGACTTGGTTAAAGACCGGTGACTCCAGTAAAATGATTTAGGTGTTTTGGTATTTAAGTATATCGCTGTATGATTCTTGGCAGCCGTTAAACACCAGTCAGGAGCAATTTGAGTTGCATGGGTACCATTATCTTTCAGGAGTATCTTGTGCATAGCAGCTCTTGAGCTTTGGACATTACTTGTATTTGCCTGTATAACCTTACAGCCACCTTGTGAGGTAGATACTCTTAATATCATTTTATAGATCAAAATTCTGAGGCATTATGAGGTGAATTTGCACAAGGTCTTCTTCCCGGGGAGAGGGATTTTAGACTTTGAATGCAAGTAAACTTTTTTTTTTTTTTTTTTTTTGGTATTTTTTGTGCTTGTGGCCGTGCACACGTACACACACATATAACGTCATACTCTCATACTCACACATTCAGTCTGCACTCTCACAATCTAGAAATGATGTTTCTTTTCATGTCCTCTGCATGGATCATTTCTAGGTGTGATTATTCAATTTTGGAGGAGGCCCTATTTACCTGTTGCCTGCTATGAGTGACCAGGCTCTCCTCTCTGTTTGGCACCTTTGCTGGTTGACTCTGAAAAGAGGAGAAAGCATTACTTAGTGTAAACCAGAGAGCCCTAAGAAGTTCCTGTATTATTCATTTCTCTTCTGAATTTCTCCTCTTGCCTCAAAAATTGAACATGCTTTTCGGGGGAAGAAGGAAGGCATGTAACTCTGTTACATGGCAGCTGTTACAAGGCAGCATGCTTTGGTAGCTAATGGGCTTGTGCCTCAGTGGGGAGAATGATGGCTTCTCCCAGGACTCTGCAGAATGAGCTAAACGGAGAGTGAATTAATTTGACTGATGTATACAGTAACTATAGACAGCTTATTACTGGGCCAGGTTTTAATATTCTCACAAATGAATTCTCCTTGTATTCTGCCCAACTACTCAGTCTCTTTAATAGCCTGAAATTGAGTAAAATGAGAAGGTGCTAAAGTAGTTGAAACAAGAAGTGAAATATATGTACTGCATATTTTTATTACAGCCTTCTTTCCACCCACCCTTCCTAATCACTTTTTTAGTGACCAATGTGATTGCAGAGTGATTTGGTGGGAAAAGCACTTGCAACCAAATTTAGTAAACCACAGGCCAATTTTGTTTTAGTTTTAGTGAGGAAGGGTAGGTAACAGTTGCAAATGGATTATTGTATTTGCTTCTAAGCTTTTTCTTTTTAAAATATTTTCCCTCTTGATCTCTCTAGTATGTTTTGTCTATTTTGAAACTAATTGTTTGAGGAAAAGAGGCCATTATTTTCAACCATAGGAATTCCATTTTTTAATTACATAGGCTTTACTTTAGTAAGAAATTAAGTGCTATATTTAGTCATTGGTGTTACAGAAATTTTGAAGGTGAGAATTTAAGTACCATAATTGATAAATGATACATAGGGATGAGGAATTATAATAAATAATGGTTTAATAGTAACTGTCTTCAACATCCTAAAGCTGATTGATAGATTAATGAAGTACAAGCAGAATAATTGAGGACTAAATTGCATAGGAAATGTGAATGGGTTTGTTTTTACCTGTGCAGCACAATAAAGTTTTAGAGGCAGTTGATAAATTGGTTTGGTTCACTGTGTTGAGTATTTGAATTCTAATACTCTAGGGTACTAGAAAATTAGAAATGCGAGATTAAGTCAACCCAGAGAATCTCGAAGAGGTTATATAATGATCAAACCTTTTTAAGGGCTATTGGTAGACTGAAATCCACCTACCCACTCTCTCCTCTTCCTGTTTCTATAGTGACTCTGTCCAATGACCCTGTGCCATGTTTCAACTTGTAATGACCAAGGACCCATAAACTTTTCAAATTCATTCTGGTCCATTCTGTTGGTTGAACAACTCTGATTATAGGATCAGTTTGTGGTTTGGTAGTAAAAGCTTATCTGTGTTTTGCAGCTTCTCCTGTGTATATAGATCAGCTATTCTCATAGTTGGGGCTAAGTGTCAAAGAGGGCGACAGTCTTAAAAACCTTGAGGAGCCAGTATTAAGGTCTCTCATTCCTACACTTCCTTCATCCCATTATGAAAGGACTCAGGAACAGAGAATTCTTGGCATTTCCCAGTGTTCCAACTTTTACATAGTGAGATTTCAATGGGAACTTCCAGATTCTCATGATAATTGTTCTGGGGTAGAGGTGGGGGTGGAGGAAATAGGTGGAGGGCAGGAGAGGTTTATGTGGTTTGCAATATAAATTCACGTTATTGTAGTCCCTCAGAAGTTTCCTTAAAAGGAATAAGACCCCATCTATGGGGAGAGGTAGTCCCGCGATGGCCAACACTAAACTATGTCAGTGTTGTCGCATGTAATGAAACAAATCTCTGAAGAAGGGCTGTAAGGCAATGAGGGAGAAGTCTGAACATGAGGACAGAGAGACTGACAGTGCTCAAGTTGAAAAAGGGAATACAGATCCAGATATGCAGAGGTTCATCGGAGGGAATAGATGTGATTAGTGAGCTGCAAAGAGTGAATATGGTAAGAATGGAGAGTACAGAAGGCCAAGGTTGTTTCAGATGGAATTTCCTGGTGTCTTCATCTAGAGCTCACCAGTTCCTTTTTAGTTGTTCTTGCCTTTAATTATAATTGGAAAAAAAAGAAGCTACAAACTGATCATTACAATGAAAAGTTCCCCAATAGAAAAGTTGTTTTTTAAATCATGATCTGAATACAGACTTCAGGGAAAAGACATTAATTAAAAAAAGAAGTTACCATTTTTTAGTTTAAAAGTGATATTTTTCATTGCTTGCAAAAGAACCAGGTGCTTCTATTTCATTAATTTTATTCCAGCAAACATTTCTTTGGAGTGTACTTCCTGGTTGACAGTGTTGAGAGCAGTGTGCTTGAAGATGAGCGTGCCAGATGTCCTGCGAGGGTTAGCCCTGGTGGCCCCTTGCTGCTTGTAGAGCAGCAGTGGAGGTGTGTATAAGGAGGTGTGTGTAAGGGCTGGGGATGTGGCAAGAAGTAATGAAGTAGGCCACACTTCAGGGCTGCTCTTGAGCAGGGCCTAGAAAGGAAGAGGGAAAGTCAGAAGGTAGAGAAGGCAGATGTTTGCTGCTGTGGTGACTGGAGCAAAGGCTCAGGCTTCCAGAAAGAAAAAATTACATTTGGCTTCCAAAGAATGGCACCATGTGGAAGTAGGGGCCTGGAGACAGGGAGAAGAGGGCCCTACAGGTAGGAGCGTGGATAGAAAGGGGAGCTGGGGTTTGTACCACAAGGTGAATTTCTTTCTCTTTTGTTATGTGGGACCATGGGGAGTGTCCTGGCAACCCCAGGCTATACTGTATACAGGTTGATTGAAGAGTGTTCTGTGCTCAAGAATTTTTTCCCATCTTTGCTTCTGCATCAAAGGTGAAAATGTAATGACCTGGAAATTAGTCTCTGGAAGTTGGATATTATCTGGACTGCTCAACAAACCTTTCATATGATTTATAAACTTTTAGAATTCTGAGAAACTAAGAAACTACATAATAGTATTGTACTGAGCCTGTTGTTATGAAAATGTAATGCAGATTTTTAAAAAAATTTAGTCAGTAATTATGACAAACTTTAAACGTTCAAATATGTCTCGGTGTATCTTTTCTGAGCTTTTTTACTGTCATTTTTCTCTTCCCCCTTTTCAAGCCTTCTGCCTTTCCCTGTGTCTACAATCTCATCTCCAATCACTACTCCCTCATCTGTTGGTCTTTGTTAACTTGCCACGTTTACTCTTATTCATGCATTTCCTGAGAAGGGCTTTAAAGTTTTTATCTTTCTCTTTTACAAAGCAGCAATAAATCAAGATTTATTTATTACCCATGTGACCTTTCATTTTCCTCCTCTTTCTGAGCAAGTGGGAAAGAAAAAGCTAATACAGGGTTGCACAGAGGAGGCATTTAATAAATATTAGAAGAATGTAGTGAGGCTTGGGAGATAAAAGGTTGGGCTGGCTTTATGAGGGCCAATTTACTTATTCCAGGAACTGGATTCAGGCTTCATAAATGATGAAACAAGTCATGTATTTGGGTTCATACTTTTAGAACTTTTACGTATTCAGAAATACCTTTATGAAATCAGGGGGAGGGATTACGTATATCAGAAGTCATATATACAGAGGTTTAGAAACCCTGTCACAAAGCCTTCAGATCCAGTGGCCTGATTCATTTCCTTTTAACTGGCCTGTAGATTTTTCATATTTTAATATAAAAGAATATATGATTCATCAAGCAATCTGGATGAATTTCACTTCTACATGATGAAATAGTAAATGAGATTGAAACTCCTACTTTATCATGTCAGATCAAAGCTGCATAAAGATATGAGCCTGCTGGTTTGTTTTGAATGATGTATAAACAAAATGATAATGTGAAAAAAGCAGAAAAAAAGAAATTAGTAGGTTTTTGTCAACATGAGCCTCAATCTTTTTTTTAAAACTTGTAAATATTATTGTAACTCTATTGAATGATGGTAATTTATAACAATTTCAGAATTTTTAAAAATTTAGTTTGACCCTCAAACTTTATTTTATATTCTCATTTTGAAAGTACTGTAGAACATATAAAAGATACAGAAAAATATGAAAACTTAGAAGAGACAGAAAGTCATAAAGAAAGTACATTCGGGGCTGGGGATTTAGCTCAGCGGCATAAGTGCCTGCCTTGTAAGCAGGCAGTCGTGAGTTCGATCCCTGGTACCGATAAAAACAAAAAAAAAGACAAAAAAAAAAAAAAGAGTAAAAAAAAAAAAAGAAAGTACATTCATAATCCATCTTACCAAGAGCTACTGCCTTTAATGCTTGGACACATTTCTTTTCAGACTTACTTAATTTATATTATTCACTAGATTATATATATATATATATATATATATATATATGTCATAGTATGCTTTTCTATACAGCTCATAACAGAACATTTATGCTTACTTTATGTATTCTTCCTACATTATATTTTTAATGGCTCAATTCCAATGAACCCACAAACTTTAATTTAAAATAACTTGAATGAATTTCACATTCAGCCTTCAGACACCTAATTGACTGGAATTTGGGATCTCTAAAGCAGGTTTCTTTTGGCCAATGGGCCATCGGATTCATCTGGAGGCCAGGTATCCTGTGACCCCAAAGGCATATAGACTTGCAATCATATAAGCCCACTTTCTAATCCTATTGAACACTTCCCAGTCTCTCCCAGGCTCTTACGGCACATTGCTTGGCATCTTAGAAGAAGGACCCTCCTTCTTGTGCTCTGTAGTAATCAGTTCCCAAAGGGCCAACCAGTAGCAAACCATGGCAGTGTTTACCTGGTCTGCAGAAAAAATGAGAAAAAGAATAGACGCACCATTGTGAATGTTTCTTCAAGTTAGATGTATCATCTTATTCCAAGTTGGCACCTTGTTTGAGGGTATGTGTTAAAACATTGTTTCTTTTGTGAAATGAAAATATGGTCATAGCAGACATCTTTTTTCTATACTCTTCCTTAAGGCATTATTTTTTTCTCTCTCGTGTATTGCTTTGTGAAATCCAAAAGTCTGGGAGTAGCTCTTTTGCAGGCCAGTTGTGCCAAATTACTGGTAGTTACCATACTTTGCTCACCTTGTTTGCTGTACTGGGGTGCTCATTTCCACACTTTGACAGGATGGCTGGTTCTTCCAACATTTCTTAAGAAACGCCCCCCTAAGCTTTCCAGACCTGCTTTTCCACTAGGTAGAATATTTTTCCATTTGGGGTACTTACTGATTTACCCAGCTGTCTACTCTAAAAACCCTGGAAGTATACCTGAAAAGTGGAGCCCTTGTTAGTGGACTTCTCCCCGGAGGAACCAGGGAATGCTTCTCAGGGTACTCCTGGTGTCAGCACAGTGAAAGTAATACCTTCAGCCTTCTAGTGCAAGCTACCTCTTCTTGCAGATCATGTGGGTGATTTGTTTGCTTTTCATGGTTTCATGGTTGTTGCCAGACGGGACTTTTCCAATCAATGTTGTAAGACTTTTAAAAATAGTACATTTATCTCATCAGGGCAAGAAAATCTGGGAAAGACAGTGGAAGAAGAAAATGACTTACCTGTTAAGAACAAGTGAATTTTCTAGTAATTATTTTGCCCATTTCCATGTTTGGCAAGTCCATTTATTTTGGACAAACCTTGGATTAAAATATATGTGAGCCCCACTTCACTGATTCATATTGAAGAAAAATGTGTACTAGTGTGGGGAACCCACATTTTGAACCCAAGCTTTCCCATTGCTTTTTTATTCTGGCTCTCTTAACAACTACATTCTTCTCCCTGTTTCTTACCCTGAGAAATTCACCTGAGAGGGAGGCATGACAAGGAAGATGTGCAGTGACCCTAGAAGAAAAGCCCCATATATGTAATGTGAACAAAAATATGATGAGTGTTTAAAAATTTAAAAATATATCTATTACAGTAAAAGACATATTGCCATTAATCCCCCTCAAAATACTTCCTATTGCTCTGAACACTGTGCTTCCATTGTTTTTGCCATTTTCTGAAGCAATTCTGGAGGTCTTCTTTCCTGAATGTCTTTAGTTGTACTGTTGTGGCTGCCTTGTTGTCATGAATTGATTAAAAATGTTTGCCATTCATCTTTGTCTTAATTACTTTCTCTTGTTGCTGAGACAGAATACCAAACATCCACAAATTAAGGGAGGAAAGGTTTATTTAGTTTGCAGTCTGTAGAGGTTTCAATTCATAGTTGGCTGATTTCAAGGTAGAGTGGCATGGCAGAGGGAATTTCCCAGGAGAAAAAGTTCATGGCAGCAAAAGCAAGCAAGCAAAGCAACAAGCTGCAAACAACCATAGCATCTTTTTCCTGACACTTTTATATAATAACTAGACTACCTGTTCAGCCTCATCAGTGGACTGTTTTACCAATCACACATCTCTAATCCTAGCATCATATTGTGGATCAATCCCAGCAGTACGTCCATGGTCCCAACAGCACAAATCAGCCCCACGTATAAGTACATGAGGCTTTGGGGGAACATGTAGATGTAAGCCATAACAGTGGTCATTGTGGCTTTGGATAAAAGTTTAAAGTTGTATGATGCCAAATCTGGTGAATAAGGTGGAAGGGAATACACCATCATTTTTTTTTTTTTTTTTTACGAACCTACCTTTCTGTTGGATAGCACTTAGCAACAATATTCGCTGTATTTTTTTATCATAACTCATAAAACCATATAAAAGTTCTTTCAGAACTGTTTCAGAAAGTGGCAAGAATGATAGGATATGGTCAAAACTAAGGGAAGTATTTTGAGGGGGGCATATAGCAATGTAGTTTTTACTATAATAAATTTTTAAAAATCTAAGCATTCACTGTATATTTTGATCACATTGTAACAAAACAACCTGGAATGTTGGTGTGATCCAGACTTTTTGCTTGCCTGTCTTTGCCTGACTGTTTTATGTTTTGATCTTCAGGAGAAAAACAAACAGAAAACAGATGACTTTGCCATCCTTTCTTTCTCTGAGCACATTTTTTTCCTAACCCTGGCATCATACTTGTTTGCCATTTTTTCCAGTTTAAGAAAAAAAGAGACTTTCCATGTATTTGTTGACAGGCTAAGAAGGAGTTGTCTAGTTCAGTTGCTCACTTGTGATAGTGTAGGTCAAATGAGAAAAGGAAGCTGGTTGCAGGCTGTGCAGCCCAGCTCTTGTATGACTGCACCCTGCGTCTGAGGAAGGATTACTTGCCAAAAATGACAGTGGCAGTACTTAATGCAAGGGAAGAAAAAGTTACTGTTTTTGTTCTAGTTAATTTTGGGTTAGGAGAAAAGATTTGGGTACCATCTCTTTGTGTCAGAGAAAGTAGCAGGTGAATGAAGTCAGTGGATGTGGGTTGGGACAGTTTGCTTCCCCATAAAGACGTCTCACTTGCCCATCTCTGACTGTAGACTGAGGAGATTCTCCTCCTGTAGACGGAGTTGTACACATCATCAGTGCACGGTGACTTAGCGCATGTCAGTGTCTCCTTCCTTTGTTGCTAAGTGTTTCAAGTGCAGCAAGAGTTTGTCTTCCCAGTTAGTTATTGAGAGCAGAAACCAGGCCTTGGTTTTTAAAATTTGTTTTACTAATAAAATATCCCTAATTTCAAGTAAGAATTTGGTAAATGTGTTTTGAGTGGGTGAATGGATTTGATGGAATGGATGAAACTTTTTCCTGGATTTCACTCTGCTAACAAGCTGCCACTCTTCTTGGGAAGTCTACTTGCATAGAAAAAAAAAAAAGGAGGAGGAGGAAGAGGAAAAAAGGAAGGAATAGGAGAAGAAGAAGAGGAAGAAGAAGAGGAGGAAGAGGAGGAGAAGGAGGAGGAAGAGGAGGAGGAGGAGGAAGAGGAAAAAAATTAACCAAGATGTAACAGTGGTTGAGTTTTAGTGGACTATGTGATTAATTTCTCTATTACTCAAATGTCTTGAAAGACAGCTAAATAACTTCCATAATGTTAAAAAAAAAGAGTTTATAATAATTGAGGAAAACAATGACTGGAAACAAATATGTCAAATGTCAACAACCACTAAATAAAAAAAATAAGTACTTAGATACTTGTTCTTTGGGCACTTCTACATGATGGAAACATTTTTTAATTACAAAAAAAAATTTCAAGGAAAATAGTAAAGCACTTAAAGTACATATCAATAGTATGAAGTACAAATTAACATTATTGAAAGAAAATGGAAATTTCTATTTTAAAATGACAGTCTAGAGTAGGGAGATGCTAGTCTGCCAAATATGGTAACCCCGAAGGACATCTCTGTTTAAGAAGCTAGCATGGCTGGAGATTTAGCTCAGCAGCATAAGCTCATACCAAAACAACAAGAACAACTGCAAAATAAAAAAAATAACAGTAAGAATCTATCATGGTAATCATATTTAGAATGATTCTACATTGTCAAGTAAATGTTCAGTAGATTCCATTTAATAAGGCATAGAATTAGCACCTTTTAGTACTTTAATTAGGCGCTTAATAAAATAAATTTAAGTTATATGAAAATTCACTCATGTGAAACACCTGAAGATCCCCAAGTGCCGTGAGGTTGCTCAGGTACCCCTTACATTGGACAAGTGACAGATCCTCAGATACATCACAGCTCTTTATAACAGAAATACTTATGATCAATTGATCAAGGGAGAAATGGCCGCCTTGAACTCAGTGTTGATTCTATCTTTTACAAAAAAGAAATTTCTTTAAGGTGTTGGCCTCTTTTTGCTGGCTTTCTCTCTTTAGTATGTCTAGTCATTTTCAATTCTTTGTGTAAATTCATGTTGTCTTGCCTGGATTGATCCTACTGATAGGTGTCATTTTTGTACCTGGATAAATGACTAAAGCTATGTTGACATTTCTACAAAAGACAAAATCAAGGAATTCAGGAAATAGCATTTAGGTTATTAGCACAGATCTTATTTTAGGGCTTCTCAGAAGAATATAAAATTGATGTAGACAACAGGAAAACTGCTTTGCAATAAAAAGAAACAAACTCTTCATCCACATTGTGCCATGCATGAAACTCAAAACCATGATACTGAGTGAAAGAAGCCAGACACAGAGATTAATATGCAGTGTAATTTTATTGTATATGAAATTCTAGAAAAGGCAAAACTATAGGGATAAAAAAAGATCAGAGATTGTCAGGGTCCTAGCATGGGAGAGGGACATTGCCTACAAAGAGACACAAGGGAAATTTTTTTCTTCTAGTACCAGGCATTGGGGTTTTGCACTGATATGCATCCCTGCCTCCCATCCACCTTAATTTTTAAATTTTGAGACAGATTGTTGCTAAAATGCCCAGGCTAGGCTTACACTTACAATCCCATCTCAGCTCCCAGAGTGCGGAGATTGCAGGAGGCATGCACCACCATAGGACTACAAAGGAGCTTTTATGGAGTCTCGCACATGCTGGTTTTTTTGTAAATTATGGTAATGATTACCGCACTGTATAAATTTGCCATCACCCATCAAAGTTTACACTTAGAAATGGATACATTGTATGTAAATTCTTATCAGTAAAACTTAAGGAGTCAACTTCTACTTTTGAAGATAAATTATTACCAAACCATTATCAGAATGGTATTATTTGTTGGATGCCTCCAAGAAATTACTGTACTAAACGTTAAAAATGACATCATCTGACATTACTTAGAGTTAAGATTATTGATGATTAAGCTTCAGGGTCAAGGCATATCAGCTTTTAACTTCCCTGTCTCCATTTCAGTGTGTGCTTAGGTATGCTTTTATATTTACCTTCATTATTTTGGGAGGCATGCCCTCCTAATATCATGGCCACCATACTCAGAAAAACAAAAGTTAAAGATGTGAACCTCGTCTTAGAGACCTTTTGGTGCCCAGAACATCTTAGCTACATTTCCCTTGGTCTTTTCATTTGCTGAAATAGAGATCAGGTTTAGAAGATAGCAAGGATAGGGCTATCTTGGTTCCTTAGTTCCTCGTTTAGCAGTGCGAACTTTCAATGACTTCTGACCTCCTAGGAGTATTGAATATGTTTGATTTTAATTTTAATGAAGAATAGAAAGTGATCTCATTTCCCAAACTAAGTGAAAAGTAAATTGAAAAAGACCAACCAAAATTAATTTCTAAATTTCATCAACATTTGCGTTTTACTCTTTTCTTCTTGGAATATGAGTAATAATGCTGGGAAATCAAGTGCCATTTTCCAGAAAATTTAATCTTGATTTAAAAAGCCTGAATTAGAAGAATTAGGAATCTTTATCCATCTGTCCGTGTTTGTTTTTAAAAATTTAGTCTCATTTATAAAATGAATGAGCACATTTTCTACTAAATGATTATACCGGGATTATATATATTTATTTTCAATGTCAGTCCATTGCTTATTTGATTTGATTTTTTATTAAATTAGTGTTTTATTCTCTTTCCTCTTCCAACTCTTTGTAAACAGACTGTGGGGACCCTGGCAGGGAAGAACCCCAGCCTCTCGGGGACAGAGTGGTGTCCCTGCTGATTGGCAGGCAGAGCCTGAGACTCTGGAGTGAGACTGCAGCTCCATTGTTTCCCGCAGATGTCTGCCTCTCAGAGCTGGGGAAATTGATGACTGAATAATGCAGTGTACACACAGAGAACTTACCATTCCAGACAGAACAGTCTGTTTCTCTTTTGATGCTAAGAATATCTGCGGAGCTTTTTTGGTCCCATGCTTCCAACTCTTTTATTTCTTCTAGTATTTCAACCTTTGGAAATCGGCTGTATCTTTAATCTTATTCTTAGTACTAGCTAGGGGCTAAGTATTGAGTCTGAAGTAGACTTGCCGAGTAACCTTAAGTGTGAGCTCCCTTATCTTAAAAATGGGAGGATAGTACTGTCTGTATCCAGGGAATACTGATGAATGATCATAAAAGCAATGTAGACTGTTTGCCAATGCAGAACTTGTTCCAAGTTCTTTCCCTTTCCTCATCCAGGAACTTCAATCTCCATAAGCTTATTTGTTAGTTTATACATTCTTTCGTTCAGCAACTTTTCACAGATCACCTTGTGGACTTTATGTACTGCTTTAGGTATTGGCATTCAGCAGTGAATGAATTTGGCTTCCTGAAGCTTACGTGTCAGTAGGAGAGACATCATAAAATATAAACATTAACTCGCTTACGTTTTTTAAATGCCAGTCTGCCTGTATTGAGAATATGCCGTAAGTTTCTTTTATGGATGACATCATTTTCTCTTATACTTAAAGGGTCCATCTGTAATTCTAAAAAATGGGCATAGGTAATGTTCATTCTCCTTGGTACAGTATGACATTTCAACCACTGCTGGCAGATGGAGCAACATCCTCTACATACTGATTCCTCTGTTGAATGCTGAGCATGTTGTGTACCCAGTACTGTGCTGCCAGCAGAACTTCTTTTCCAAAAGGTGTGGTACGTACACATCACGGGAAGACAGAACTACCAGACAGTATACACTTGATGTAAGGAGAGGGTGTCTGTGTTCAGGGTGTGGGGAAAAGAGGCAGTACCTGAACAAGTCAGGGAGGGCTTAAACAGAAAGACGTAACCTTGAACTAGGATGTTCCAGCAAGATGACATGTATCAGAAGAGGCTCTCCAAGCAGGGAGCAGCACTGCAAGGAAGGCCAGAGTCATCAAAGATTGTTTGGTGGCTTCTGGAGGCAGAAATGGTTCAGTCAGTGTAGATGTGCAGGAGGCGGTGTGCAGTGATAGAAGATGAGGCCGGACCCAGAGGGTTAGACAAAACTCTTCATTCTGTCTCTCAGACTACAAACTGGACCAGCATAGTGTGCCCAGCAGCTGGTTGGAGGTAAGGTTGTACGGAAATCTCCGCTTATTTCTAATACAGTGCTCTTTCTATTCCAGCCACAATGCCTGTAATTTATATACCTGGAACAGGTTAAGTCATAGGCCAAGGTTAACAGTGCAAAGATGACACTGCCTCTGGCACCCCTCTGGATGTTGTTTTCTGTGCATACATGTGCAAAAGGGGCTAGGGATGCAGAAATCCAGCCTACTTTCTGCTAACCATGTCCTGCATCCCAACTGGGTTTCACTTCTACCCTGAAGAAGAGATAACTCTTTCAAGATCCACAAACGGCTATATGGGCTGTCAGAGTCCTGGGAAATGTCCTGGCTCTGAGGGGCAAATACAGTGAGAAACCTCACTCAGTACTAGGGCCTTTTGCCATACTTGGCTTCTTATTGAAGTGTCTTCTGCTAGGGGGTAAAAATGGGGAGACAGGAGGAAGGGTGCCCACCGTAAGAAGGCTTTGAGTTTCTGCACTTACGGAGTTACCACCACTGCAGCCCCAAGAACTTACTCCTGCTGTGAGAGACTAGAGCTTCATTTTAAGTGGAGGCACCTCAGTGAGTCTCAGGGACAATTCCCCTATCATTGGGCTCTAAAGACTGAAGTTTCAGGCATGGGGGAATGGCCATCATGTGTAGTTTACAATCTGGCCCCTGCTGCCGAGGCTGAGTAAGTAGCTCCCATAGTGTGCTGCTCAGACAGACCTCTTGTGTTAGAGTTACAGCATGTGTGCATGCATCTGTGTGTGTGGCGGGGCGGGGGGAGGTTACTGGTGAAAAATACTGCTTTCTGAGCATCTCTCTAAACCTACCACGTCAGAAGCCCAGGAATTCTACCCGGACCTATTATTGCAGTAACATTTAAGAAATTCTGCTTTTGTGATTGTTTGTGTCCCATTAACAAAGGAGGGAAGATGTTTAATATATTAGAAAGTGAGCCTTCATATTTTAAAATTATTTTTGTTTAATCTTTCTTGAAAATCATTCATCACAAGCAACCTCATTCCTCTCAACTTGCTAGAATTTGTGGAACTTGAATGTCCCGCAGAGGCCCATGTGTTGAAGGCTTGTTCTCTAATCTGTGGTGCTATATTGAGCAGGTGGAACTTTTCAGGGGCAGTGTGCAGTGGAAAAATATTAGGTCTCCTGGAGCCTGTGCTCGAAGAGGATACTGGGACTCAACTCCTCTTCTGTTTGCTTCCTGGCTGCTTTAAGGTGAACAGGCTTCCTACTGTGGTATACTGTGCTGCCGCAGGCCCAAGCCTACAGGGCCAAATAACTATGAGCTGAAGCCTCTGAAACTGTGAACCAAAATAAGTCCTTCCTACTAGTAAGTTAATTCTTCCAGGTATTTTGTCATCATGATGGGATAGCTAGCACATGCCTAACGTAGTATTTCACTCTGTAGATGTACTATAATTTAATTAACTTTTATTGTTCTGACTGTAGTCTCTTCATGTATACCCAAAAGTAGGTTGTAAGTCAATGTGATCACATTATATTTAAAATATTTTTAAAGAAAAGTATGCACTAGATGTATAGCTCAGTGGTAGAGTACGTGCTTAGCATGCAAGGGATGATAAAGAAAAATTAGAAAAGAATGTCACGTGAAATATTTTTCAGTTTTATGCATGCAAGTATGCTGTTTGAAACAGTAAAATTATTTCTTACTACATGTCAAAAATATGAAAGTTACAGATTAAGATAACTGAAAATATTTAAAGTATCTGTCAATGTTATTTTTTTGAGGGTCAAGTTGCAGTAACTGCTAAATTTATTTTGTATGAACATTTGTACCAAAATCCAGGAATGTTATTATATTTTTATTTTTTTTTCTGTGCCTGATAGTATGGAAGACTTCTAGTTCTTAAAGCATGCTTTATTGAAAAAGTCTAGTTTGATCTTGTGACTATAAAATATAAATATAAAAGTTGAATTAACCATCTCATTCAAATTGACTTGACCTTACTCATGATAGTTTCCCTCTGTCTACTCCGCTGAGGAAACTGGCCTGGTTTGAATTGTGTTGGCTTCTTACCAACACCTTACAGGAATATTCTGGCATTCCATCACTGTGTACCTACAGAACCTGAGAAAATTCTTAGACTTCACCTCTATAGCTCAGAAAGCTGAGCCTTTTAAAAATCTTTTTGTAAACTTTTCGTGGCTGCCAGACTTCCCATATAGGAGCTGCCTGTTCACTTTGTTTGTTAATTTAAACTTTCTAGAAGTCACATGTCTATGAGTTGTGTCAAGATCAACTTTTTATTTAACATTTGGCTTGGTATTTCACTGTAACAGGATACAGGCTGTGGTTGCATATTTGAGCCTTTGAATTTTTGTTCTACCCCAAATTAAAAGCTGGGATAGCATAACATAACCAAGAACTTCCTAACCATGAATGAGTTTCACATGCGCCATCAGATATTCATAGCTGTCAATTTCTCTCTGTGTTAAAGCATGGGGCACTTTTTATAGCCATACAAAAAGATACAGCAGTTTAAATTGTACTTGAACATCATTTGCATGGCTCCCTTTGCAGTTAAATGATTTCAAAAGATTGTATTTGGAGTATTTATAAAAAATATATTGGTTACTTTCCTAGTATTTTATTTTTCTTAAATAATGTTACATAAAATAGTAATTGATGTTTTTCATCAACCTCCACATAGATACTGCCTCATTACCTCCACTTTAATTCATTGTGTTGCACACAAGTTATTATTTACCACATGTGCCAACACTGGAGAAGTTTTGGGAAGCTCCACTAGAGACCACTGGGGAGCTGCACATTAAATCCCTGGTGGGATGTTTAGGGGCATGCATAGGCTCTCTTAGATCTACTGAGTTAGAATCTCAGTGGGGTCAGAGTTTGGACCTGGTAAGTGTATGTTTCCTAGACTACATAAAAATACTATAACGAATATTTTTGTCTCTATGAGCTGTTGTTATATTGATACCCCAGTCGCCTTTCTCTGCCTGGGTTCTGGGCAACTAAAACTTCTGACTTCGTTCAGCCATTACTGGAACTGGAGGTCCTCAAAGACTCATCTTGTCAGAATAACTAATTCTTTCTGCCACCGTCCCCTACTTGCTTCCATTTTCAGAAATAAAGCTACCCTCATGTAGCGTTATTCCCTCCGCCACTTTTCCTCACACTATACCTCAGCATATCTAGGGGACCATTATTTGTGTTTATCCATATGGTCTCTTAATTGACTCCAGGATCCTTGAGGTTGTTTTCTTCATCCTTTTCTCCAATAAATATAGTTAAACAAATGAACCACCAAGTGCGGGGTGACCAGAGAACAAATATTGAATATAGTTTCCTAAGGCCACTATAACAAAGTACTATAAATCAAGTAGCTTAACACAGAAATGTATTGTTTCACAGTTCTAGAGACTAGAGTAAGTAGGCATCCAGGTGTAGGCAGGCTGTGCTCTCCTGAAGGGTAAGGGATCTATTTCAGGTCCTCTCCAAACTTCTGCTAGATTCTCCCGTGGTGAAGCTTACCTCTGATCTTTGTGTCATGTTCTTCTTGAGCACCTGTCTCTGTGTCTAAATATCTCCTTTTCATAAGGACACCAGGTATATCGGAGTAGAGGACCACTCTAATGATCTCATCTTAACTAATTCCATGTGGATCCTGTTTCCAAATCAAGTTGTTTGAGGTAATAGGCATTAGGACTTTGCCATACAGACTTTGAGGGTCTGTATGGCACACAGTTCAACTCATGACAGTGCTTAATGAGACAGAGAAGAAGCAACCCTTGCAGAGAGCCTGGTTGGGTCTTTTCTTAGAAAGATGTTAGTCACTTTATGGACCAGACAGTCGATGGTCCTCCAGGTCATCAACAACTGACAAGAGCCTACAAATCCATGTTCTGGCAGAGTATAACCAGAGTTAGTTGTCACTAAAGGGAGTGGTGAAATTTGTCTCAGTGAAGCAAGATTAGGACCAGGCCTCTTAGAGATGCTCAGGGTCAGGCATCAGATCAGTCCTTCCACTTCAGGTTTACTCTGACCTAACTAACAGTTAACTTATTTATTCACCATGGTGTGATGCAGTTCCCAAACAGCCTTACATTCTGTATGTCATTTAATTTGAGCCACTAGCCATCCCTGGGAGGTGTTTAGTGCAGATGCCTCTGTTTTATAGATCTAGAAACTGAGGACAAACTCCCTTAGTTTGGTAAGTCTGGCCCTGGGCCCAGTGTCTTAAAACTCATAATTCAGTATGTTATAGTCACTGTCCACAGTTTGCTTCAGGGATTCTAGGTGTGTGCTCAATGAGAGGCAAAAATTTTTTCAAAGATCAGGTTTGGATCAGAAGCCTACTAGGATTTACAAATATGATTTCCTTTTTTCTGTTTAAAAAGATCTTTAGTCTAATCTGAAAAGCTTGTCATGCCTGTCAAAAGAAGCTGGTGACAGGTGAACGGCAAAGTATTATGAGAATGAGAATAAAGAGCTTTTTAAATGGGAAGGAAGGCAGAGCAACTTAATAATTACTGTTGAAACAGTCACAGCAATACTGAAGCGTCTCCATAATTTAATCTAACTTAATACCAACTGCCTCCTCCCTAGTGGCAATACATAAATTAATTAATAGTAGGTTGAATTTGAAGCTATGTCTGTATATTTAGGCCATTATTAACTTGTTCTCTGTGCCTTTTTTTACTTGGGTGCATTTGTGCATTGAGCCGTAGAAATGAGGGTATTTTATAACTCCCATCGCCATTATGACTTCTATCACTTTTCACATTTTGAAAGCACACTGTTTTATCTTATTATATTTCCTTCTTATAATAAATATCCCCCGTGGAGAGGTTATATCTCCTTGCTTTGTAGAAGTTATAGGTCTGGTTCTGGAACATAGATCTGTCTCCTTTTTCTCTTGATACACAGCAGAAGATAATAGTTAACATTGTGGTATCTGAATTTTATTTTCTTGATATGAGTTCTGGCTCTCCTGCTTACTATGTAGCCTGCCAATCTCTCAGTCTTCCTGATGGGAAAATGGGTAAAATTGTATCTGTTCATGAGGTTGTCATAATAATTGTTAGTCACCTATGATAAAACACTTGAGACAGTCAATTTAAAGGAAGAAAACTTTATTTTGGTTTATAGTTTCAGAGATTCAGTTGATGGTTATTTGGTTCCAATGCTTCAAGGCTGTGGTGGGTGGCACAGGAGTGCATAATTGGAGTATGAGACAAAGGTCTGTTTATCTCATGGCAGCCAGAAGCAGAAAGAGAAAGGGACTGGATCTTAATGTCTCTTAAAAGCACACTCACCCCCAGGACCTGTCTTCCTTTCACAAGGCCCTGCCTCCTAAAGGTTCCACTTGTCAAGAGCACCTAGGGACCAAGTCTTAACACACGGTCCTTTGGAGGACAATCTATAATAAACATGAAAAGTTCTTGGAAAAGTGTTAAAGATGTTATAAGTACCAAGTAAATATTATTTAGTATTAATAATAGTATCCCTTTGGGCTCTCAGTTCCTCTTGATTCTCAACATATGGCTACAATATACTCTTTCGTGTTACCAAGTCAGTCCTGTCTGCCAGATGATCTCAAAGGATCCATTGGCCATCCTGAGTTCCTGGCTATGTGACAACACCACCCAAGTAATGGCCATTGAGAAACAGCATTGGTGGAAAGTAGAGACACTACTGGGGAGGTATGACCACCTGTATTCTGGGAATCGAAACGGACGAGTTATGCACAGTTCATCAGAGGGGCGAAGCACTTGCAAAGAAGTACTTACGAGGCCTGCAACAAGTACTATTGGGGAGATGGAGGAAGCAGTGGGGAAATCATTCTGGTCTGCCAAGGATCACTTGTCCCAAGTAGACTTTACCTTTCTTGTTTTAGAATATTGCAGGCTTGTGAAGGGCAACTGGTAATAGGAAAGAAAAGCTATCAACAAGCTGAAGAAGTCTGAGCACAAAGAAAATGATCTGTCTCAGCAGTTAGTTGGCCTCTGTACCTCTGGCCCACCACTCCTTATTATCATGCTGCTGTGAGTGTGGCATTCTAAGACACAAATTGGGTCATGCTGAGTCTCTGTATCAGTTCCTTTTTGAGTTGTTCCTTCCTCACCTCAGGAGCCTGCTAAGTCCACGAGGCCACACTGTGCTGGGAGTGGTATGTCCTGAACCCCACGCCCAGCCCTGCCTCCTTCACTACTGAGCAGCTTTAGACAGGTCACTGCCATTCCCACACCTCCGCTACCACCTGTAAGATGGCATCAGGGCACCTGGCTTATGGCTTCTGGGGCAGCAAGTGCTTTTGTACAGGTCCTGGCAATGAGTGAGCACATAGTGTTAGCTGTTGCCCTTTCTGGCCCTGAATCCTCATCCTTTCAGACGCGGAGTGAGAAGAACCACCTACTTTCAGTTCCACCTCAGTTGCTTCCCTCCCTCTGCCAGCTCCCTTGGGGGCTCTTGGGGAAGCCTTCCTGCAGCCCCTCTGCTCTCCTCAGTGTAGCCAGGGTCCACACATGCTATCGTGGCAGAACATTTGTACTTGGGTTAGAATTGGGTCTTGTCTGTCATACAGTGTTTCTATTGTTATTTCTACTGATTTTTGTCGCTCCCCAGACTACAGACACCATGAGGATAAGGATTCTGAGGTTTATCTCTAAAGTTCAGGCGTGTTTTGCAATGGCAAGTATACAGTAGATACTCACTGTACATTGGTAGATTTATGCTGGCCAGTCATGCTATGCACTCAGTCTCTTGCCTAAGCAGCCCAGCTTAGCTCTGTCTCAACTAAGGTAATGGTTTCTACTGATTATGAACACAGTTTCTAGACTTAGCCTTGCTGGAGAGACACAGGCCAGATCCTTCCATGGTTCTATCTTGTCTTTCTCAAGAGAGGTTGATGTTTTATCAAAGAGATCAAAGGAGTACAAAAATCATGTTGTGTGGTACATAAGGTTTTGGGTTAGAGTTAGAGAAAGTGAGTGTGAATCCCAGATCTACCACTTATTGTTAGCTTTTAATATCTTAAACTAGTGACTTAAACTCTGTGTCCCAGTTCTTCATCTGCAAAACAGGGAAAATGGACATTCTTCATTTAGTTGAAAGGTTTGATGAGATCATAAATACAAAACATTCAGCACCATACCTGACACCAAGAATGTTTAGTAATTAGTTCTTGCTATGATTATGCTCACTGTTATTATGTTTTTGGCTTCCATAGCAGCACTATAGATTGGCAGTGGGTATCCATATATTTTGAAAACAGGACATTTTTTTAACCCCTAGAGGTGAAACAGAAAGAACAGAGAAAGGTATTGTATAGTTGCCAATCTCAGCAGCTTGCAGATACTTCATCACAAGGAGTTGCTTAAAATAGGAGAGCTAGTACATTAGCACAAACTGTTAATACAGGAAAAGGATTAGAGATGAATTGGTTGATAACTTCTTCTACTTAGATATATAGATACAGAGTACTTTGTATTAGTGCCACCTCCTTAGCCAGAACACCATCAACTTGTTTGTAAGTATTTTCTTTTTAGTGTTGCTATAAATGTCACTTTGCCTTAGCCTGAAATAAGTTTTTGAGGCATTTTACAGTCATGCTCTTCATTATTGATCAGACTTTAAAAGTAATTGCTTGTCTTGAAGCTGTCATTTGCCTTTGAAAACATCTCAAAAACAGTGCCTCAAAATGTCATCCCCAGATGTCCATGTGTGGGGGGTGCTATCAGATAAGATTTTGGCAGAAAGTCCTAAATAAAGTTATTTTGCTATAAACCCAGGCCAGTTCTTATTAAAATAGCAAAAGAACATGTGGTTGAACACATGGCAAGATGTTGTTTGCTCTTATTAGCAATTAACTAACATAGAAACAGTTGTAAAATTTGTAAAAACATATAGGGCATATGAAACAATATATTTTGTGCTGCAGAGTGAAAGCTGTGTGTCACATCTGCCGTGTCAGTGTTTGTAGTAGTAATACGGCTCTGATGTTAGGTATGTAGCCTGCTGAGGAGAAAGTGCTCTTTAGTTTGAGAAACACAAACTTTGATACTCAAACTTTGCATATTTAAATTTCCATGTTTAATTTTTGATTGTCTGTGGTTTTGTGTGTATGAAGTGTAATACATGCATGTTTAGTTTTAAAATAGTCTCCATTTTAATAGTAATAGTAATTTAAAATGTTACTATACTATAAGGGAAATATGCTTCCACTGAATTACTGTGGTAACTTACGTAACTTTCTGTTGCTGTGACAAAATACTCAAGAAACATAATTTAAAAGAATAAAGGTTTATTTTGGCTCACTGTTCCAGAGGTTGAATCCATGGTCTACTGGCTGCATTACGTTTAGGCTCGTGGCAAGGCAGAAACATCACAGAGGAAGGGTGTAGCAAGGAAAGCTGCTTACTTCATGGTAGTGAAGAAGCAGGGAGAGAGTGAGAGAGTATGTGCTGGTGAACTTCCTCCTCCTTCCACTTTTGTTCCATCTAGGCGCTCACCCTATAGGATGGCGCTTCCCACATTCAGGCAGGTCTCCCCATTCAGTGTGCCGAGCTGCCACATGCCAGTCATACCTGGAAACACCCTCACAGACACACCCAGAAATGTGCTTTACTAGTTTCCTAGGTATTTCACAGTTCAAACAAGTTGACAATCAAAATTAGCCATCACAATTACCCAGTTACCACTTAGGAAAACTGCTACTCATAGGCTATTTCATAGTTTAGAAATGTCAAATAATAGTAAAAGTATTCACTTGAGATTTATTTAGCACCTGTGTATGTAAAGCATAATGCTGGGTATCTGGAAGGTAAGTGGAATCAGACTTGAGTCCTACCCCTCAAGAAACTTAGACTTCAAGAAATAATATAAATATAAATAACTAAAAGGTAGAAGATAATCAACGTGTCTTAGCTACTTTTCTCTGATTGCTGAGACAAAATACTCAGTACCCAAAGTTAAGAAAGGAAAGGTTTATATGACTCACAGTTTGTAGAGATTTAAGTCCATATCAGCTGGCTCCAAGGCAAGGGTGGCATGGCAGAGGGGCAGCAGTTCATGGTGGCAGAAGACAGTAAAAGCAACAAGAGCAAAATGGTGGAAGAGAGCCTCCTTTCCTCCCTTGTATCATATGCAGACTACCCCTGCAAGAACAGATGCAGCACGCACACCACCAGTCCCAGCACTAAACAAAGAACCAATCACAGAATCTAGATTCAGCTGCCTCTGAAAAGCCCACCCCTGCCCATTACCACCTGAGGCTTTGGGGGAACATCCAGCCACAAACCATAACACAATGGTAGTATAAAAAAATGACTGAACCAGATGCTGTAAGTGTTACCAATCTATACACACACAATTTTCAGCCATTTCTTCTTATATCTTGGGAATTTCTGTACCATGAAGCTTGTATTACTGTAGGCTCCTATTTTTAAACTAATTAAAGTAAGCCATTTGGGCATAAAAAGTAAATAATTCACTTAGACTTAGGTCTTACTGGATTCAGAGTCCTGCTGTATTTCTTTAGTAAAAGACAAAATACTGGTAAATTTAAACCATCACTAGAGACTCAGCTATAGAACTGGGAATATCTAGTTAGAGATTTTTATTAGCTATACCTTTGAATTGGTTTATAATGGAGAACTCTCCAAGTTAAAAACAAACAAATGAACAAAACAGAGTTGGTGTCTAGTATGGTTGTTCAAAAGCTTTTTTAAACAATCTGCTCATGGCACACTGAGGACCTGCCAGGCACTGCCACCACATGCCTTCACGACTTTTGAGATTTAGCGAGGAAGACAGATGATACACAAGTAAATAAATAAATGACAGTGTTTCTGATTTGCCTTTAAGTGCTAAAAAGGAAATAAAATATGTAACAGGACCTATAGAGAAAGGCATATATATGTTTTCAGAGTGGCAGATGGGACAGTAGTGGTTCAGTGAGTGGTAGGGAAGGCTCACTGCAAGAGGTAAAGTCTATTCTGAGCTAAGAGTGATGAGAATGCTCTGAAACAAGACTGTTCTTGGCAGAGGAAGCAGCAAGTACAGAGGCCCTCAGGTAAGAACAAGTTGCCCTGCTCAAGAAAGAGAAAGAAGACTCTAGTGGCTGTAATACTTGTGAATAACATCATGGTGCGATTAGAAGGAGCTGGGGTCCTGGTATGCCACAGTAAAGTCCCTACAGCCAACGGGTTCCAAAGACCAGTTCCATCAAGTTGAAGCTCAATTCTAGTGTTAATGTTAAGTTGAACTCTGATTCTGAAAGAATGTGGCTGCTGAGTACAGAAAAAAGAAAGGAAAAAAACCCCTCTATTTTGTTGTCTGGAGCCTCCTGGTAGATTTTAAAAAGTAAACAAAATTTGCACAGTTACCTAGGGCACAGATAAATATACTTAAGAGCCACTGGGTTTTTTTTTTTTAACCCTCTATTGTGGTACCCTTCTGTGCCATTTCCTTCTAATACTCTGTTTTCTAGGTTTAACTTTTTCTTCCTTCCCTTTTTAATCAAAACTCTTAATTTTTTTCAAGGCAATCATAGCTGCTGGTAGGAAGCTGAATTTGACTCATCATGTAAATAACTGATAGGATCTGGCCCACTAAAATATTATTTGTGTTTTTTTAGTGTTAAGCCTAATGAATCTTGTTTTAATGAATAAGGTAGTAAAATGTAAATGAGAAAAGCATTTGAGGAGTTTGGAGGATAACGTTTTTGGAAATGAGAGAGCCAGCCTTGTTTGCTGGGCCTTGATGGTTACACCAGTGTCTACTCTAGGGCTGCTTCCTTTCATCTGCTCATAGATTCTCTCAAAATTCCTGAGTATATCCATAGAGATTCTTTGGCTGCTTCTGCCACAGGAGCAGGGAGGTCCATAGTCAGGAACTGCAGGAAAAGTCAGAGACTGGGAGGGGATGAGAATCTATCAGTTGTTTATATATTGAATATCATCTGTAAACTATGAGAACTCACTACATTTGGGTATTTTATTTGGAAAATTTCACCTGATGTTGGAGGACTAAAAAAAGGAGGAGATTGTGGTTTGCCTGTTTGTCCATGTCGATGTTTAATTTCCATGCTGGATGTGGCTGTGCCTGTGGATACAGGGTAATTCTGAATAATGGTAATGACGAAGGGTCATCATTACACAGAAGAGCATTCTGTGCTCCTAATTAAAATTACAGCTGAAAATTGTTTCCTTATGTGTAGCTCAAATTGCCTTTGCAGTAACTTTAGTTTATAACTTCTGGTTAATCCTCTCCTTACCACCCTTAAGAATTCTTCCTTGTCCTTGAAGTTGACTCCTTTGAAATCTTTATGAGCAGTCCTGGTTTCCCCTAAGCTATGAGTATCCTAATACTTTGTTCCTACAAGCCTTTAAGCTTCTAAGCAAAACAGTCTTTGCTCCCTTTTCTCCCGCTGCACTTTTAATGAGTTCTGGTTCTGGAACGGGACTTGATTTCTTTTTGCGGTCAATATAAATTAGCTGAGCCTTGCCTCATTCTCCCTGATGAATTCATTGCTAACTGTCTTTTGGGCCAAGACCGCCACATACTGCTTACCCTAATTAGTATTCTCTAATGGTAATCAAGTGACCTGTAACTCACATGTTTTCAAAATGAGCACTTATTACATTCCATTTCATCAACTATAGTAGGAAAATTACATACAGTGATACTCACAATGGGATTCCGAATAAGAAATGTTGAGCCAAGAAACATCTGATCATAGGAGCAGTATGATCAAAGTGGGGTGAGTGTGTGTTTTGAACCAGTACTTTATGTGCTCAGCCTCTGTCCCATATGTTCCAGATTTGATAGTTTAGTACAAAAAATTTAGAGGCTTGTGCCTTGGCATTTTTCATACCATTGAATTTCAAGAATCATGTCTAACAGTACTTTGAAAGAACTATTCTGTTAACTTAGAAAAATCAGGCAATATTTGAATCTCTAAGAGAGTGATAACAGAAGCCTATGCAAATTCTAGGATACTGCTCTGGGAGAAACCCTGAAGATTTGTGTTTGTATTGAAAAATGCCGATTTTGGTCATTTGTTGAATGAGTAAAAGAATGTTGCATACAGAACTTGGTAATGTTCAAAGACCAGGCTGTATGGACCAAAAGTCTGTTTTGCTTGTTGCTTGTGGGGGGAAAAAAGAAGGAAAAAGCCATAAGTATGATTTTAAATATTTGGTTGTACATATATAAGGGGAGGTTTTGGAAAAAGATTTGGCATCTTTTATTTCCCTAACCTTGGTAAAAGGAGAGTCTTTGTACATATTCAGATAGACTCACTTTAAGGGTTTTTGCAAAAGCAATGAATAACATGTTTTAAGAAACTTTTTGTGAATATATAGATCACTGACATATGATTCAATCATATTGCACTGCAGATTTCTTCCCAGTCTTACTAAAATTAAAGTTTTTAATATTACAAGTAATCTGGCTTAGAAACTGCTAGGCTTTGGGCATCTTAAAACTTTGTATAGTTTATGTTAAAAATTTAACCAGACCTATCATTTGTGAGGCTTGTGCTTAATCCACAGCACTACAAACACACAGATAAACCAACCCACAAAAAAACACTGACTTAATCAGAATCTCTTACATGAAGCTTTTATGCTGTGTTTCTAAAAATCTCACCGGGTAAGGGTAATGCGAGGCCAATTTGAGACTATGCCTAATCACCCTCACAACTGTCATTCACGCAGAATTTTCCAGAATAGGAATTTGACTTTATTAGATGACATTGAGAGATCCTTCACTTCAGATTCTATTGTTAAGCAGTTCCCAGGCCAAATATTGAAAGTTTAAATCAGTCTTCTTCTTTGGCTAACACACGTATGTTTGGCATTCCATCCAATCCTGCTGGGTCCAGCACAGCTCTTGGAATTCAGGGGAATATGGTGGAGGATGAAGAAATGAAAGTGAGTCAAAATACAGAAAGCCGGACCCCTCTCTCCTGATGGGAGAAAAGGACCTGCCCAACAACTACAGAGTATTTATACAATCAGCAAGAGGTTGATAACAGGTGAAACCCCTCTTCTGATGGGAGGAAGGACTGCCTAACAACTTGTTTGTCTTGCCTTGGGCGCTCTGTGTTCTTGGGCTGGCCTTGCTTTTGCCCACATGCATGATCAATCTTCAGGGCTGGAGGAGAGGGGAGAAGGACACTGGCTAGATTCCTGAGAACACTGAAGTACAGGATTGCTGCAGAGAATTCGTAGGACTTCATGTCCTAAGCCACTGGCCCTTAGGAAGCCCTTGATAAATAAGCTGTGATTTTATTTTTAGTATTCTTATTTCCTACATGAGGAAACAAATTTAGTGATTTTCTAAGTGTTCATGTGACAGCAAAGTGTTGAAACCTCAGTAAGTGTTCTGAAACCAGACCTTGGTAGTGTGGATGTGGGTAGTCACAGAAACTCACATTCTTTGTGCCTCATTCCCTTTTTTTTTTTACTAGGGATTGAACTCACAACCTTGAACTTGCCAGGCAGGTGCTTATGCCACTGAGCTGAATCCCCCCTGCCCCTGTGCCTCATTTCTAAACATTCAAGAATTCAACTCTCAGATTCTGATGAGTGCATTCTGTGAAATGCATTTAATTTCTGGCACTTCCTGGTTGAAGAGAATTAGTTTGTAGACTCAGAGCATGTTAAAAATTTTTTTTGGAGGAAGAGAGATAAGTCTTAGTCTCATTCCAATAGAGTATCTTGGTTCCCTTTGGATTTAATGAGGAAAACCATGGTCTAATAAATTTAATTAATGTATCAGTGCATCACATTTATACTGGAGTCCTTAAGAAATATGTATGCATCCACTGAAAATGAGCTAACAAACTAGGAAAAGTTACTAATAAACTCTTATTAATGCTACATTACTTAATAAAAGCAAGATTTTTTAGTATACTTGAACAAATGATGCAGATATTTGATCATATAAAACCATTTTTATATTCATTTTAATTCTTACCAAGAGGGCTAGTGTTTAGGAATTCTATCATTTTATCTATAAAAGAAGCAAGGAGTTATGTAAAGACATTGATAATAGTCAAATGTAGAAACACATATGATAACTGCATATACTCTGATCCTGTTATTTTAAAAATTATGTGTGTGTGTGTGTGTGTATGGGAGCCTGCACTTATCTGGATAGTTACATCAAGTCATCACTGGATGGAAGAATTACAGTTACTTTATACTCTTAATTTTTTTCTAATTTTTTACAATTATTATGAATAGTTTTTGTAATAAAAAGTTACTTAAGAATTATCTTGATGAAAGACAGAAACTTTTTCTTAACTACTTTAGCATACATTTAGACAAAAATGAACTTACAGTTCTTTTGCTATACTATTTTCCTTTGCTTATTAAGTTAAAAAATCTTCTTTTATTACACCTTATTAAAATCCCTTAAAAACTGGAGAAGTTACTGTGTTGGTAAATTAAAAACAAATCTCTGAACCAGAATCTCCTGTGCATGCTTACTCAGACAATAGATTCTTGGATTTCCATCTCACACTGAGTGAATCAAAATGTTTGGTGATAGTAACCAGAAATGTGCATTTTTATTATGCATTGCAAGTGTTTCCTGCATGTAATTAAATAATAGAGTCTTCCTTCTGCTCATAGATCTCTTTGTGTATAGTAATCTATACATGGTTAAAGTACTTCTTATGTCTTTTTCATCTTGGAAATTTGTAATCACTATACATCTGTATGATCTTCATTTTATTGTCATGTTCACTAAAAGATTGAGAAGTTTTCTTATTTTCTCTGAAGTATGAGACATTGTGGGAGTCATCCATTTAGCAAGCATTTTGGGCTTATTTACAGAAAGTCTTGCTGTATGAGTCTGACCCTCTCTCTCTCATGCTCTTGAGGATGGAGCCCTAGCAAGGTTGGCTGAGAAAAGCCAGAGAGCCTAGTAGTGGAGAACTCAGTGATTCTCAAAGTGTCTTGCACAAGGAAATCCAAGACTTCAGTTTGTTAAAGAATAACTTTAAGAAACTGTATTTCTTTGCTGGAACAATTGGTTTTCATAAGAAAACAGTAAATCTGCATCTTGTGTTCTGAGTGGTTCCATTCTTTTGAAAAAGTCATTGTGTCAGGGAATTCACACAATTAGTGTGTTTACTTTGAATGTGTGCCATCCTATAGAAGGTACAGTCCAGCTATCCTTAGTTTCCTGTTGATTGAAACAGTTTGCAGCAAGTTAGTGCTAAATATAAACTTGGAGACATATCATCTTTCTGAATTGGTCTAAAATGCTAATTTTCAAATTTAGTGTGCATCAGAAGTATCTGGAGGGCTTGTTAAACCATAGCTAACTGAGTCCCTCATCGGATTTCTAATACTCTTAAGTCTGCTGAGTGGCCTGTGGATATGCATTTCCACCAAGTTCTGAGTTTCCAGATGTGGCCAGAATTAGTACACACTTTGGGAACCACTAGCATCGCAGGTATGTCCCAAGGATCAAGACTCATCACATGTATCATCTGTTTGACTTTTCTCCTGGAATTCTGATCAGAAACTTTCTAGAGGGTATCCCTTTTCTGATTGGGTAATCAGCAGTGTTTTCTTTTGGACATGTGTTTCTGTTTGATGAAACCAAATTCTGGCACTATTTGTTTCCTTTTTTTTTAGGCTAAATTAAGTGCCAGTGCTGTTTCTCTTTAAAGGTTAACATAGATTAAAGCAAGCCTGATAAAACGTTTCTGTCTACCAGTTGGGCACTACAATTTTCCTTGCAAATCTTGCCATTGTCACCATCCCCAAAACAGGTTCTTTCCCGCATACATTATGTCCCTTCCTACCTGAACAGGTTTTTTTTCACATCTTTGTGCCCCAAACTCAGCCCTCAGCCACATTCTACCCTGAGATGGTCTTTACCAATGATGGTAAACCTTGTAGAGCTTTCAGTGATAACAAACAGCTGGCTTCAGCACATGTGCCATAGATTGGCCACCACTGGATACTTATAACTACACTCTAAAAGATATTTATACTTAATAGTAAAGCTTAAAGCCTTCAAAGGCTAATAGGGCTAATAGGACTACAGTGAAAGATGGATATGTGCCTTTGCCCTTGACCCAGCACTGGTAAGATTAGTCTGGGAATCCCTGGCCTTGTTTGCAGCTCTTTTGAATTGGCAAAAGCAGCTGGAATATATGTCCTGAGCTGCTAGGTGGGACAGACCAGAGCCTTCGTGATTGAGTATCTTAAATGAATTGTTCATTGATTCTTCATTCTTTAGAGACTCGCCAGTGGAAGGCTTTGGCCAAAAAGCCATCCTACTTCCTCTAGGAAAGATCATTTGGAGAATGTAGTTTTCTATTGGCTTCCAGGGCCTATTGCCCCTGAATAGGGACATCAGAAGACACTAGCCTTGACCTGAAAAGGTGAGACTTTTGGAGTTCAGTGCACTTGCCCTTTCCTCATTCCTCCTTCTTATGACAAGCTTTTACTCCATTTTTTGTAGGTCTGCAATAGTATCTAGGTGGCTCTGCAGCATTGATACTCAACCATTTTAGCACAGGAACTGGTTTCCTGGAAGAAAAAAAAATTTTTTTTAAGAGGAGAGAGGGTGGAGCCAGGACAGTGGCAGGCGAGACTGGGTTTGAGTTTAGATTCTGGCCTTACAGGAGGCTGAGCTCAGGGCATAATGTAGGCAATGCTGAGGCTGAGCAGCTATAAATTAGAAAAAGCTCATCTGCTGTGCAGCCTGGGCTGGGAACCTCTGCCCTAAAGTGGCATCCCTGAAGTACCTTAAGGTCTCTAGGAGCTTAGGGACGCACTGTCGTTGGCCCACTTGCAGGAACTTAGCTTGGAGTCACTCTTTTCCTGTTATCAGCCCTTTCCCTTCCTGTTCTTCATATATCACTTCTGTGGGCTCTGTGCTGCCCTTACTCCTGCCTGGAGATGCACGCTTGCTCCCTCCAATCCCCTCCTATGCCTGGCTTGCTCCTTTTCATTTAGGTCTGTATAAAAGTTTTAATTAGACCTATCAAATAGGACTCCTGAGTCCTACCCATCCCCTTCTTCCTTTACTACTTTTTCTTCCTAATACTTATCACCACCTAAAATGTGATTGTTTATGTATTTATTTATGCAGAAGGAGTAGCATAGGGTTTTTTTTTTTCTTACTACTGTGTCTCCAGCACATACACTATTGCCTGATAAGAGCAGAAACTGTAATAAAGATTTGTTGCACAAGTGAGAAGTGTGAAGAGCATATCACTGTAATGCGAGTGGGATTGTTAGCACAGTAGCTTTGGTGGCTTGAGGTGATTATGAGTGGGCTGCCTCCTTCTCCCCTCAACCCTTCTTGGTAACACCATTGAGGATGTATATACTACTCCTAGAGTGTAGCTGAAGTCTTGAAGGGACTTTAGCTGCATGGCTCTGCTCTCAAAGGTCTGGTTCTATCTACAAAACCACACTGAGATCAACTCTGGTCTCTGGCAAGCCCTTGCATCATCTGCTTGAACTCTAACTGGAAAGCATCATCCATCTGTCCCATAGCACCGATGAGAAATCAGTGCTTGAGCAGTCAGTGAGGGCCAGTGGTATTGTTTGGCTGGCCATCTCTTATAATTACCTGGAGTGAGGGCAGTGCTAAAGTGGAAAAAGAAGATGGCAGACAAGACTAGCCACCAGGCAGCTTGAGGTCCTTTCAAGGAAGAGTCTCTAAGGTTCTGAACACCAGAATGATGTTAATCAGGAGATTTTTTGGTATCAGCATTGTCAACATTTACATTCACTTTACACATTGGATTTGCATCTGAAAAGGCCAACTATAATCAACATTTAAGGGATAACACTCAAATTTGCATCTGATTGAGCAGACATGTTAAGTAATTTTAGCCTGGCTGTTGCTAGGAAACCAATTAATAATGCTCCACGTTTCATTAAAAACTAGATTCTATTTTCGCTTTTCTGAACTTCACAATTCAGCTGCTTGTGCTGAACTTTTTCTCCCTCAGTAAATTGTGACAGACAAATTATCATTTTACTTAATTTATTTCTGTGATTACAATTGTTAGTCATATCTGTCAATACAACTTCAAAGCTTCTTTATGTGTTACAGGAGAAAACTAAATTTTAGCTGTTAATCTTTTTTTTTTTTTTCTTTTACAGTGTATGGGGACTGAAATTATTTTTTGTAAGGGCCTTCCAAATTGCAGGTTAATTAAAAAAAAAATTAAAGCAATCTTCCCTGTTCCATAATTGCCTCTTCTCAGTGTAGTGAGTAATAATTAGAATATTAGGCACTATTCAGAAAGTGACAGACAGCTGATTAAGCATTCAGCTGCATTTTGTTTCTTTCTGCCTTTCTGTGGTTTGTAGGCTAGACCAGGTTCTGTCCTTTATGCAGTGTGATTAATTTTTAAGACTTTATTTTACATAATAGGCTCCTGCTTCTTTTGAAGAAAAAATACATTTTTAGCTACTCAGTACATCGTTGAGCCAATCAACAGGGCAGTTTCATTAAAACAGCCATGGCATTGTGCAGTTTAATATTTGGTAGTATTGATCTGGTCAAAATGCTCATTAAAAAGCAAAATTAGCTTCTATTCACATCTGTTTCACAGCATTTCAATCACTTTATGTGAGTGATGCATACAAATGCATCTGGTTCTTTAACTTTGTTAAAATGGTGATTTTGCCCATTCTAAGGGGTAAGAGAAACAAAATGCAATCTGCTTTTATATGTGTGGTTCATTTCTTTGATCTTTTGGCCCTGGAGATAACATGCAAAGGATATAGAATTTAGAAGCCGATAGCCCTTGAGTGAAATTATGGCCCAGTACCTCTGTAGGTCTGTGCCTCAGTGTTCTTATTTATCAAAAAAGGAAGGACAGGGACTGGGGATTTAGCTCAGCGGCTTAAAGCGCCTGCCTTGCAAGCAGGCAGTCGTGAGTTCGATCCCTGGTACCGATAAAAAAAAATATATATATATATATATATATAAAAAAGGAAGGACAGTATTGGGAGTAGAAGATGACCTCTGGGATTGTAAAGTCTGGGGGTTTCTTTCCCTTTTCCTTCAAAAATAGCGTGGGTACTGTATTAGTTGACTAGCGCTATCCTAATACAGTATCTCAGGCTGGTTGGCTTAGACAATAGAAATTGATTTTCTTACAGAAAAGACATTTAATATCAAAGTGCTGGCAGGGTTGATTTCCACAGAGGCCTCTCCTCTCAGTTTGCAATGGCCACATTCCCACTGTGACCTCACAGGGTCTGATGACTATGCATGCAAGTCCCTAGTGTCTTCCAGGGTCTTGATCTGCTCTTGGAATAGATCATATTGAACCAGGGCCCACCCCGATAGCCTCATTTTTTTATCTAATTGCCTCATTAAAGACTCTCTTTCCAAATAGAGTCACATTTTGAGGTCTTGGGGTTGGAACTTCAATGTAGAGTTTTGGGAGGATGCAATCAGCCTATAACAGGCACATGACAATTGCAGACTCCTGTTCACTCAGTCTGACTCTTTCTTAGTGGTGACAGTGCCAAAACACCAACTGGAAAGAAAGTAGGAAATGGGTTCCTCAGTTATGGCTTTTCTAGTTAGGTCAGAGTCAATCATAAATACTCAATACTGCTACATCTTCCCACTTTTTTGGCTACTATTTCAGCCTTTCTGGACATAATCTAAGGATATTTTTGTTTCGTGACCTCAGTAATACATGAAGGTCATCATTTGTAGCATATTAAAATCTTTACTCTCATATCATGCTACATATGGATGAATATACAAGGTGTAAGTAATAGAAATAAATGCCCATTTCACTTTTTAAATGAATTTTGGAAAACGGTCAGATGTGGCTGGCAGGGGCTAAGCTTTAGGAATAGTACACAAATGGGTGGCAGGCATATAGTGACACAGAATAATGTAAAAAAAAAAAAAAAGGTCATTCAGTTAACACTTATTGAGGAATTGTTATATTCCACAGTGCTAATCACTTTGGGGAATTTAAAATGTAGCAAGGAAATAAACTTTGATTAAATAATATAGTTCTACCAGGACAGCTCTCCTAAGTGCAGGGAAAGAGAGGCTTATGATGCCCTGAGAGTGAGTAGTAGTGGAGACCAGAGAGAGTTGAGCTGAGATTCAGAGGGAGATGAGACTTACTTCCATGAACAGGTGAACAGTTACAGCTGCAGTTCTGGGATGGGGAAGAGTTAGAATATGGGCAGAAACATTTCACAAGTGTTGAATGCATGTACAAAGATCCTGAGACAGAATGGAGCTTAACAAGGAAGACTGAGAAAAGGACAGAGTGATGGTAAGTGTGGCGGGGGATTGTCTTAGTCACTTTACTCATTGCTAGGACAAAAATACGTGACACCTGAAGACTAGAGGAGGGGAGGTTTATTTGGCTCACATTTTAGATGTTTCAGTCCTTGCATGGTCAGCCGACTTCAGGAAGAAGCAACATGGTAGAAGGGCCAGGATGGAGAAAAGCTGCTCATATCATGGTGTCCAAGAAGCAGAGAAAGAAGGCAGGAGCCTAGAAGGAAGTGTACCTGAGTGACTTGATTCTTCTGCCTCGTAACAGCAATTCAAGTATAGAGCTGCATGATCCAATCTTCTTCCAAAAGCCCTGGCTACAAGTACTTGAGGCTCGTGAGGAACACCTAGATATAAACCATTAACAGTCATGTAGCTGGAAAGTCTTCTGGAAAGGCTGGGGCAATTGGAAAAGGCTTTCCAGGGAAGGAACATGTATGTCCTTAAGGACAAATGTAACTAATATCTTCTGATAGAGGAGGCAGAGATTTTTAAACAGAGATAATATCAATAACTTGGTGTGTCAAGGAAATAGTAAGTTCCTTGTGGCTCACTTATATGAGCCAACCCGTCGTTCTGGTTAAAGGAAATTAATACTTTATTGGCTTCTAGCTAACTAGAGTTTACTGGATTTGCCCTGTTGAGAATGACCTGCCTACACTTAAGTGAAAGCATGGCTGAAGGCACAAATGAATGCTGTTATTGCATGGGCACTAGTGCAGATTGATGCTGTAGGACTGACCTGCTCTTAGAGGCAGTGACAATTAGTGTTTTGTCAGTTTGGATCTGTGGTGTGTTGAAGGGCAGACTGCATCATCATCTTGGCTGAACCCCTGTTTCCTTCTCTGTTGCTCATTTGGAGAAGTTTCCTTAAACCCTTAAGCCCACTGACTAGCCCTACTCTGGTTGCCTCAACCAATCTGAGCTTGCAACAGGAGAGACCCAAAAGTGCTCTAGCTCTGGGTCTAGGTCAGCAGTTACTGTCAGGTTGACCTGGGTCATGGTGGCCGAGTTCTAGTATATACAGTTGTGATAATCACATGAGCTGTGCTGCAGAGCATGTTCCAGACATGGCGGGCTGTCCAGCATGGGTGGAAGATGTCCTGTCTCTAGGGGAGGAAGGGGAGTGAAAGCTGGAACTGGTTGTTGGGAGCATACCAGGGACTACTCTGGAAGCTGTATGCCTGATGGAAGTGTTCACATGTCATTTGGTTTGGGCCCAGGCATGCTTTGTTTCTTTTCTCAACAAAGCTACAGTTAGAGGATTTAAAACTGGAGCTCAGAGTGATTTAGTTTCTCCCTGCTTTTAACAGTTCAGTTAATTGAACAGAAATAGTGCTACTTGCTGACTGCCATTGAGTAGAAAGCATCTGTATTTCAAAAGTTTTCATAAATGTGAAGAATACTCTTGATCTTGAAAACTTTTCTTTCCTTGTGAATATTGGCACCAAACCACACTCTAGGTCTGAAGGTAGCTTGAAAAAGGATTTTTGACAGACTGCAAGGTTATAGGACTCACTGACAGCAAAGAGCACAACATTAACAGGATTTTAAATTAAGGGTCCATATTTACTTATGAACAATGGAAGCGCTGCCTAAAATAACACCTGAAGTGTGTTTAATCTGGTGAATATGAGTTCACAACCTTTGCTCCAGTAAGCTCTAGACCCCATAAAGTAACATACAAATATGACGCATTCTTACCTTCATTGGCCACATTTATACAACTGTGCTCTTGTTACATTTGACTTCTTCAACATAAGCAAAGGATAAGTTGGCCCTTTTATGAGATTCAGGAGTCACTTTGAGTACCAATTTCCATTTCAGTGAACACAAAGGGAGGCATGATGGTCACAGGTAAGAAGACATCATGGGTAGATGGACAGAAAAGATCACACCCTGTGTTGCTCACTTGCTACTGGATCCAACACATAATAGGCATTTTGTAGACATTGTTGACAATACAAATGCAAATTGCTGAAAATTCAAATGTAACTACTGATACTGGTAAAGAGATAATGTATAAGTAGAGATAATGCTCAAAATTGTGTCAGGGGCTAGTGGTATGAGAGGCAGAAAAAATCAGATTAAGAGATAAGATTAAACACTGTCTCCTTATTACTATGTCCCAAATGTCTAAAACAGTGTCTGGCACATAATGGCTAATCAAGGAAGATTTTTGAATGAATAAAGTGATTAATGGCATAATTTCACACTGTTGTATAAGTAATGGGGAAACTATCATACATTTTTGATCATTTTTGAAAATTTCATGGCAGGTGCATGTACAGAAGATTGCAAAAGGAGGAATGAGAAACAAGAAAACATAAGCAATTATGAAGTAGTTCAGGAGGGTCTGAAGTAGGTGAGTACAGGAAACAGGGAAGGAGAGTTGAGGTAGTGTTACAGAGAGACTTGGTGAATGGGTACCTTAGTATATCAGGGAGGGTTGAGTCAAAAATGCCCAAAATCTAAGGTGTTAGGAGTCCAGGCAAGTTGGAAAATAACATATTGACACAAGCAGTGAGATAGGGTATGGTTGGAGGGGAGGGAAAACAGTAGTATTAATAGTTAATAGCTGTAGTAGTTGGTCTCAGAGGCATGTGTTTTATTTACTTTTCTTGTTCTAGGACAAATAACCCAGCACCCACAAATTAAGGAAGGAAAGGTTTATTGAGCTCACAGCTTTTAGAAGTTTCAGGGCATAGTCAGCTGGCTCCACAGCAGTTTGGCATAGCAGTAGGCATCACTGAGGAGATACAGTTCATGGTGAGCAAAGATAGCAAAACAAGCAAGCAAGGGGCCTTAAACTTACCTTTCCGTTACTTTTATGCTGTATCTAGGCTACTGGGAACTGATCCTTTGTTGTTTTTGCTCTCTCTAATTGGTCTCCAAACCATTCACTGGACGGATTTAGTAATCTCACACTCTTTTTTTTGTCTTTTTCATTTTTATCGGTACCAGGGATTGAACTCACGACCGCCTGCTTGCAAGGCAGGTGCTTATGCCGCTGAGTTAAATCCCCAGCCCCTAATCTCACACTCTTAATCCCAGCATCACACACTGTAAACTCAGCCATCTCTGAAAAAGCTCCACCTATCACTACATGAGGCTTTGGGAGCACATCTAGACATAAGCCATAACAATTTGGGTGTTATAAAGGCAAATTACCTCCATTAGGAACTTGCAAGCTGAGAAAAGATGAATTCGGGAGAGTTGTCCCAGGGCTGGAGAGCAGGTTTCTGAACAGTTGTCTGTGGGCACCCTTGAGAAGAGGCAGCTTCTTGAGGGTGGGAGTGATCAGGGAGATGGGGTGGTCTCTTGGTTTGCAGGGCTCTTGGCTTCCACTTTAACTCTTTCTTGGAGAAACGTCACAGAGATCTTGGGCTCTATGCGCCTTGTTCATGGCTGGGCCCTTTTACTCCAGGGCATTCTCTCTGCCCTCTTCCTCATTTTACTTCTTACTTACAATCGCTTTATTTTTATTTATATAATCTACCACCGTGTCTCCCCTGGGAAGTTTCTAGCATGTGTCTAATCCCTCAGCATACCCTATAGGGACTGATCCTTTGTTGTGTTTGAAGTATGCTACTCATTTCTCTCTGTCTCTTCTCTATCTCTGTCTGTCTGTCTGTCTCTCTCTTCTTACTCCCCCTTCTCCTCCTCCTCTTCCAGAGTCTCTCTCTCCCTGTCCTGTCCCTGACTTCAATCTCTCTCCCTCTCCCTCAGTTTTTCTCTCTCTCCTCCCTTCCCTTCTTCTCCCCTCCCATCTTTTCTCCTCTCAGAAACTGATCTGTAATAATTAAATTCAAAGCTTCAAGTAACAAGGAAATGTGTGTAATACATATCAAATAAAACTTGAAGGATTAAGAAAGGAGGTACAAAAGCATTTGCAATAGAACACTATAGCTTTCACATTTTTACTTTTAAAACTTCAGTCCATCTGAAAGTTTTAGTTGAAAAAATTGAGAGTATCAAATCTATTTGTGTTCGCTTCAGCAGCATATACACTAAAATCAGAACTATACAGACAAGATTGGCATGGCTCCCATGTAAGAAAAGACACAGAAGTTCATGAAATGTTCTGTATTTTTATTTATTTTCATGAAAAACTCAGAAACAAAAAACTTTTTTTTAGCTTTTCCAGCTGAGATGGATCATTTTCAGATTCAATTTCCTGTTTTCCCCTTCCTTTCTTTCTTTGTCATAATTCTTTGGAATACCACACTGGTGATCATATAAAATGAGCTTGAGTAAACCAGAATTCTGTCATCAATGAGAGTTTTGCCAGACCTTCATTGTCTTGTATTGCTTTCGTTTTAAACAAATTAATTGCAAAAGATAATTTAGTGACCTCAAATTGTACAATTCTGAATGGCAATTTGTGCCTGTGTATTTCTTCAAGTTAGGCATTTGCTTAAAAGATATTCATGGTGATGAATTCAGTTTCACAAAACTTGGCAGCTCCCACAAGTAATTGAATAGCATAAATTTTGTTTACCTCCGTAGTGTCTAGACTAGAGAATTAGAACCATGAGTTTATAAGATATATTTACACAAATAAAATAGTATTTAAAAAATGTGTTTCCAGGAGGCCAACAATGAAATTTTTGGTATGGCACTTGGCCAAGATATCCAGATAAATGGGAAGTTGGTCCTGTATCTCATGTCATTCAAATGAACTCCAGCTTGATCAGTTCACTTTAGATGTGAATGAAATATTCACAAAGTATTGTGAGAAAGAAAACAAATGGAAGGAGAAATCAGAAAGGAATTTAGAAAATGTCTGGTTTATTCCCATTTTATAATGACAATTGATCTTGTGTGTACATGTATGTGGTGCTGGGATCAAACCCAGACCCTTGCACATACTTGTGCAAGTACTCTACCACTAAGCTGAAAATGGATAGTTTTTAAAAGAATTTCAAAATGTGAATGTATATTTGGTTCCACTTAAAATTATCAAAGAAGAAAATATACATTAATTTCTTTACAACCTTGAAAAGAAGGGTTGTTAAAAGTGACTCAAAATCCAGAAACAATAAAAGAAGAAAATGATAAAGTTGATTAAATTCAAATAAAACATTTTTACCTGATTTTTTAAAAAACCATAAGCAAGTTCAAAGGACAAATGATAAGCAGAAAAAACTATTTTCAGTGGACAAAAGATTAATCTCTTTGTATAAAGAACTGCTACATATTAATAAGACAGACTTTACAGGATAATAGAAAAAAAGGCAAAGAACAGGAACCAATTATTCATAAAATAAGAAATGCATTGTCTTTTAACTTAAGAAAAAATTTTCACCCTTACGTAGAATATGAGAAATGCAAATTTAAACAATGCTGAAGTAGTACTTTTTGTTTTATCAGGTTGTCAAAAATTCTAAAGAGTGACAATATTGTTGACTAGATGTGGGAAAATTAGTGTTGTACTTCTTAAGGCAGCACAAAACGGCGCAACCCTTGTGAAGCCAGGTTGGCAGTATCTATCCTGATTACAAATGCAGTTACCCTTTGACCCAGCAATCTGGTGCTGACAGTTTTTCCTGCAGATACATCTGAATACATATAAAGTGACATACACAGGAGGTTTTCCATTAAACCATTGTTTGTAATAGAAAACATTGGAAACAATTCAAATATCCATTAGTGGAAGACTGACTAAATACACAACTCATCCATACAATGGAATGTTGTGCAGCATTTTTAAAGAGAACGTGGAAACTATATATATCTATCTGGAAATATCTGCAAGATGTGTTATTAAATGAAGTAAGCAAGAAATAAAAAATAGTATTCTACCCTTAATATAAAAAGAGTCAAAATTTGAGTTTACCTCTGCTGTATCTGCGTGGAGTAATACCAAATAAACACAAACAGAAGGAGGATGTCAGTAAAGGGGGTTCATGTAGCAGGTGGGTGGGGAGTGATATGGGTAGGGAAAGAGTAGACAGATGCAGGATGGGAGCAACACTGTGCATTGTATTCTGCTGGATTGTTTTTATTTTTAAGCCATGGAAATTAGTATCTACAAGTTTTTAGTTAATATTTTAAAATTTGCATTTCAGTCATAGTTTAACATATACAACAGCCAGAAAGATTTCCCTAAAACTTGTTCACCTTATGTTGGAACTGTTGACTACAACTTCCTCAGGGTGTCGCGGTTTTTCAAGACCTGTGCTGTCTGGTGTGGTAGACACTGGCCACATCAACGGAGAACTTAAAACACACCAGTCCCACTGAGATCTGCTGCTAGTGTGCCTGATTAGAAAGACTTAGTATGAAAAAAAATGTAAGGTACCACATTCATAGTTTTAAAGATATTAATTACATGTTAAGTGATAATAGTTTAGATTTCAGGATTTAAAATATATTTTTAAATTAATTTCTCTTGATATTTCCTATCCTAAATGTGGTTAGTAGAAAATTTTTAAATTATATATGTGGCTCAGCTCTGTGGCTTGTATTTTATTCCTTTTGCACAGCACTGATAGACTCCTGCCCATACTGGGCGTGTCTGCCAGAATCACTTTAAAAATACAACCTTAGCATGTTACTTTCCTGCCTTAAATCCTCCCTTGGCTCCTTGATGCCTTCAAGACCTTTGTAATAATCTGAGACCCTTCCTTTCCTCATCTCTGCCATTCCTCTTACACAGACATTGTTTGTCTTTACTCACTGGGCTGCAGGCCACTTCATAAAATGAATCTTTGAACACACTGTCTCTTCTCTTGGGAATGTCCCTTCAGCTCCCACTTCATTGCCTGGAAAACTACCCATCTTATAAGCCCAGTCCATGAGGACCTTTTGTTAGTTCTTTAATTCTCTTGTCCTGTACCCAGTCCTCCCCGTTTTTTGTTTTGTTCCAGTGCTGAAAATCAAATCCAGGGCCTCATGCATGCTATGCAAATACTCGGCCACTAAGCTACACCCTAGACCCTTGTCCCATTTTCTTGTATCATCTGCTAACCCTCTGCGTTCATGCACTTATTGTCTTAATATCATAGTTACCTTTTGAAGTGAATAGTAGTATAGTAGTCTATATGTACCAAGCTTGTCCTGTTCAAGGGAAGAACACATATTATATTCATTTTTCATATTTCCAGATCCTAGGAAAATGAAGTTGGTCATTCTCTGCCCAGGTTGCCTGGCTGGTATTTGTCTGGTCTATATATTAACGAAAGCCAGCTCAAAGCTGTAGGTCTTCCTTGGTTAAGAACAGACTTTTTTCGAATGTTCTAGCTTTACAGAGGCCAGCTTCCCACAGGCATAAGGTAGCAATTTGTAGAGATGTGAGTAGCACTATACTGCGTGAGATCTGGTTTTCAGGGCCATGTGCAGACTGAAAGATGAGGTATTTGTGTTCAGTTCAGAGAGCAGAATTCTCCAGGCTGGCTAGGTTCCTGTGTTTCTAGAAGGTAAAGGTGGCAGGTGGTTACCAGAAGGTGAAAGCGTCAGGGGAAGCTGTCCGGCTGCAGGATTCTGTGACCCGGAATAATGAAGTTCTCCATGGTCCGGTTGAGGGGCTTGCATGTCAGTGCCTATTCTGCGTGGAAAATTCTTCTTGCTTGTTAACCTTTCCCTGTGAGAAGCTCACAGCCTTCTCTTCTGCTTGTACAGAGTTGTTTTTGCTCAAAAGAAAAATGAAAAAAACAAAATATTTTATGATCCGTGAAACAAAGATTTTCAAAATGAAAACTAGGAACTTTGCAAAAACTTCCCCGAGGGTCGGTGCTTATATCCAAAATTTAGAAGCATTATTACCATTTTTCAGAATCTGTTTATTTCTTATATAGCGATTCAGTTATTTTCACCAGGCAAAGAGTTAGTTCATGTGTAACTCTCCTAGTCGACTGATTAAATAACTTTTTCTTTTGCAAAATATTAAGGGCCAGTAGTGAAGTAGAAAGTGCTAGAAAATGGGTCTGAGTCTAGGACTGCCACTGATCTATTGGTATGAGCGTTAGCACCTCTGTAAGCTTCATTATCAGTAAAATTAGGTTACAAGTGCATTCAAAGTCATAAACATTATAAGAGTGAGTGAACTCAGGCTCCTAGAACAGTGCCTGGCCAACATTAGGTTTTAGTTGGTAAGATTTGTAGTTGCAATGTGAGTATAGGTTTTCTTTTGCAGTTGTCGAATGTTGAAGGCCAGAGAGAAGTGTGTCGTCTCATAATGGAGATGACCTGCCATAATTTTTCAGTAGCCATTGTTCAGAGCCTCACAGCTATCCCCAGGAGGGAAGACAGGAGGGAATCGTCAGGTACATGGGCTGGAATGACTTTGCCATTAGTCAGTTCCATAAGGACTCACTCTGCCTCTTTAATCCTCTGTGTAAAATGAAGGTGGTACTCATCTCCATCTCTAAGCCCTGTCTGCGTAAAGCAACAGAAACAGCTTTGGTTCTACAACATTGCTTATAGCAGTGATGGCAAACCTTTTAGAGCTTTCAACGGTAGAAACATCCCGCTGCGGCATGCGGCCGTAGGCTCATCGCCACTGGCTTATAGGGTAACAGACAGCTCACTGGCATAGACTTGGAGCATCTGGAAACTGTGCCTCATGCTTCTGTCACCTCCCCACAGCCCAGCACCCATCCCTTTTTCCTTTGGGATTGTGTCCAGAGGCCCAGATCGTTTCCTTGAGCACCACTCCTGTGTTCACTCTCATCCTCCAGAAAACGACCTGGCTCTGTTCCTCACCAGCAACGTTTCATTTTCTCCAGGGGTTGGGATCTGCTCCTCATCATTCTTCTGACAAGGGAGAGTAATCATTTTTAAGAGGGAGATTATCAGTGGGCCTTTTTTAAAAAGTGAGTTTTGTGCTTGATACAAATTTTTCTGGACGTAGTGCTTTCTCCTCAGCGCGCCGGGTCTGTGCGGCGGCCCTTCTTCTGTGCCTCTTGGCCTGCTTCTGGCTTATCTGACTGTCAACCTGGAGGGGGCCCTGCTATCACTTTTGCTGGAGATGGATGAACACAGCATATTGTGTGCTTCAGGACCACATCATTTGAGCTAGCAATAATCAAGACTTGGGGTTAATTATCATTGTAATTTCATTGTTGCCATAATTGATCTTGTCTTAAAATGCTACTATGATATTTATTTTGTCATTTGATTAAAAATGAAAATAAAATATTTTTGATAATAAACTTTGAAGACAGATCCTACATTCAGTTCTTTTTCAAACCAGCTTTACAAACTTCAAGTGTGCCTTTATTAGTGTGGTAATTTGTCTGCATTATAATATTGCATCTTCAAAATGAAAGAAAATTGAAACAGTTCATCACCTCATTGAAGTGAAAATCAACATCTGATTTGAATAACGAGGTCTCCCCTACAAGTTTTGCTTCAGTGAATGAAGCTAAAGAACTGCCCTCCACTGTCATGTTAGTGACGTCCCGTGATTCTGGTGCCTCTGATCTTGCAGATGATCACTGTGACGCTTTTACTCTAATCCAGTAAGTTTACCTAAATCTTTTTGTATAATTTGCATGTATTTCATGTTGATTGTGCTTCTCTAGAGAACCCTACTCCACTGTTTTTTATTTTAAAATCAAAGGGAAATCCTGTATTACATGTTCTACCTCAGTAAAAAGCTTACTGGATGAATGAGTCAACAGATAAACCAATAATGATGTGAAACAAAACACTAACAAATAAAACCCTAAAAATGAGTCTCCAATGAAAAAGTAAAATATAGAAGCAAATAAGATCCCTTCTTCCTTCTGTCTGTCTGTCCACCCATCCCTGCTTCTTTCTCCCCTCCCTTCCCCTCTCTTCCCCTCCCCTATTACCATACTGGAGGTTGAACCCAGGACATTTTCACTGACATATAGCTCTAGCATTTTTCAAATTTTTATTTTGAGACAAGGTCTTACCAAATTGCTGAATTGCTCAGTTGCCCAGAGTAGGCTTAGATTTTAATCCTTCTGCTCATCCTTCTAGAGTTCTGGGATTATAGTGTGTGCCACCACACCCAATTAACCAGTCAGTATTCTCTGTTTCTTATTTCTGTTCCTTTAGCCATAATAAGGGTGCAGGGAGGCCTGTAGATTTGCAAGAAATACTTACTGCATTTAATTAGATTAGTGTTACTTTGTTAAATACAAAACAAGGGAATATCCTTTTATCTGTAAATACTTTGATACTCAGATTGTATCAACATGAAACAGACTAAGATTTGTCTATTAATCAGTGCCTTACCTTTCTTCAATCATAACTAGACATCCACTGCAACAAGGTCTCAGGAAATTGTGAACCAGATTGTAAGCATTTTTCCCACTTAAAAAAATGCCAGTTTTGTTTTCTACTGCTCGCTGCACAAGGCTAAGGGGAAAACAGAAAACTTTTTGATGAAATCTAAAATACTTTGTGGGCAAGGCTTTCAGATGGGATAATTGCAGGTAACTGAGCTACCGTTTCACTCTGAGGCCAGCCATGTGAGTCCCTCGCCATGGCTTCATCTTAGGACCAGGGAGCAGAAAGCACAGTCCTTTCTCACCTAATTTGCTAAGTTCTGTTATTCATCAGAGAATCTACCTTTTTAGTTGACTTTGTCTCTTAACCATGCTTCTTTTCAAATTCTGATTTTTAAGGAAGTGATGTTTCTTTTTTACTCATTAATGAGTATGACGTACAAGAGTCTCTTGATTTCTTGAGTAATATGTAATTTAAAATTTGCAGCTTTCTAGGTTTTTTCCTGATGATGTCTCATTAGGTACTATTTAAATTGACTTAGGTCATTTAGATTACAGGCCTTAGATTCGTGTCTCCTGGGTAGGTTGAGTTTGTCTTGACTTTTATGCCTACTTGGCCTTCCTCACACAGGCAAGATGAGGTCACCGCGTTCTACTGTTTTTTGTTAATTCTTGAACAGTTAGGCAGGGCGAGGGAGTGAGAAAAACCCCTGATTCAACCACCTGTTGACAGAATTTGAGTCCTAGTTCGTCACTCACTAGTGCATTAGTTAGGACAAATTAGTTTATTTGTACAAAATGAGTTAAATACTAGCTGTTTCACATTGTCGATAACTGACTGAGATGGTGTCATTGGAAGTGCTTAATGCTGTTATTGTTACAGATGCTTTTTCATGGGAAGCTGAGGGATGTACATGGAGGTAGTGCTTAGATCGTTATCAGAAAAATATTAGATACCAGAGTTCCTGAACAAGGGAAGGACTAGACCATTCTTTGTTAAAGTTATTTGAATTTTTCATTTTATTTTGCCCCACTTTTACCTTCAAGTCTTACCCAAAGGTCTTTGCCCACTCCATTGTCCTGAAATATTTCCCTTTTCTTAAAAAATTTTTTTTCATGTTTCAAGTCTTACATTTAAATCTGTATTCCATTTTGAGGCTTTTTTTGTATGTGGTAAGAGAGAGTGGTCTGGTTTCATTCTTCTGGATGTATATGTCTAACTTTCCCATCACTTTTTGTTGAAGAGACTTAGCATCCAGTGTTTCTGATATTTTGTCAAAGATAACTTGGCTATCGATGACTGGGTTTATTTCTAGGCTTTCTGTTTGTTCCACTGGCTTATATGTTGTTTTTATGCCCATGCTATGTTGTTTTGGTTACTGTGGTTCAGTAATATATTTTAAAGTCAGGTATTGTGATGCCTCTTGTATTGTTCTTTTTGCTCAGAATAATTTTGGCTATTTTGTGTTTCTTGTGCTTCCATAAATCTTAGGATTGCTTTTTTCTAGTTCTGTGATCAGTAGCATTGGTATTTTAATAGATTGTATTACATCTATAGATTGTTTTGGATTATATGGGCATTTATCAACCTTCAACTCACAAAAGATATAGGTCATGGATATCTCTCTCTCCTCTTCAATTTCTTTCATCAATGTTTTATAATGTATATTACAGAGATCTTTCGCCTCTGGTTAAATTTATTTGGACACCAAAGATATGAACTGTCATGCCACCAAAATGTAATCGCTTGGTGGTTCTTAGCTGGTAACTTGGAGGTTGAATATATTTAGGATTTCTGGAAAAGGTAAATTTGAAAAGAGACCACAGAGTTTATCTAATTAAGAAATTAACTGAGGCTGAGAATGACTGGGAACTAGAAAAAAGCAATGGTGAGCGTAGTGCCTGGTACAAAATCAATGGTGAGTGTTTGTTGAATGAATAAATGGATGCAATACAGAGAACTTGTAGCACTGAGGCTGTATTTCAGGTTAACAATCACTCCTGGAAAAGCCTGCCCTCTGGAAAAGAATAGTCTTCACTCGGCCCATTTGTTCTACAGAGTATGTTTCCCTGGCTCAGGAAATTGAGAGTGGCTCAGATAAGATGTTACATAAACACCTTTATTCTTATGTCACTTTGGTTTCATTGTAGGCCACTGTTTAATAAATCATAAAAATGTTTAGTTTCATCTTAGAATCTAAGAGTAGAACTCTGTCTGAATTCTTTGACAGTAAACTAAGTTAGATGTATGTATCCAATAAGAGTAATGATTACTTTACCTGTTCTTTCTCCTGAACCACTACAGAATGACATTCGGTTTTAATAAGGTTGTGACTTAGGTCATCATGTCTTTATTTCTTGGACCTTTGATTGACTACATTTTAACTTAACCTGTTGGTCTTCCATGTTGATCTCTGGCTTAGAGTGTAGAGTGTAATTTTTGATTTAAGCAGCAAACTGAGATAGACTCATTTCTTGGCCATTTCATGGTGCATATCATGACACACATGTCCAGTTTAGGTTCTGTCGGTGTGGACAGTGACTGCAGGTAGTAAGACATTCTCAGCCCTCCATAGCTCTTTGCTCTACTTCCTGTAACACCAACACCACCACATGGATTAATATTTGAATAGGATGTACCTGGTTTTAAAAGTACTCAGAATTGCTTCAGGAGACTGGTTGTAAAACTCTGTACATGGTGCCGAGTGCCTTAAGGTGCTTCACTCAATAATCACTGGAAACTTACTCTAGTGGGAGGTTTGGGAAGTTTGTGAATTGGTTGATGTTTGAGGCACAGATTAAAAAGTTTACCTGTACGACTGATTTAGATGACAGATTAATTTTAAGGTTTAAATGACAGATTAATTTTATGTTTGCAGTGTGAACCATTTGGAACTGCTCAAACTTTAGCTGCTTCTGCTGCAGTTATAAATTTGAAGTCAGCTTTGTTCTGTCTTCCAGGAGTAAAGCAACTGAGATATAATTGAAATAACTTTCTGAAGCTCAGGATCTGGCAGGAACTAAGGAAGTTCTGTAAGCTCTCAGATTCTTTCAGGCCCAGCCTTGTGTTCGTCCACTAGACCATGGGGCCTGTATGGTAGGTGAAAGTGTAAACATACAAACCGGTGTTTCTGAAGCCCGTGGAATTGCATGTCTCTTGTTCCTATATAGTACAGTGTTTCATAGTGGAGTGCATAATGTGCAGAGCTGAAAGAAGTATTTATATGCAGCCTGTCAGAGGTATGCTTGGTATGAAAACCATAAGTGATTTGCCTCACTGGTTTGTTTAAAATTCTCAAGCATATTGCTATATTAACATAGCCTTTTTTACTGACTCTCTTGTATATTGGGGGGTGAGCATGTGGTGAATGAAATAAATACACTGGAGTTGATCCTCATCAAGAAAAGCATATCATATTTGTGTGTGGCTGTGTTCCTTCTGCGTGGAAAAAGGCCTCGACATGTAATGAGTTACTAATGCATGTGAGACCCTGTGTCTCCCCAGAACCCCGTGTTGTCTTGTTGCTCTAGAGTTCTATATATTGCAGTGATGACATCCTGCAGTTGGTGCATTGACGCTGACCATGCCAGGTGTGCGAGAGGTTATTGGAAGAGTGGCTGTTGGAACATTAACTCCAGATTCCCTGACTTGTTGTGTGATGAAAATACTTTGTGAAGTTAAACCAGTATCAAAAGCAAGTGAAAAAATACAATTTTTGGAAGAAAAATCATGTGTGCAATACTAGGGAATTTCTTTATTTGCTATCCTTTGCCCTGATGTAAATGCACTCATTTTTCAGTAGTTCCCTATTCTGAAGTCAACTGGGAGACTGCATCCACAGTGAGGGTTCTTGGTAACTAGGGCAACCTGCATGTGGGCTTGCCCGTGTGCCATCTTTAAAACAATTTTCCTTCCCACCTGATCCTCCTTGGAAACATGTTGGGGCTGGGAGAGAGTTTTAATGCCGAATACAGTAACTGTCTTGCTTGTTTGTTTGTTTTGTATTAAATGAAGAAGATAAAAGCCTGGGTTGATAAGGATGAGAGATCAAATTCTCGTGTCATCACTCATATAAAGTGAAAAATACAACCTTGTTCTCTATACACTTGTGTGTTTCTTTCTCTCTGATTTAATCTCATTGTAGTGATATAAGACAAGCAAGCCAGGCTTGATATGTGGCCAGTAAGTGAAATCTAAATTTTCCAACTTTGGTATTTGGGTCTTTGATAAAATATGATTCAACAAGTTACTCCTTTCTTAAGGGACCTGAGGGTATAAGAAAAGAATTTCTCTTACGGAATCAAAAAGTGAGCTCCACAAAATTGCTTCACTCTCAAATCTGTATGTTTTCTCAGTAAAGCAGCTTGCTTCTGGGTTCAGGGACCTGAGATGCAGTTTTACCCACTTGAAGACTCTCTGTGTTCAGCTCAATTAGATTAATTTACCGTCCTCATTGGGATTCACAGTGTTTTGCAGTTTATCTGCAGTAACCACCTGTTGGTTATGCAAGCAAAGGTACTATTATTGGTCACTAAAGGCCATGGGTTCTTTTGAATGAATGGAGAACCTTAACCCTTTCTTTCTTTCTTTCTTTCTTTCTTTCTTTCTTTCTTTCTTTCTTTCTTTCTTTCTTTCTTTCTTTCTTTCTTTCTTTCTTTCTTTTTCTACCAGGTATTGAACTCACGGCCTCACACTTGCCACACAGGTGCTGTGCCACTGAACTATATTCCCGGCCCTAACCATCACTATTACAGATGAAATATGGGATATCAAATTGAGTTTTGTGAGACTTCTGTACTTTAAAGAGAATTGTCATTTGTCTTCTGTATCTATACCATCTTGGCTTGGTGTCTCCATAAGCAATTTGGGAGGTTCCATAACAGAACATATTATTTTCTGTATCTCTTGGAGTTATGGCTTACTTTCTCTTCTCTTGATTTCTAGATAGAGGTTATTCAGTGATTATCTTTTGGTAATTTGCATTGAAACGTAACCTGGGTGGGATATGGTTGTATCATCATGGCTGACCAGACGTCCAGGACAGAGTCCTCACCCTTTAACAGCCTTAGCATGAAGCAGTATTTCTGATACACAGTGAAGCAAGATCAAGAACCCTTTGGAATCTTCAGTGATCACAGCTAATCTCTTAATCTCTCTTTCTCCTCCCTTTTGTCCCTCTCCATCAGAAGACAAACAAGAAGCCCTAATTTTGATTAAGATAATTATTTATAGAGTTAGAAACTGAAGATGGTCTATGAATCTAATCCTTTCCAGAATCTTAGTGTTGCAGGAATTCTCAGTCACCAACCTTTGTGCTGAGGTAGATAAAGAGGGTGGTGGGGGACCACAGTTCAAAGCATGACTAATTCCGAGCATGACTGGCAGGCCTGGGACACATCTTCAATATAACAACAGTGGTAACAACAGGATTATCCACATGCAAATGCCAGGTTATTTTGCAGTTCTTTATTTCATGTTAGAGGTAAGGGCAAACCATTAAATTCTATTTACCAGTATGTTTATGTGTCTGCTGTGCCATTTTCTAGGTACTAGTTGGAAAGAACAAAATCAACATTTTCTACTTTTGCAGAGTTGATGTGTTAGCTGTGAAGACACTGTAAGTAAATGAAGTGAATGAGATACAAATGAGGTTAAAAAGTGAAACTACTGTAGAGAAATGTCAGACGAGGGAGAAGAAGGAAGGTGGGGGAGGTTTTTATGGTACTAATATTAGGATCAGAGTAGTTGCCTAAGTGAAAAAGTATTCATGAAATAACCTGAAGGAGGTGAGAGGGTGACCATCTCGGAGAACAGCACTCCTGGGAGAGTGACCTCTAGGACAGGGGACACTGAGGTGATAGCCTGCTTCATATGGTGTAATTGGAATGAGGCTGCTGGCTGTAGGAGGAGGAAGAGGGTGAGGGGAGACAGTGCTAGCACCATGACTGGGCATTTCCTCAAGGGAGATGCAGAGTCACTCCAGATTAGGCAGAAGAGTGACATGATGGGTGGATACTTTAATCGCATCTCTCTGGGTGCTGTGTTCAGAATACACTAACATGAACAAGGCTAGAAGCAGGGAAACTGATTGGAAGGATATTATAATAATCTAGTGACAAGACAGTGGTCCTGCCCTGGCAGTAACTGTGAAGGTGGTGAGGAATGGTAGAATTCTGGGTATATAATAGAGGTAAGGTCAACAGGTTTGAGTTTGAGGCATGAGAAAAAGAAGTCAAGGATGACTCTAGAAGTAGATCTCAGCAACTGGGAGAATTTGGTTATCATTCACAGAAAAGAGGCTGAGAAGCGAGAGTAGATTCTGGAGGGTGGTGGAAATCAAGGATCTTGGTTTTGGCTATGAGAATTTGAGGTGCTGTTAGACTTCAGAATAGTTGTCTGCAGCAGACAGTTGTTAGTTTTCAAGTCTGGAATTCAAGGGAGAGGTCAGGACTGAAGACAGGCACTTGGGAATGTTCAGGGTGTGGGTGGCATCAAAGCAATGGACTCATGTCTGAGAACCAGTAAAGGAAACTGAGAAGGTGTGCAGTAAGTGAAAAGGTAGCAGATGGTGCTGGAAGCTAAGCCAGAGTGTTCCAGTGAGCAGGGAGCAACGTCTCTGTGCAGTGTTGTGTAGGTGAAAAACAGTTGTATCAACTGGTCAGGAGTTCAAACCCGGAAGTGACTCCCAGGCCTGTGCCTGGGAAGTAGCTAGGCAGTGCGCAGTTAGGTTCCCTGTCGTTCCACCAGCAGAGTCCTGTGGCCATGCCTGCCTCTGTGCTCTGTGTTGCTTGTCATGGTGTGCTCTTTGCACTGGTGATGGATCTGTGAGTATTTTCCCTTGTTCAGTATAGTAGCAGCAACATCCCATATTTCCGTGATTTCGTTTGTCTGAAAAATGTTCATTTCTTATCTTCTATGTAGATGTTATAGAACATTATGTAGATGTGATAGAACAAAAGAAAAAAAAGGTTAAAACTATTAACAATAATCCCGTCACTCAGAAGTGACTATGCTCACAAATTGACATATAGCCTAAACTTTTTTCAGCCGTGTATGTAAATTCACTATTTTTTTCAAAATATGATTTTGAATATTTTAGAACCCTTTTAGCCAACAATAAATATTATGAAGATTTATCATTATGTACATATTTATATATTTATTTTATGAAAATCATGCCTGTGTATTTATAATACAGTATAGTTTACCAAGGACAGGGCAATAAATAACAGTCTATTCCCATGAGAATTAATCCCTAACTAGAACAATTAGTCCAGAAATATTGTTATATTAACACTACTATATTCACTGAGTCTCGGCACATAAGAGGCACTGTTGCCTAGGGTTTTAGTTATATAATGTCATTTAATTCTCACAGCAACCCTGGGAGGAAGATAGCATTATTATCTCTATTTCTGTAGGTGGGACCCTGGGAGATTAAGACCCTTTTTCTTGGTTATGATACTGTAGGTAGGTGTTAGACAGATACGGACTGAATAGGGCTCCACAGCCCATAGCATCCCTCGCTGTCCATTTCTTTCTTCGTACTGTATTTTTATGTTTGATCCCAAGCTAAACTTTCCCATCAGTTGCCTTCCTTTCCACAGTCTTCATAGGGCCAGCAGGCGGCCATAGTGGTGGCAAGTGCTAGGAACTGGGTTGTTGCTTTTTATTTATCTGTGGTTCATAAGACAGCATATAGAAAACTAGAGTTTTGTCCCTCTAGGTTTGCTTTGTTACAAATAAAAAGTTCTCTGTCTAAAAGGTGCCTGGCCATACTGATCCTCTTTGAGCTAAAAAAAACAAAAACAAAAACAAAAAAACAAGTAATTTTCCCTAAGTAGTTAACCTATGTGTTTGTTTCTTTACAGATTGTTGAATGCATTAGGTACACACTTTATGTAGGCTTAATATTTAAACATGTCAGTGCTTTTTGTGATTTCCTTTTAAAACTGCTGTATACCTTAATCTTTTTAGATATTCTTACATTAGGATAAACATAATACATAGCATATAACATGTAAGTAAGTAACATATAATACATGGCATAACTTTGTGCCTGTGATAGAGCTGTGTTTAACATGTAACATCTAGCAGTAGTTAAAAAGGTGAAAAGCTGAGTGAGTGACAGAAATACCAGATTCTTTGTGTTGGATTTGTGCTGTTTTTTTTTTTTTTTTTGAAACAAGGTCTTACTGTGTAGTTTGGACTGGCCTAAGCTCACGGTGATTCTCCTGCCTCAGCCTCCAGAGTATGACACCACACCGAGCTGAAGTCATTGTTTTTGAAATCACTGCTCTGGTATTTACAAAATCAGTATGTTACAGTGAGCGTTACAGTGAGCATAAGAAGGAACTCCTATATTTCTAATGCTTCTGTTATATGTAAGTAGAGAAACATGATTGATTACCTCAGTAAGAAACTAGATGAGCTTCAAAGCAATACTGTAAGTGAAAATTTCCATGCAAATGATGGTATTATTATCTTTTCAGGCACTCAATCATATGAAGTGCAAATAACTACTAGTACTGATTGTTAGATTAAATGAGAGTTTTGTCTTTATTGAAAAAGTGGATGAATGCTGTTATTGAACCTTCCAGTTTTTAATTCAGCATAAAAATAATGCTTAAATACTGCTACCTTAAACATGTTTCTTAGTGGACCTGTGACCACTGACTACAAAACTGGTTCAACTATTTCTCTGATTCTTTTCTTCTAATCAGACTTTTGCTTCTCAGAATATGGTAGACTTTGGAACTGTGCATTTTAGTGGTGATCTTGTGATTCTGTTTCTTTTTCTATTCTGAACTTATTCTTTAATTTTGTATCTAGAGTGAGGACAGTATGCAAGCACTGCTGTAGTAACTAGTTAATCTGAGCCTTTTCCTTAGACACTAATTGTGTGGATTATGGAACCTTACTATTTAGGGCAATAAATTAAACTTGTAGAATTATCCTTATCATTCATATTACTGTATTGAGACCTCACTTTATGTGTGTGAAAGCATTCATTCCTATCCATAAGGGGAAAAGTCATTCCATATGAATTATATCTTCTTAGTTATATGTACATAAATTCTGCGTGAACAAATAATAGTTTCAAAAATGAAACATTATTTCAGTTAATTATAGAAGTTCTGGGCAAGTTCGGAGATAATGATCTGAACCCAGAGTTCAGAGCTGGGAGTGTAACTCAGCAGTCAAGTGCTTGCCTAATGTATTTGAGGCCCTGGGTTCCATCTCAGATACACACACACACACACACACACACATTAAAATCATAAAACCTAGAGTTCATGTAAGGATTGTGGTTTATAAAACTACTCTATATACTGTTTTAGAAATATGGTTTATAGTTTATTTTGAGCTTGATTTATGAACAGAAGTATTAATTTCCTTTATTAAAGCTGAACGATTTCTCCCCTCATCTTTCCTCAGAACTTGTCTCTTTTTTCTTTTAATAAGTGGGGAGTATGGAACATACTGTCCATTTCTCTTCCTTCCAATGTTAGATTTCAGACTAATTAACAGAATAAAGCAAGCATCTTTCAAAAACTTGACTTTTAGTACTTGGATATATATCATCAGAGCCATTAAAAAGAACATGATGTTTAGTGTGTGTCTCCTCCCAGCAAGCAGAACCTTCCCGTGGCTGTTCCCAGTGTCCCCGGAGGCCAAATACAGCTCCCAGGACAAATCTTGTCCCTAGATAGCTTTTAAAAATACGTTAAAAAACTTGTCCATCTGACATAGTCCTCCTCTTTTTTGGTGACGTTCCAAAGCTTAGAAGAGTTAACCTTTCTAAAGTAGAATTTATTAGCTTAAAAAAAGTGTTTTAATCTTAGTGTAAGTTGTGAATAGACACTGAAAATTTCATAGAATTTTTTCCAGATAGCTTGAACACAGTCGTTTTTTGAATTTGTTTTGTTTGTTTGTTTGTTTTTATTAAGGCCTCAAACCCTTCAATGCTGAAATTTGGGAATAAGACTACAGAAAAGAGACCAGACATGGAACATTTGGGCAGTTATTGGTCAAGAAGTCAGCAGTAACAGCCTTCAGTCCTTATCCTGACTGTTGCTTATTAGAGAAAGGGAGAAGCTCATGGTTGCCTGCCACGGCCCTTGAGAGAAAGGACAATTAGTTAAGAACATTCTGTTTTGTTTTGTGAATAGTTCCAGAAGAGGAGTTTAGGCATGAGTGTGCTTCCCCTTATGGACTTTTCTGATGTACTCGAGGATAAGAGTACCCTCCTTGGAGTCTTTTCCTGGTGACAGGGTGACATGCTGTGTAGGGTATGCTCAGCATAGTGCCTGACACACTGTCACTGGACCAGAAGTGTCACTGTTGCCATTGTCATCATCATTAATCCCTATTACCGTCAGATGCTTAACTGTGAATCTAGCATTTTCTCATCCCCAGGGGGATGCATTGTGTTGTATCTCAGAAAGGCATCTAGTGAAAAGATACTCTTAAATAAAAAGGAAACACCGTCCCACTTTAAAACTTGTTTTACTTTCTATTAGGGAAGTCATATGTATTTATTCATGTCCTGTGATGTTGCTGAGCACCTGTGTTGAGCGAGGCACTTTGTTAGGTGCCGAAGATGTGAAGATGAGAAAGCAACCCTGCTTCCTACGCTTCATTCAGGCAGCTGGAGCAAAGCACTGAACCATCGCCTGCGCAGCTTTCACAGCAGACACTCACACCTCTGCAGGCTGGAAGTCCAAGACCGAGGAGCCTTCAGATTCAGTTCCCGGCTGGCAGATAGCTTCCTTCATGTTGCGTCCTCGTTGGCCAAGAGAGGGAGGAAAAATAATCCCTCATGCATCTCTCTAAAGGGCACCAATCCCATTGTAACATCACCTGCAGATATCCCAAATGTTGCGGATTATGACTTCAGTGGAGACTGAAGAGATTTGGACCATCACAGGGCGTTTAAACTTTCTTTGAGCTTGAGACAAGTAAAGAGGCAGCTGCTATGCTAAATAGTTATAAAATACAGCGCGGGCCTCAGCACAGACTTGGAGAGCCATGGACACCTGGAGAGTCATTGAAGCTGGGACTTCATGAGGAGCAGTAGAGAGGCCAGGAGAACAGAGGAGCAGTGTGCGCACTAGGCTGGGGCAGGGCGAGCACGGCACATTGGAGGAGCTCGGTGGTGCATGCTTCTGGAGTGTGAGGTCAGGATGTGGAAGTGGGAGAGGAGGAGGCAGGAGCTTGCAAGCCTTGGAAAGGAGAAGGGAAAGAAACAGGGGAAGGACATGTTGACATTGATCTTTTGGAAAGATCATCCTAGCCACATTGTGGAAGCACAATTGGAGAGAGCCAGACGGGGCCCAAGTGGAAAGGGCTTTGAATAGTCCAGGGGAGAGATGATGAGGCCCTGGGCCAGCTCGGAGATGCTGTACATGATGACCATCGGATATCATTCATGTCCTGCACATAAGAATACTTATGATGCCAGACACTGCTCTGAAGGCCTCTCCGGTGTATACTCATTTAACCCCCCAAACTGTCTTTAGGGATATGTACTACTCTTACTTCAGCTGGACAGGTAAGGACTAGGAATATGTTTAGTCATGTAATTGTAAATGGTAGGACCAGGATTGGAACCCAGATAGATTGGCTCTTGACCACAGTATATAGTGACCTAATTCAAGACCTTTTTAGGACGTAGAATGGACAGGACTGGTGGTGAGTTTAAAGATTGGTGATGACCCAAGGAAAAACTAGTTTTTGGTTGGGGCATCCAGCTAAATGTTGGTGGCTGTCACTGAAGTGGGGAATACTTGGTGGGAATAGACTTGTGGTTGGGTTAGGTGAGAGATCCATCTGGGTATTCCTGACAAGTGACTTTCCAGTGGAAATATATAGGACGAGGCTCAAGAGAGAGATCCAAAGTGGACTATAGATTTAGACAGCAGCCTTGTGTAGGTGGTAATGAAAATTACAGGAGCCAGTAAGGTTGCTCAGAGGGAGAAAACAAGAGGGGCTGGAAGAGAAGAAACAAGAGGAAGTGCAGTGCAAAGGAGACAGGCCGCAGAGAGCTGGGGCTGGACGCGGCGTAGGAGGGCGTGTGCCAGGAGCTGAGGAAGACCACATTCGGAGGAAGGGGCGCAGGCTGTCTGTGTACTGCCGTTGGAAAGATTGAGGGGCGACCATCGAATTCAGTGGAAGTAGGTCACCTGGTGACTCCACAGAGCTGGTTCCTTGACCTAATGCGTGTGAAGCTGAAAGTGCATGGGGTACAGGCAGACCGGGAGGCAAGCCTAGGGGGCAGCCAGGGGGTTATTTCAAGCAAGGCAGCAGGTGGGCTTAGATTCTGATGGGCAGACCGGCCCCAGAGGAGGCTGGCAAGGTGAGGCGCCAGAGCTGGTGGGGCCAGGGGGCTGGAGATCCCTGCAGAGCTGAGGCCTTGGCCTCTCGCTGGGCGATGAGCTGGCAGGAGATGAGGGCCACTGAAATTGAAAGGTAGCAAGGCCAAATTTCTGTGCCTAGAGGGATAAAAAAATCCCTCTGGCAGGGGACAAGGGGATCGCAGTAGATGTCAGGAGGAAGGCAAACTCTAGGAACTGGCTTATTCTAGCATACAATTAATTGGTTTGTTGACCCTTTGAAGCCTCAAGGTTGTCATCAGCCAGTAAAATCTTGTTGAGCTTTGTTTTTCTATTGCTGATATCATTAAAAGTGTAACAATCTGAGAAGTTTAGATTTATTCAAAATGACCTTTAAAACTACTGTCCTGCTCTGGAGATCTTTAAACAGCCTGGTAAGAAACCTCAGCTGCCATCCTCTATCGGGAATCTGAGAGACTGAGTGTCAGCACAGAGGAGCTCCTTAGGCAGGGGCGTGGGGCCCACTGGAGAAGAAGTGGGTTAGGGTTAGAGTTATCTGCATGTGTGCCCCTAAATTTTTACCTGTATAAGGCTGCTTCTTCATCCTCATTCTGCAGCTGGTACTTTATGTCTAATATAGGACAGGCTTGAAAAAGACTTCCTGTCTCCAGTGTGACTTGTCTCCAGCTCAGAATCACCCTTTCTCTGTGGTTCTCATCTGAGCCTTCCCTCCTGTGTTTCCCCTCTCTCTGTCCAGGTTCCTCTGGACAGAAGCTTGGGCTTCTTAGCTTGTGTCAACCTTGGAGATTACTCTGGAGTACTACCCCAGCTGGGTGCCTATTATCCTAGAATTCTGGGAGGCTGAGGCAAGAGGATTGCAAGTCCATGACCAGCTTGTGAGACCCTGTCTCAAAATAAAAAGTGAAAAAGAGCTAGGAATATAGTTCAGCGTGAAGGTCCTGGGTTTAATCCCTAGAACCAAAAACAAACCTAGTACCAAAAAAACACTATAAATGACGTCCTGTCACCTTCAGGGTAGAGTTCTAAGATCCAAGTCTCAGAGGTCTGTGGGTCTAATAACCCCACCTCTCTGCAGCCTCTGAGTGTCACTGAGGAGAGAGGTTACAAGCAGCCCTGGTTGCAAGTACTCCTTAGCCCTTGAGTCTCAAGTAAAGGCAGTAAAGAAGAAAAATTAGTCTTTGTTATTTCAGAGTGGAAATACAGCCCAAGCAAATGTGTACTGTTTCATTTAAAAAGAAAAGAAAAGGCTGGGGATTTAGCTCAGTGGCACAAGCGCCTACCTGACAAGTTCAACGTGGAGAGTTCAATCCCCGGTACCAAAAATAAAGAAAGAATGAAAAAAAGAAAAGAAAACACTGGTGTGCCTGCTGACTTGATTTCATGGTACAAATTTTTTTTAAAAAATTAATAATAGGGGCTGGGGATTTAGCTCAGTGGCATAAGCACCTGCCTTGCAAGCAGATGGTTGTGAGTTCAATCCCTGGTACCAGGAAAAAAAAAATTAATAATAATGATAATAATAAAAAGCAGAAAGACTCTGCCTTAGCCTTGGTTCTTAATTGTTAAATGAGTGAAAAATTTTGCCTGCTTTTAGATAAAAGTGGATTTAAAATAAAACAAACCGAGCAGCCCCAATTCCCACTCAAATGTAAAACCCAGATTTGTCACCACTTTGCATTAGTCATGTTGTCCATTTGTTAATGTTCATGTTCCTGTCATCGCACTGCTGTCCACATTTTTATTCTGAAATACGTGTTGGGGCCGGGGATTTACTCAGCAGCATAAGCACCTGCCTTGCAAGCATGCGGTCATGAGTTCAATCCCTGGTACCAAAGAAAACAAACCAAAACAAAACAAAAGACATAGGTGTGAAACGGAGAAGCATGGAGACAGAGGCCAGGGGGCTGGGTGCAAGGGCCCATCTGGTTCAAAGGTAGCCTTGAACAAGTAACACCTCAGACTCTTCCATAAGAAGTACTGCCTGGTCTAGATTTTTGGTTTCTATTTTTTTAGTAAAAGAGTATATAATGTATAAAACAGTACAGGGACCTATACAAAATGTCTAGGAACATAGTACTTCTCAAGTATAAACGGCTTCTCAAATATAAGCCTTCTAAAGTGTGTTCTTTCCCAGTATATTTTTCTAGGTAAAAATTTAAACTTCACATTCAACTTTCAGGGTAAGCAAAGGATTGTTCTCTAATAAAGCTATTTTATTTTATACTCAAGCTCCTACCCTTTTTTGTAAGTCAGCACAATTATACCATGAAGGTTCTGTTTTCAGGAGGCACACTGTCACATTTCACTGTCACTCTAATGACAGTAAAATGTGTTGGAATTTAGATCAACTATTTCTTAATAGAAATCTTAATAGACCTATTAATTCAGTGTTTTATAGCAAGATGGTGAGACATGGTCACAGGACCATCTTCTGCCATTGGTCCAGTCATGGGGCATCTATTATGTGCCACTTTTTCCAGAAAATTCCCCTGCTGTGGACACAAGCCTCCATCTTCCTGCTTAGCTCATTTTGCGTGTGGATCAGGGCTTGTATCAGGCTGTCCTTTCATTTAAGCTATGTAAAGGTTTATTTCTTTAAATACACATATATTAATTGTTTTACTGATTTTTCCACTCAAGTGCCTCAGCAGTGTTCAGTTTGTAACTTTGCATATTTGTCATTATTATCAATATTCTATTTTTGTTTTGTGGTGCTGGGGATTGAACCCAGAAGAGAATGCTGAGTGGTATCCCCAGAATTCCCTTTTGTTGTTGTTGTTGTTTTGTTTTGTTTTTTTACTTTGAAACAGCTTCTCCCTAAATTGGCCAAGCTGGCCTCAAACTTGTGATCCTTCTGCCTCCGCCTTCATGTTCATATTATCATGCGCTATACCTGACATGTTATGAAGTTTTCCATGTGTGTATTCCTGGGCTTCTCAACAGGACTAAAAGGTACAGTTCAGTGAGTGCTTGGGGAATGGGCGGGCGCTGAGTGCGTGGAGGAGCAGGTGCTGGCAGATGGGCTGCCCGGCTACATGCTGACCCCTTGCTGGAAGCAGAGGGCCAACTTCACATGGGTATCCTCGAGTGAGGCCCAAGGTGTTCCAAGAATATTTAGTTGTTACTGCGTGTGTTTGTGTGGTAATCTTTCGTGGTGGCTTGTCCAGCATTTCTGTTTCTCCCTCCTGAGTGCTTAGTAGGATTACCCTTTCCTACCCTTTGACTGGTGTTGGTCATTCGGTTGGTTCAGATGACTGACCATATCAGAAAGTCTGGGTTTGTGTAAATGAGTTCTGGCTAGAATTCCAAGTAGGAAATGATGTGCACCACTTCTTAGCCAGAATGTGTAATTGCTGATCTGAAAGTGTCTGGAGTGATCTTGTCCTGTTAGCATGATCATTTACAACTCTGGTGGCTGATCTGTCAGTTACTTTCTTCTTGCTCAGACAAAATTGCAGACTCCCACAAGTTAAAATACAAAAGGTTTATTTTAGCTCACAGATTGTAGAGGTTTCAGTACATAGTCAGCTGGTTCCAAGGACAGCACAGGACAGAGGGGCATAGCACAGAGAAACAGTCCATGGCAAGGCAGGAAGGTAGAGCGTCACTTCCTTCTTTCCCTTTCTAAGCTAACCAGACTACAAGCATATTAGTTGGTGCCACCCACACCCAGGGTGCATTTTCTCTTCTAAGTAAGTTTATCCTTCACACACAGAACTATGCCAGTCAGTGGGCCGATCCAGTATCACACAGTTCCTGAAGCCCCAGTTATGAAGCACATGAGGCTTTGTGGAAGCATCTGTGTATAACTTATAACAAGCAGTGGCTCTCTAAATGTTGACAATAAATACAGCCATTGGATCCCACCAACCCTGGGGACAAGTAGTGTGAATAAGAAACAGAAAAGTGTGATTTAAGCCTCTGGGGTTTGGAGGTTGGTCCTTTCCTCAGAATTTAGCCTTTCCTGACTATATAGCATTCTATTTTCTCCCTGAAAGTTATAACATGCCTTTTGTTATATAAGGCAGCATAGTGGTCAAGAGCCCAAACTCAGAAAACAAATGTCCAGCTTTGGTTACTAGCTCTGTCATGTACCAATTTTGTGACCTGGAGTTCCTCGTGTGTAAAATTGAGGATTTAACCTGTATTACAGAATGGCTTTGAGAATTTAATGAATTAATATTTGCAAAGAGATTTGACCTATAGTTAAGTGTTTGTTAAGTAAAGTAAATAAATGTACAAAAGAGCTGTGTGCAAACTTGAGGCCTCGCCTTTCTACAGGCAAGGAGGGTGAGCTCTCAACTGTGGCAAGTCATGCTGCAGCTGGTTGGTGACTTGGAGCCCACAGCCCACCTATACCTGAAACACTCCCAGTGCTGCTCAGCTGGGCAGACGTGGAGCCGGGCACGTAACCTGGCATGGTAAAGGAAAGTTGCTGAGTGTGCACTGGGACTCATGGTGTCTCTAAGGTCTATTTTCATGTCATTGTCCTGTTTCTGCTTAGTCATGACCCCTCAGATCTGAACAAGCCTATGGCAGTGGGTCCAGCTCTGCTCCTCCTGCCCCTCATTCTGCTACCCAAATCCAGCCTCGCAGAGGTATTCCTATGTGGCTATTAGACACTTACCCCACACTTTATAAGCATCCAGTTCATAGATCTCACCCATTTATTTTGCCTCCAGACAAAATGTAGGTATACTCGATTAAGTTAATGTACCTCTGCGGTTTGTTCCATTGTGTCAATGTTTGTTACTTCATCTATTTTAGGAAACAAGCTCCGAGGCAGGCATTTGGCATAACTCATTTATACAGGGCTTAGTAAAATGCTCTGAGGAATTAGAGGCACCTAATAAATGCTTTGGACTTTTGAATGATGCTGTAATCATTTTAATGAAGGCTGATGTTGTGTGTGTTTAAACAAATGGCATGTTTTCCAGCAACATTCTGGCAAATTAGCAGCTTCTAAATTAAAAAAAATTCTCAGCTTAGAAAATAAAGTTTTTAAACTGTGGCAATGTGCAGTGATTTATTACTGAGCTGATTTAAGAAAAGGCTGAAATGCAATGATGGAAGCCAAAATTTAACTTTTTTTGCTATATTTGTTTGTTTTCCAAAAAGTTGGTTGGCATGGCAAGAGTTGGGTGGGAAAGAGGGTAATTTCAAGGCGTTATTGTGAATTTAATCCATATTTTAAAATTAGTTAAAGCCCCTATATTAGGTTAGCAGATGTGTTTGGCACCCCCTCCTCCCATGCATGGACCCTTTTCATTAGGAACGTGTGCCTGATATGGTGCAGATGGTATTTAAGCTGCTCGGTAATATTTTCCACAACCTGTTTTTAGTAATTAGTCTTGAATTTGCTGGTTCAAAATACTGGACTGTTGGCAACTTTGTAAACTAAGGAAAGTGAAATGTGCTTAGTGTGCCAGCAGAGGGCAGTGTAAGTCAGTGCTTTTTTCATTCACGCTGCTGTAGTTCTGCAAGAGCCAGAATGTTCATCAGTTTAAGATGCAATTTGAGAATTCTTAAAAAAAAATTAATTGGGTATGACAAAACTCTAAAAAAACAATCCTTAAACGGAGCCACGGAACATTCTCTAGTGAGAAAACATTGTCCAGAACAGATTATAGCTGCAGTTCTATTTTTATTGATTTATTTATCTTATCAACAAATGTCTTTATAAGTCACTTTATTAATGCACTTAAAGACATATATTTAATTTTATGATTTTTCCTTAGCTCACTAGCAGACAGTAATTTTTTATTATGTGTATAAAGATTTCAGTTACGTATTTTTCTGCCAAAAGGTAAAAGTTATTTCTGAGTTATATGGTCCAGTCGAGTGTCCACAACTTTAGAGAACAGCCGCAAAAGACTGCCTTCTGTTACAGTGTACTGTGCTCTACTGCCAGCAATGTTGTGGTTTACGCAGAATTTTTCTCACTACAAATCCTGTGGGCCCACCCTACCTGTGGCCCATTTATCTCCTTAGTTTCTCTTCTCTAGGCCTTGCCTCCCCTTTCTGTCTTTGGCACAATCTCCAGTAAGTCCTGCTCACTTTCTCTCTTTTAGCGTCTTGTCTCACATGTCTCTCTTGTTAGGGAACGAACAGTTGTTTTTCCTCAAAATCCATGTGTTGAAGCCCTCACCCTCTAGGTGCTTAGCAGTGGAGCCTGGGAAGCAGTGATAAAGTTTAAGTGAGGTCACAAGGGTAAGACCCTGATTCCACAGGGCTGGTACTCCTAAAACAAGAGGGAAATGTGAGAGGGCCTATAATCCCAGCACTGTGGGAGGCTGAGGCATGAGGGTTCCAAGTTTGAACCCAACCTGAGCCATTTAGTTATATAATGAGACCCTGTCTCAAAAATAAAAAGTTAAAAAGGGGCTGGGACTGTAGCTTAGTGCAGAGGCCCTAGTTTCAACCCCCAGTACCACGTGGGGAAGAAAAAAAGGAGGTACAGACACTAGAATGCTTTCAGCCACATGACACAGCACAAAGGCTGCTGACTTTAAGCCAGGAAGAGAGGCCTGACCAGCAGTTGGCCTTCTTGTCACTGTGACCTCGATCTTCTGGCCACCAGCATTGCTGTGCTGCTGAGACCAGCTGCTCTGTGGTTCTGGTTATGGCAACCCAAGCTGAGTGGTTCACTTTTATCTTTTAAGGATTCCAAAGGAGACCTTGGCTGTACATTTGAGGTAGCAGAGTCTGTTCTGGAGGACCAAGCTGAAGGCTAGAAGGGAAGGAACCGTGCCAGGGAGGAATCTGGGGAAAGAGAGGTAGGGAGTTTCTCTAACTGGAAATGTCCCACCTTGCAAGCACATGGACAGCAAAGGTAAACCCAAGCACGTACTAGACATTGGGCACCTCTTTGGGGTGCTATATTTTCTGGATGGGCTTCAGTCTGGATAGGACTTCAGATGTATGCCCATGACTTTTCTCACCTCTATCTTACCAAGGCATATTGGCAGGAAGTCAAGGCAGTGGAGGAAAGAGGGGTTTGTTAAAAGACCAGGAGCAGAAGCTTGAAGAAAGTGTAGGCAAAGCTGGTGTCTGCGCACAGGGCAGGCTTTGGAGCAGCTTGCCCAAATTTCCTTTTTCTACAGATTTCCAAATGCCACGTTCCTAATGGTTCATTCTTCCCTTGGGGCATTTTTATAAGATAAGCCACTACTTTTTACCAGAATGTAATCTGGAAACATGTAATATGTGTGTGTGAGGGGGTGAGGCAGGTAAGTTAGCCGGTATTTCAGCACGGAAGCCAGCCTTTCACACCACACAGCCGTGGGTAAATCAGCCTCCATTCTGAGGGAACATTAGCAGAAAGGGAAGTACAGATATCAGGTAGCCAGGCAGCTATTTGTTTTTGTATTTTCTTGATTAGAACAAAATTTGTAACGTCTGTTGCCGTAGCGCAGACAGAACTTGGACTTCTTCTCACAGGATTCCATTGCTGATTTCTATATATTGCCAGGCATTATGGCCTTACTTTGTGTTGAACGTTTGTACTTCTTCCCACTTTTAAGACCAGGGGACATTTGTCACTGGTTGAAATGATCTCATTTATGTGTTTATACAATTATTGTCTGTAAAGTTCTTTTGCAGCACTGCAGAAGTCCGTTAGGACCGGGCACGGGGATGTGTCTCCACATTGATGATGTGCTTGTGAGAAGCATTTCTGAATACGTGTCCAGGCGACTGAAGGGGAAAGTGTGGGTTTTACAGAGCACTGAATTCTTTCATTCCTCTTTGGCTTCTGCTACCATGCCATTACTATGTTTGTCAGTGTTCCTTCGTGTAATCATGAATCACGGAATCATAGAATCATTACATGATCCAGCTATGTAATCAGCTTGCCTGTGGTGTTGCCACAGTGAGGCGCTACAGCGTTTCCAAAGCAGGCCCACATCTGTCTGCTGGGGCTGTTCTGGGCTCAGGTGAAATTATGTGCAAATACTGCACCGCCCTCGAAGTCCTCTTGTTTTCCTCTAAAGGACATGTTCTTGCTAACCTTATTATATATCAGCAGAAAAGCCCACTGACCTCACTGCCTGTAGACCTGACTAGATGCTGTTAACATGAAATTGTCAGCTATCAGGAGGAACTGGTAGCAAATTAAAAAGGTGTTTAAGTGACAACTGTAAAAGAGTCAAGTTTTTTAGACAATCATTTGAAATTATTCCATCAGTACTTTTTTGGTTTTTCAACTCCAAATTCACCAGTTCTGACGAATGTTGGGGGGGTGGGGTGATAAAGCAGATTGAAGCACTGAAATGCCCCAAATAAAAATGCTTCAATTTAAATTAAACACTTTTAAAACAAAGATGCACCCTTTTGCCTTCTTCAAATCCACATGATTACTAGAACAGCACCTGATAGAAATCTTTCAAGGAGCATGCTTTTAATAAAGAAATTGCAGCTAATAATTGATGATTTGCTTCTAAATGGAAATTTGCAAAAGCAGCTTTATGAAGTAGTGTAAGCAGTCTCTTCCCTTCTTAGATTGTCTTTTTGCACTTAAAATTGTTTGCTGGTTTCTGAACAGACAGTATAACATCAAAGATCAATTTCAACTATGAGTTTTAACTAAGTGGAAACCAAAATAAGTGATGTCATTCCTTAAAGCAAAGTCTGTGAGTCTCCATTTTCTCCTTTGGCACTGGTTAGTGTGATTCTTTACCTTCTGTCACCTAACACTGGTGTTAGAACTTAAATTAGTCCTGCCATGTTTTTAAAAAGTAACTTGAAGCTAATTAAAGCTGGTAGTTTAAATATTAACTCTTATTCATTGAGTTCTCTTTATATATTACAATACAATGCTTGGATGTATATGACTGTATTTGAGGTTATATCTAATACTTCAGAAATATCATCAATGAGAGGAAAAAGAATATATCATAAAGATTCCAAGAATCTTAACTTCTTTGAACTGGGAGTTGAATGTTACTGCAGGTACTTGTGTAATAATCTATTGTAGCAAAAAAAAATTTTTTTACCCGCAGTAACACATTTGGACTCATAAACTGTAATGCCAAGTTGATTTTACCAGTATTTGACCTACTGACATACTAAGAAAAAAGGTGTGAGTCCTTTAAGTCTCATCAATACAATTAAAGGACACACTGTAACTTAAAAGAAGAGAATAGTTTATCTGGTTGGGCTACATGCACAATGACTATTCTGACAGAGACCTGAAGGTTAAAACCCAAAAGTAATAAAATTTTACATTAAACATGTTTTCCTTTGATTTCATTTATATGTATTTAAACTTACACTGAGATCTTCATTCAGTATTCTTTTTTCCAGATAAGTATTGTTCATTTTAAGACCACATAAGAAAATAAAGCTTTATTTCACTTCTCTAAAACTGGATTTAATGGGAGTAATGCTTAAATAAAAATCTAAACTATTTTAAGAATGTTCTCAGTGGTGAAAATTGTTATGGTAGCACATTGTGAGCAAAGGAAAATGCCTCATAAATACCTCATTTAACAACTGTGGCTTTTAATACTGGTGAAAAATAACATGACTTTTAGAGGAAAATATTAAATGTTCATGAAAATACAGACTTCTGTTTGAGACATAATGAAAAATTGAGGTTTAGTGTAATAAAACACTATTCTCGTAAGTGTGTAAAAATAAGACTTACTCTGATAGAAAGCAAGTAATAATTATAATTAACTTAACTAAAACAAAAAAAGTGTATATAATCGGGAAAAAAAGTGACTATGAAAAGAGGAAGACAAGTGGGGATGAGGAGGTGTGGCTAAAAGGCAGGTAACGTGGTTTCATTCCGGGTCCTATCTATCGCCAGTCTTACAGCCTTGGCTAAGTTAAGCAGCTGAGCCTCGTTCTTTCCTTCAGTGAAATGGGAATTACTGAGAAAATTTTCCAGCTTGGATGAGATAATTCCAACACACAGTGAGTTCTTATTCAACTAAATGGACTAGGAAGACATTAACTGGTATCAATGCATTATAACCCTAAAATAATGTCCCTTTGGCATGTAAACGATCTGGAACTTACCTTTAAAATTAACTATAGATTTGTATGACTTTATTTGGCAATATTTAAGGTTATGAGAAATGAAATAATGAACAAGTTAAGCAGTTATTGAGGAAGCTGGGAAACAACACTAAAATTTCACTGTGGACATCAGCATCTTTGATAAGCAGAGAAGTTTGCTGATGAAGATGATGATGATGGCAGTTAATATTGTCTGTAAGGTTTACTGGTTTATAGAGTGTGCTAGGGACTGGGAGCTCTGTCCAGGCTGTGTCTTATTTCATCTTCTCTGCAGCCTGATGCAGGAGATTCAGTCGTTAAACTGATTTTAAAGTTGGAGACATTGGTTTTTAGAAAAGTTGAGACACTACCAGTATCCACAGTGAGTACTGGGATGGAAGCTTTGACAGGTTGGCTCTGAGATTTGGCTCTGGACTGACATCAGCATTGGGATGGATTCAGGTGCTTGTGGTTTGCTTCTTGGGGACCAGAATCCTACATGGACTTCAAGAAACTTAGTTAAAAAGAAATTCAGTGATACAGTTGTAACATTCCAGGGTCTGAATGCCACGATCATACCACTGAATTTCCTCCTCCATATCTCAGTCAGTTTTTCTGGTCTCAAATTTTACTCCTTGAAGTCAGAAGAACCAAAAAGCTGCTCCTTCAGCAGTTCAGCGAAGTTTCTCAGCCTGATCACCCAATCATTGCTTGCCAGTTCTGCCTTCCACAAAGTATTGGAGTGGGAACACTTTTAGCCAATTGTTTTGCCTCTCTGTAACAAGGATTGCCCTTTCTCATTGGCAGGTTCCAAAGCCACGCCCACACTCGTATCCCCACCTCTCAGTGTCACTCTTTGTCTTAGTAAAGTGGCTATAATAAAGCCTCAAAGACTGGTCTTGTTTATTTATTAATTTCACTTCTGGAGACGGAAAAGTTTGCGGTAAAGTTTCCAAAACAGTTGGCTTCTGTTGAGGATCCCACAGTTGAGATCCGTTGATTTGTAGATGACTGTTTTTGCTGTGTCCTGACTTAGAAAGAAGAAAGGGAGAAAGCAAGCTTCTTAGAGCACTAATCGCATCATGAGAGGGGCTCCTGACTCAGTAACCTTCCCAGATCTCATTTCTGAACACTATCGCATTAAAGATTAGGGTTTCAACACCTGTATTTTGAAGAGATACCTCTTACGGGACCTCACCTTTTCCTTCTTTTTATGTGCATGACTTTGATATATATGTGTGGAATGTATATGGGTAATATATATGCACAGAAGAAGCTATGGCTGCTTACATTTATTTCAGGTTTCATTAGGTATCTAGTACTAGTTTTGCTTTAATTACTCTTTTAAAATCTGTTTTCTGCATTGCTCACTGGAAAGTAATCTAATTGTGATAACGAAGTATATCCAAATTGGGTAGCTTTTTCATTCTTGTTGAAAGTTGATAGTGGTTGAAAAATATGCTGTATATGTACAGTTCTAACAATTTGACCAATGCCCTAGCTTAAAGATGTTGGTGAAATCATTACCTAAGAAAAAGAAATTAACCAACTTAGTTTAATACTGAATTTATTCTGAGAGAAGCTAGATAAGCTCATGTAAACATCCATTCCTTTTTTTTTTTTTTTAAAGAAATACATGAGACAACAAAATACAAGTAGCAAATGTGTGACAGGTAGAGATTATAGTGTGCCAGAAGAGGAGGACCAGACCTTACCCCTCCTAGGGAACGGTAGGATACACTTTGGAAGCAGAAGGAAAAGGAGACAGTCCTTAAACAAGCCTGGCTAGACTTCCTCACAGGCACCTTTGACTTTGATCACTGTGACAGGCAGCACTACCATTAAAGTTGGAACTTACTGAGGTTTTCTTGTGTAATTAGTGAAAGGAAAGATGTGTTTGACAGTGGAATCTCTTGGCTTAATTACCTGAAACCTGGTCATACAATGGCAAGAAGAGACTCACCAGTAGCATTTATTGGTGTATTGATAAATGTTCCTACAGGATTTGGAAAGACAGTAGGAAAGCTAGCTCCTAATAACAGAATACCTCATAATCAAAAGAAAATATTGGAGAGATTTCTAGAAAAAGGTAAAATTTGGAGTTTAAAAAGTGATAAAAGATGTGGAACTGGGTATCGGACAGAACTGCTCTCAGCTACCAGGTCCTTACATGACCCCTTGCACAGTGAGCTGTAGTCATATAGATGTTAATCCTGAGTGGCCTTAAGCTCTCCCAGACCTACTGCAGACCCGGTGTGTATGTGGGTGCGACAGGTGTCTTCTAAAGCTGGCAGGGAAGTATCTACCGGGAAGCAGGTACCATTCTGGGTAATTGGTTGAAAGAAATAAAAACCCTTTGTCAAACCTCTCTCTTCACAAATTTACAAAAGGAGAAAACAGAGAAGAAAAAGAATATGAATAATGCTGACTATTTTTCCCCTTTTAAAACTGACACTTAAAAAGTCTTGAAAATAGTCATTGATCAAGGAAAACAAAAGAAAGGAAACATCGCAAAGGTAATAAAAAGGCTAGATTTTCCTACCCTTTGTTCCTATTATGGACAGTTGGCCTCTTCCTGCATTATTCCTGATTCGTAATTGTGAGAAAAATGAGAAAAGATGTCACATGACTATTCTGAAGCTTACTGTCCTATATAAACAAGCTTTTAAACAAATTCCTCTCTGCTTAAAAGATTAAATATATGAGGAGTCTCCATTTTATGTACCCACCACACACCCCAAAACTGGGGAGGTTGGTTATTAATGTGAACTAACAATGTACTTCTGAACCATGCTGTTTGTGGAAGTAATACTGCTCCACTGTTCTGTTTATTCCATTCTGGTAAATGTAAGTTTTCCTCAAAAAAAAAAAGGAAAATACCCAAAAGCCAATAAAGAAAATCAGGAATCACTTTTGAGGATTATTCCCAGATATGATACATATACATTTTGCCTTCTGAAGTGAAAGGGAATGTGGCTTTTCATTTTTAAAGGGCCTTTGAATCAAGTCACTTGTCAAAATTCACTTCCTAGGATATTTCTGGCTAGGGTATTCTTGGAACCAAAATCAGATCTTTTTTTTTTTTTTAAATCAACAAAAGCATATCTTATCCAGCTTTTAAGGATGATGTTCACCATTTAATTGGAAGCTGCTGCATACTTTTGTCTGTTTATAAGGTAACCATGTGACTTGTTGAAAAAATAAAAACCTAGTTAAATCTATCACTTGGTATCATAAAACTAATTGTTTATAACATTTGATTGTTTTTTAAAACTTAATTAAATCAAATTGATTAGGATAAATTATAAACTAAAGAGCAAACCCATAATGGAATCTGTGTTTGCTGAATGGTAGGAAATTTCCCAGGGCACATCACCCTTACAATACTACTGCAAGAAAGTTGTTAACTCTTTTTAAAATTCTTCTAAGGATATTTGTCATCATCAGAGGTAACCTTTTCTCTTGCTTCAGATGTGTTAAGTCTTTGCACTTATTAATTCTTTTATGTAGTGTTTGTAGTTTGTAGAAGGAAATTGATTTTCTTGTAATGGGAAAATCATCGCTCCTATTATGACATAAAACTTTAATTTGATGTCTCCTCTACTGACCCAAACTAATTACAACAAAAACATGTTAACAAAGTGAGTAAAGTTCTTTCTTTCATGCATCAATTTTACTACTTAGGGCTCCCCCAGAAAGTCTTAAATGAAGGTGCAGCTCTGTTACCCTGGGACCATGTGAGTGGGTGAGTGTATATGTGTGTGTGTGTGTGAAGCAGCCACTGTGACAGGTTGTGAAATATAGATGCTCATGGTGAAACCTGAACTCCTCAGATCATCAACTTCTAAGGGGCAAAGAAATATTAAAGGGTTTTATCAGTAATGGTCAGAACACACAGCAGCTGAAAACATTGGCATTGCTTCCTCTTTAATTTGAGCAGATTGGAATGCACCTCCCAAAATCAAACGGAAATAATAAAATTTTAAAACTTTTATGGGTACCCAGCTCAGCTGCACCTGGCTGCCCTAATTGCCTTCAACTGAGTCATTACTGAGAAGGCAAGATGTTTGGTTACCAACAGCCCTTATTAATGTATAATAGGAATTTACTTGTAAAACAGAATTATTGGGATGGCATGATGTCATAAAGGCAGAGTGCTGACATTTTAGATTGTTTTATATAGGGATGTTGAATTGTAATTTAGGAGTGGAATATCCTTTTGCTAATTAATCACAATTTGGTACAACTTCAGTATAGCTAGGCATATGAATACATAAAATTTATTATCGTAATACTTCTCTATTAAAGACTGTATTTGTGCAAATGCATGCAATTCTCATGAATTATCTATGAGACAGAAAAATCTTCTCTAGCAGTTTGCAGATGTGCTAAGAGTGAGAACAGCAAATGTAAATAAATGAAATGTTTCAGCAAGACTGCTTTCCTGATCTGTAAAAATGTTGAAACCTTAAAATTATAAAAATTCCTGCAAGTTTTTTTCTTGGTATCAATGATGCAAGAAATGGGATACATTAATTTTACTGGACCTCAAGCTTAGAATCTGTCAATATGGCTGTGTGATTAATGGGTACAGACGTTTACCTGCCTCATAAATATAATGGGCTTTGATTACTGGGCTCAGTTTGCAGAGCAATAGTTAACATGATGTCAACACTTCCATTGTAAACTCCCTTTTCAGAGGGGTTTATAACGTGGTCATAAAAAATCACTTGGGATTATACTTTGAATATGAGGTCTTAGTTTGCAGGAACAAAGATATTTTAAGGAATTGATTTAAGCGGTCCATTTACCTATTTGTAGGTTTATGAAGACCTAAGCTGTATATAAAGAATTCCAACTTTATATACCTTAAAGAGAAATTTTTAAAGTCATAAATATGGTCTCTTATCACCTATTTTGTTTAGTTTTTTTTAGGGAAATACTCTGTGTTTAGATATTAGAGCATTCATTTTAAACTGGAAGGGAACATTTTTAAACATGACTATGGTACATAACAGAAAACACTTAAAAATAATTGTCTATTAATTCTCTGGGACTTCCTGTGAGTAAACTTAAGTCATATGTTTTAGGTCCTAATCAATAACAATTTCAGGACAAGCAGGGCACAGTGGCACATCTCTATAGTCTCAGCTACCCAGAAGGCCAAAGCAGGAGCATCACTTGAACTCGAGAGTTTGAATCCAACCTGGGTGACACAGATAGCAAGATCTTATCCGCTAAACTAAAAAAATTGAATTTTTTTGTTAAAAATTCCAGGAGAAAAGAATAGTAGGAAGTTGACCACTTTGGGTAAGATGAAAAACATCCTTTCTGAGTCGGAGCATGTATTGTCCTAACAAAATAAAGTCGGCAAAGATGGGATCCTGCCTATCAACAAAGATTCTTGCCAATCTTGTGTGACACCATCATGTCATCATTGCATGAGAATGCTGTCCAACACAGGGCCCATCACCCTCAAAAGCTCGGGATTTCCTGACTGGGTTATAGAAGGAGTGAAGGAACCCTTACAATTTTTAATAGGTAGTACTCAAAAAGCAAAGACTCAGGAGACCAAGGTTAGCTATGGTAAGGTGGATGAAAAGCTGTGGTCATAATCCAGACTTTTGAAATGGGTGTCCAGCTACCACAATTTTCTTCCTGGTTAGCTAAAAAATTTTTAATTTTAAAAGTCATCTCTGTATTTTGTAGTGTTTCCATAGCCATTGGTTGGCCTAATTGCGTGGAGGTTTTTGTGTTAATTTGCTTTTGTCTTTTGGGGAGATAGGGAGATTGGGTTATGGCATAAAATCAGTAAAGCAAGGATCTGTTAAATTCACAGTGAAACTGGGCAAGTTTTAGGTTTCCTTTTCCCCTAACTTTCTCTTCCTCCTCTGTCTCTCCTTTCTTCTTAGGAAATGGGTAACAAAGTGTAAAAGGGAGACAGCAGGGCTCTTCTGAATCTTCAGGAGGTAGCGCAAGCCTTACATTGTGGCTGGTACAGACTGCACATATTCCAGACTGTCATGCCTGGGATATTTATCATAGAACGTCCATAATGGTTTTCTCTCATCATTCAAAAGTCCTGGAATGGAACAGGGTGTTTTCTTTAGGTTGTTCGGCCTGGTTTAATCAATTGCATGCAAATTGTAGAAGTAATAGCTATAACCTTTGGATTACCGGCATCATCATCAACTTGCTAGCCAGTGTGAGTACTAATGCAAGGCCCCAAGTGAACTGGCCTTATTTATGTAACTGCTCACATAAAGAGCTTCAGAAATGGATGACCAGAAGATTAAGGGAGTGATAGCATTTACTGACCAAGTAGTGTCCAAGTTTGTAGCCATAAATTTTGAAAAACAAAAAATAATATAGTGCCTGGCACTTTATATGTAATGTGTAGTTTAGTGTTCACAACAACCCTGTGAAATAAAAGGTATATTATGCTCTTACAGAATTGGAAATAGAGCCTTAGAAAGTTTCCCTGTTTCCAAGGATATCATAGACTGTGAGCTGGCATGGGAACCTAGGCCTGTCTTATTCATAAATCCACAGTGTTCCCATTTTGCATCAGCAACTCAGAGCTTAAGTGCTTATTAGTAAAATATTCATTCATCCACTGATTGGGTACTTATTGAGTGCCCATCATGCAATAGGCCTTGTGCAGAATTTAGGCCTGCAGTACGAATAAGAGAGCCTTCAAGGGTTTGTGAGTAGGACAGGCTGCTAGGAAGTAACTGGAAAGGCCTGCCTAGGTGTGAGAGCCACATGACGGATGTGAGCTGGGGCGGGCTGGGGGCATTGATCTTGATTCAGGCAAAACTTGGGGGAGCAACCTGAAACAGGTTGATGGAAGGGAAGGGACTGGAATGGGGTGGCTAATCCAGGAGGACAGCAGATGCAAAGGAGGTGAGAGAGTTTTCAGTCAGGGAGAGGCTGGAGCCCTGCACAGGCAGCAACACTGGGAGGGCCGAGGAATCCAGTCTGAAGAGTTCAGACTCCTCAGGGATGTGGAGACTATGAGAGGCTTTGAGCTGGTACTGATGTGATCAGATTAGTATTAGTCATGACCTGGGCTGCCTTGTGGAGCATGAGCTGGTAATAGGGGTCCTGGGGGCAAAGGCGCAGGTGCATTTCTATGGCGAGTTTCTCAGGTGGACTCAGCGGTCCTTGGCTTTTTGTGGGATGTGGTGTATAGGGTCCTGGTAAGGAAGGTGGCCTCTAACACAGGAGGGGATCAGAGAAGGGGCTGGTGTGGGGGAGTTTGGAACATACTGGGAGTCTGCCCATTCCACAAGACAGGCAGCCTGAGGTGGAGACTTGAGAGCGCTCAGTAAAGTCGGAGGAGGGGGAAAGACACAGCAGGTGAGAACACACTGGAAGAGCCCTTGGACAGGGACACAAGGTTAGACAGAGAAAGAGAGTGCACAAGAGCAAAATGAATGGCCCGAGGTGGCAGGACCGTGGGAAGCCAAGGAAGGGGTTTCAGTGGTCAGGCCACTCGCACGTTGCAGAGGAGCCACATCCGCAAGGACTGCTGCAGCGAGTGGCCCCGAGCCCGCCTTCTTCTTACCCTGACCCTCCTCCTCCTGCTCTCCACACATTGCACACACACACACAAAGGCACAATGTGCATATATTCGCATGTGCTTTGTCTTGAAGGAGGTGATCCTCTCACATGATTTCAAAAATTCTACTAAACCTTAACATTTTATCCAAGGTGACCTAAAAAACAATTAAGCAGTAAAGTTTCCAGTCTCCCTCTGCTTTCTTATAATCGTTCAACATACTATATTCTAAAAATAGCCCAGGGACTTCTCAGTAATATGCATGTCTAGCTCAAAATGTAGTACATTTAGGTTGGAAGAATATTTGAGATGGACTCATTCTAGACCTTTATAATTACTTCAGTGTTGATTTACTTAGTAATCATTTACTACCTATTACTTGCTAGGATATGTAGATTACAAAAGCTTTACTATGTTAATCTTGTTAAGAAAGCATGAGAGTACAGCATTGTGTGTTATGAGAATATCATAATATGTGAATTATAGGAATAGAGAAAGTTTAGTCTGCGTTAATTTTTTTCCTCTGTGAAGATGGAAACAACAGTTTGAGTATCTCCAATGCCTCCCTCTCACATTTTACTCACTTCTAGCATGTCAGTGTTGCCCAGGTCTTGCCACACGTCCTCTCTCGTGGCATCAGGCTCCTGGCCAAGCCTAAGGGGTGGAGCAGAGGTCACCAACGTTTTCCAAGCAGTTCCAGCTGACCCAAGGGCATACACACTGTCTTTTAGAGCCCCAGGTCACTTCTGAATCCCTAAAATTGTGACTAAGCAGCATGGGTGAGCTGAGTAGCTCGTAGTATACTGGTTTTTGCCTCATTGGTGCTGCTCCTGACCTTGAAAAAAGCTTCTGGTCCCCAGGACTGATTGTTTCTTCCCACCCTGCTCATCCTGTCCAGGGCATCCTCTAAGCCAAAGCACCATCCTCCAAGCTATTGCACTGCCTTCCACTCACTGCCCGTTGACACGTGATTTTCCCCTTCTTGGTGTGGGCATCACAATGGGGCTCCCTGCCAGGCTTTCTGAGGACAGTCTGCCTAATCTGTCCCCAAAGCTAACTCATCTGGGTCACATTCCCTACCTGTCCCCTGCTGCCCCGAGGTGAAAGAGATGCAAAGCACCTACAGCTCTGCCCATTGCTTATCCCCACACGGTTTTCTTGACTTTTGGCAAAACCACCACCTTACTCTATTTCTTCTAGAAATTTTTACTATCATAATAGATCACTTCTGTGATCGATATTGCCAGCTGAACAGTTAACATGGCTTGTTGCAAACCTATGCTGCAATCACTGAAGAAAGTTAATAGCATGTTGGGTGTTAACAATAGAACTCTAAGGAGCAGTGCATTTACAACAGGACCTACTATACAGTGAGTATCATAAAATATGTCTTAATTTAAACTTTCAGAGAGGAATCAAGTTCTTGAGTTCCTACTCATTGCTTATAGTCCATCATTTTTTCTGTTATTTAAATTCTTACTAGCCTGCATGTAATTTCTCAAATCATTTTTAAGGACTTGTTACTGTCATGATTTATCATAATGAATTATTCAGAGTGGTACTATTGATATTTTATATTGCTCCTCATGGCTTAGTTTTCCAGTACGTCCTGTGGTTTTATACCAATACTGGGAGAAATGAGGCACATACCATTGAGCCACACCCCAACCCTTTTCATTTTTTATCATGACATATATTTTGAACAGAGAGTTAAGATGTGAGAAAAGTGGGAGCTGAAGGGCCCTTGGCCTGATGGGGAGTGCGGCACTGGGGTTCAGTGGTCCAAGTCAAGGTTAGGCAAGTGTTTTAAATTATCAGGATCCCAGAGATTTCTTAGCTGAACCACTGGAGTATCTCAGGTCTCTATCAGTTGTCAAAGCATATTCTAGTTGTAAATACAGGCAAATTAGTAGATGGCGTTCTATTCCTACAGATCATAAACAATTTCACTGATTTGAATATATTCAAAGTAGGGAAGGAAGTGGAACTTTCTTTTATTATTTTTTTATCTTAAAAAGGGTAAAACTAAACAGAACAAAGCAGATCAGAAGAAAACAATGTAAATGACACAGTTTTCAAAACAAGACAACCGGAGATCTACAGTGGCTATCATAATGTCTCCTGTTTGCTTCTAGATGGTTGTCTCCACCTCCACACACAATGAATTCATACAAAATAGTATAAAACTAATCAAAACAGAGTAATGAAGGCAATAGGAAAATCAACAGGCTTCCATAATGTCTCTGGTTCTCTTCAAAATAGCTGTCCATATCTTCATGTATGTTGAAATTAAACAATGCAAAACAGACTAAAACTACTTTGAACAAAGAATAGAAGCTTTACTGGATTTCACAGCATGACAATACAGAATCAGCAATGGAAATTATAATGTCTGTTTTTCTTCAAAGTAGCTGTTCATTTCATCACACATAATATAACCAATTCTCATAAACTGTTTAGGAGAAGTTCTAGGCATGTATAAGCCTCTACATGTATACCTATCCTTTCTGAATTGGAGGGAAAAACAAAACAAAATGAAACAGATTACTAGAAAAACAAAAAATAAAAAAGACAAATAACAGTAGCAAAGAGCCCAAAACAATGATGATATAGGCCTTCAAAACAAGGTGGTAGGAACAGAACAAGGTTGTTATTTTACATAGTGATCTTCAAGAGTTCCTCAGGTCACCAGACACAAACATGCAAAATTGTTCTAATCCTATGAACTGCTTTGTTCTACCAACTTGTAGAATTCGTAGCACAATCGTCTTAGCTGTCCTGTGTGTTTATACAAATTTAGATATTTTTTCTTTTCCCCTCCTTTTTCTTTTTCCTCCTTTTCCTAATATCCGGAGATACTATTTTTTCCCTTTTGAGCAGAGCCTTACCCTTTCACTGTATTTATTGAGGAGGAAGTAGGACAGATATACTGCTCTTCTTGTCAACTCCTTTCCATTTCAACCAAATTTTTGTTTCATTGCCTAGTTATGTGAGAAAATGGAAAGGATTATAATGTCTAAATTCACTGTTCACAAATTTATAGTTTTTTTCCTTAAACTTTATCTTCTGTCCTTGAAATGCAGGCTGTGGTATTGCACTAAGGAAAAACCATACTAGATCCTTTGCACTGTATATTCCATATAGGTAGCCCTCTGTCTAATAGCCTATTAATTAAAAGCTGGTTACATAAACATAATCTGATTAGCTGTACAATCTTTGATTCACATTTTTGTTGCCTTTTGAGAAGCATTGCAGCTATCTCACCACAAGAGGGCAGCACAGGTGATTGCATAGAAATTGCTCCTGCCGCAATGACACTTTACATTTGTGACACTGCTTTGCAGCTACAAAGTCTTGTAACATATGCGTGTGGTGATTGAAGTGGTTCTCCATAAGAGATAAAGCAGGCATAATTATTCCCATTTTATGGATGGATAAACTAACGCTAGAAAGGCTTAAAGTATTACTTGCCTACTGTTGTACAGCTAATAAATGACATCCAGTGCTTGAATCCAGGTCTCTTTCCACTATACCACTGTGCTCATAAATAGTGCATAATTATCATCCCAGTAACCTCCTAAAGTACATCTGGGAGACTGTACAAATCTAGAAACCATCTGTTCTTTGTCAGCAGTTTCTGTTTTCTTTTCATTGGACACAGCATCTTACGTTAGCTTTTGAGACCCCTGTTTTATTCCATTCTAGAAAGAAGAGGAAAACTGAGAATTTCTTATCATTAATAACCACCTTCATTGAAATCCCCCTTTTGAGCTAGGTTGTATAGTTGCTTTCAGTAGTTCAGAGATGAGGAGGATAATGAGAAGGGTCAATCTGAGGGAGAAAGCAGGAGCCAGGTACACATAATTCAAAGGACTGCTCCTGCGGTTTCCACGGTGAACTTGAAAGTTCCCTGTAGACTTCTGGAATGCCAGTTCTGTCATTTAAAGGAGGCAGCGGAATCTGGTAAAGGCATAAATATGGCTAAATCAGAACTAAATGAAATACTGTTATCAAACACCTAAGTAATAATCTTTCTAAGTGCCTGAATCCAAGAACTATAATACTAGGTGGCCAGTGGGCAGTCAGACAAATGGTCACATTGCTGAGGGCCTACAGAATTCGCTCTAACAGAATTTGAGCATTTTGGTTGTAATTTAGGTGGTTCTCTCAGGTACTAATTTTGAGAACTTTTGTTCATTTATTGAAGAAAAAAGTTCAAGCAAGTAGTGGCCTGTGGTTATTCCAACCGCCCAGTGACTCGTGAATTTAGATCTGAAACCAGAATAGGTAAAATCGATATGCAATAAATAGATGCTGCCTAATTATTTTTTAAATCAGTAAAATAATTAAAGCCTTTATAGTCAGGCCAATTAATGTGTTGCACAGTTGTATGGTTGGCTTAATAAGGAAAATGTTTCAGAAATACAAAATTCAAAGACCAAAAACAACTAATCACTGAAAAAAAATTCCGTGCAGTTGATTAATTGTCCTCTTTTTCTCTTAAGAGACTAAACTTTTAGTAAATCTTCTCAGTCTGTGTAGGTCCAGTTTAGTCCCTGTCCCCATTGTAAAGTGCGAGTGTTACAATTTTTCATTCATCATTTTCTTAGGTTCCAGTGTGTCATTGTTATGTTTAGTGAAAGAATACAAATATTTATTTTAAATGTTTCTTTAAACAGATTCTTAGTGGAGGGTAGAACTCTGTAACGCTCTGCAGCTGGGTTGCAGAGTTTTGAAATTGGTTGTCCTCTGCATACTAAGCCCCCTGCAAGCACTTAGCCACGGAGGGCAAAATCCCACTTAACAAGAAATCACTAGATAGGGATCTCTACAATAGGATATAATGTTTACTTTGGACCTCCTGTGGTCTA